TCCCCTACTTGGTCTTCCCCACCGTTTTCTCTAAGCTGTGGAAATAGGCGTACATGTAGATAAAAATTACATAAAGATATTCCTTAAACTTAAATAAATATTAGGTAAAAGGAATTACAAGTGATTTGCATTTGTAAAGCGATTCAAAGAAATCCTTACTGAATTTCCATACTTCAAAGAATTGTTTCTTTTATTTAGTAATTATTCTAGGAAGGAATTCTATGACTTATTTGCTTGGGGAATTTATTATAAAACAATTCTGAATTACCTGCATACATAACATAATTTATTTTATTTTTTTCTTATCATAATATTCATTCTATTTGTAAAGTAACCTTTAATACTTTTCTGGCTGTGTATGCATTTCGAAATTGATGTGCATGTGGGGGGCGGCATATGTATGTGTGGTTGGGAGGGCGGGGCAGCCGCAATTGATGTGGCAATATTTGCAGCACCTTGTTGGCTTCGCCTCCCCACCACCCACTTCCCACCCACCGAACAGCCACCCAACTTCCCCACTTCCGATTGAGGGAACACGCGTCGTATGCGCAACTTGTGCAGTTTATTGAAAAACTTGCCTAATTTATGGGACAGAGTGGAAGAAGGCTGGCGGGTCTTCCTCCTCGCACTTGTTCCTCGACTCTTCTAAGCGGCGACTGACAGGCAATCAAATTATGCGAATGCGAAGAATGCGCACTCTGTGAAAAGCCGTAAACAATTCCGGGGAAACGAACTCCGCTCCGTAAACGCAATTGAGTTAAAAGTGAGGCGAAACAATTTAATTGGGGGAAACGTGGTGGCCGCTCCCAATTGGGATTGAATGCAAAACGAATTACCAAAGTGATTTGCCCTGCCTGGCCGGGATTTCCCCCCTCCGATCCATTTAGCCTGTGATCCAGATCCATGGCAACGGGGATGTCCTGCCAAGGGTCATGGCCAAGCCAAGCCAAGCCAACCCGATGCGATTCGAATGGAAAAATCAAACAGATGTACGAGCAGCAGGATAAACAGTCGCTCGAACGTCAAGAGAACGCTTAATGGCGCAGTAATCAGAAGTCATTATGTGGAAGCAGCAGCCAAGGACACCGCACACCACACATCCTCACAAAAGGGGAAAATTACGCGTATTATGACCACAAGCAGAGCGGGAAAAGAAAACGAAGGAGGAAGGGGAAGGGGCGGTGGAAAATCGTATAGGGGCGGGGGTTATCCAGCCAAAAAGGGGCGCGTCTCAAAGGCCCAGCCCTCGTTTTACGCCACTATTAATTTGTTTGTCAAGCAACGAAGCTCAAAACTCGCCAAATCATGGTGACCGGCCATTAAGTTTGCATGGGGGGCTGCATGGGTTTTCAGGGGTCTTCAGGGATTCCCCCAGACAAAAGGACTTCGGCCAGCAACAGGGGTTGCCTTTCAGGTCAGCCACTAACCCGCGGATTAGGCTCAACTGCACGCACAGCCCGGAAAGGCGGAAAATCGAGGAGGAGGACGACAATTCCAAATGGAAGGGAATGGGCCAAGTGCAGGAATCACATGCGAGCGGAAATATCCTGGAACGAGATGCCAGGACACGTGCTGCGGCACAAGAAAAGCGATTAGTTTCTCCAGGAAAAGGAACATCACGAACTACAAATTGAAAAGAGAAAGTTAATCATAGTAAACTCAATTGAGATCATTCAAGAACTTTCGGGAAATAATAAATGTAGAAATCTCTCTTTAAAAGAAACTCTTCTCAGACCAAACAACTCAGTCCAAAAAGATGCAAACAATCTAGTGAAGGAATCGACAGAAGTTCCCAGAATTCGATAAAATATTGCCTTAATCATAACTTAGCCAATGGATCCATTTATTAGCCCAATGAAAATGAGTTCAAGGAACTTATCATCGATGGAAACATGCCAGTTCTGCAGAAAGTTGATTTGAGATATTATTTCAACAGAAAGCCAAAGTGTTTTGTAATAAATTGCCAATCAATCAGGGGCCATTTAGAGGAAACCACCACCCCCACAACCCATCCCAAACCATTCCAACCCATCCACCCACTCGGTTACAGTCCATGGAAGCCCCTCTTCGTCACGGCATCAAGTATAGAACATTATTAAGTGATCCCGGGTCTCATGGCGATGGCGATGGCGGTGATTTTGGCGGTGTTGTTTGTTTACCTGCCCGCCGATTGAAATAAACTCTCGTGCAATCCTCCGAAAATAGAATTCCCTCTGCGATCCGAGTGCTCTGCTTGGTTGCTCGGCGAGATCGGAGGGCCACAGAAAAAAAAAGAAAACCGACTAATGCAAATATATAATCAGATAATCAGAGTTTGTTGGGGGCACACGACGCCACTGATGACGTGGCGCTAACGTCACCGATCTCTCACTCGCTAAAAACATATATACTCTCGTATTTATTTATTATTTTCGGGTGGGAATTATTTATCTGGTTTCGTGGCCTGCGGGATTTTAGTGACTGCATCATCGCTGCCTCAGTGACGTCACTTGGATCTCTCAACCGATCGTTTTGCAACGCGGTCTCGTTCTAACCGCCTCTGTCTCTAAACCAGTGGGTGGTCATCGCTTTTCAGCAGGGAAAACTGTTCAGCTGCCAGTGCAGAATTTCCCGATGACCTGGTTGATTGACTGGGAACTTGGTCTCCTCCCCCCGCGGAAGATTGCGTCTTTTGTCTGCTCCTCGGCGGGCTTTATTTATTTGTATTTAAACGCGAATTGCGCCTTGTTTTCGCCAAACGCCCCCACATACGGCGAATAAAAAAAAAAGAGTCTACAGCAATGGGCACTAAAATCGACACTTGGCAAGAGTTATAGTCCGGTGGTTCCCGGTGGACGCGCTTTTGATGTCGGGGTTCCAATCGGTGAAACGGCCAATTTCCTCCTTTATGTTGTGATCAAATGGGAAAGTAGAATCAATTTGATGGATAAACACTACGGTTAATCAAAGAAAAAACATTTTATTTCGAGCAAGTGTTTAAAAGATTAAAAATCAATTCAATTTGGTAAACGAAATTCTTTGAAAAATCATTTCCTAGATTTCTTAGGAGCAGATTTTATCATTAGAGCTTCATTTTATCGAGTAGTTTTTCCCGACTTGTTCCACACTTGACACCCAATTAGTGATCAGATCTTTATGCAGACGAACTGCTGATGGGAGCTCTCAACAAACGATGACCACTAAAGCATATTTAATCGACTCCATGCTCCGTTCGCATTCCCTGAAATCGCCAGGTGATGAGGTGTAAACTCAGCACTTCCTCTCGCTCACCTCTGACCCATCGGAATGGTCCAGTGCCTAGGGATTTGTTTTTCAACCCATCGATTCAGTGATTATGGGCTGATTACGGACACGCAAAATCCCCAGCGGAAAGTTCCTCCGTATCGCATGCTCAAGTGGCAACCCATTGAAAATCCAAACCCAGGGAACACACCTCATTCCTCAGCGCCGCACACTGCTCCATCATTTCTGATTGACGTCGACAAATTGTATTAAAACCAAGTTAATTGGCATTTCGAGACTTTCAACAATTTAATAAAATTTTACGCCTATCATGTGTTGGCGAACTGGGGTCCATCCGATCGTCTGCACTGACCGACCGACTGTTTGTCCGACTGACTGACTGACTGGCTGGCCATTGTTTGTTTTCATAAACACAGATAACTTATTTTCGAGCACGTATTTTTGAATTATTAAGTTTTTGGTCTTCTGCGATGCCTTGTGACGCAAAGTAGTAAATTCCAGCCCCCAACTCGAGCTGATGACCTGCGAACAAATGATTCCCATCTGCGAAAGTCAGGAGGATCTCCCTTTCCGAAATTTCAAAAATTCATTCAGCAATTCGCTCGCCAGTGCAAACACACAAATCAATATTGGGGCAAACAGGCATCAAGTCATTTATAATCATGTTCACACCTCGCAGGATGACTATAAAAACACAATGAACCTCATATTTTTGTATTTTGTGGGCGAACAGTCTCTAAAAAACGCCACAGGATATATTCGAGCTATCAAAAACACGATAAGTGGTTGCCATTGTTAATTGCTGGAAAGTTTTGTTGAGAACTGCAAATTCATTGTTCGATTTTATTAACACGGTAATACATCAACATATTAAGATGAATGCCAAATATAAATACATTGAGTTAATGCATTTTTTAAAAGGTTATAAGTATTATAAAATACTAATGAAAGGTTATTTCCTTATTTATTTTCAGGTGAAGATACCACGAGATGATCCTTGAGCTGAATAAAGTGGAAATCTATAAACGCTGCTGCTCTATGTTTCCAATTAAATAAAATTCCATTTTATTGTTAGTTTATTTATTTTTTAAAATAAGTCCATTAGGTATGTTAACTTAAGGCTGAAATAAATAAAAATATAAAGGCATTACAAAATATTGATTATTTTTTATTTATTTTCGGTTGTTTTGCAAAAATTAAAGCATAGTTATAGGGATTTGTACAATAAGTGCTCCATGACAAAAGCTCACGTCTATGAACGTAATTAAGATATGTAGAGTAAGTGCTCCGTGACAAAAGCTCACGTCTATGAACGTAATTAAGATATGTAGAATAAGTGCTACATGACAAAAGCTCACGTCTATAAACCTCAACTTAAAAAAATTATTTTGACCGGCAACCTACTAATGCATTCTGTGCGCCTGGTACTTCAAAATGAAAAAACCTGAAAATGCACATTTTTGACTGGCCGACTTTGGCGAGTAAAATAAACGAATTTTAACCTGAAATACCAGGCAAACAGAATGTTAAAGTAGGTGTCTGCTCTTAAACTTTTAAAAAAATTTCAGAGGCGTAGTCAAAATTTTTGCAGGGGGTTCAATGTACTTTGGTGGATCCCTAAAAGTATGCAACACATCTAGTTTCTAGGTATTCCAACCTGATCCCAAAAGTATGCAATGACTTGGTATTATAGTTTTAAATATGCAAGCTTGTGCCGGCGTGCCCATTGCTTCCCGTTTAAAGTCAAATTATTTGAATTTCCATACCTATGCTACATCTTTATTTGATTTCACAACAAAATTCATCTAAACTTTTATGTCTTCTGCTTCGAACTTTCCGCAACCGTTACAGGTGTGCCAGCCATGAAAATGTCGCCATACGGATTGTGGGGTTTTTGGCTTTCCCGATCGTACTGGGACCCAATGGCCCATAGCGACTCCAGATCGTATTCCTCCCGAGCTTGCGGTGAAAAAATATGAAGGGCAATGTTTCCTAAAAATCGATTGGGTGATAAGATTTTGTGGGACTTTAAAATAAGATATTTTTGTACTTACCTAAATCCATGGCCATCCAGTCACGGCTCTTGTCGCCCTCGATGCGGGGCAAAATGTCGCCCTTAGCCCTCTTGATCTTGAACATTCGGCGTACAAACTCCGCCGTGGTCAGCATGTGCCGGTAACTACGTCCACTGCAAACTACCAAATGGTCCACGTATTTGAGGTCTTCCGGCACATAGCAAACGAATATGTCGTCAACATTCTCCTTGCGCAGCAGGTCCACCAAATCTTCCACATCAAATACGCCTCGAACTCCACCTGCAATGGAATATGTAATCAGAGGTACATTTCGATTTTACCCAAAGAATTGTACTTACGCTTTAAATTCAGTCCGTAGTACTGGTCCTGCTCCAATTCCGAATCAACCGGGAACTGGTGTTGCTCCTGGTAGCGCGCCTCCTCTACATCAAAAATCTCGGTGGCGTCTTCGTCCCTAAAAACTTTATATTTGTTCTGCACGCCGGCAACTAAATTCTGGCCGGGACTAGCTTCCTTCTCCTCAGGGGGTGTTGGAGGTTTGGAGAATTCATGGTGAAAGCATCGCAGGATGGGCACACTCAGACGTTTGTCGTGAATCAAGCGAAACACGCGGGTTAGCATTTTTTTGCTTCGTTTTATTTATTTTATTAAGTAAGAGGTGAACTTTGCCGATAAACGATTGTTGGCAGTGCCTAGTGTGACCCTCTCAGTAGCATGCTGTTGGTATTTAATGGTATTTTTTATTTGTAATGTTTTCTTGGATAACATTTGACTATTTAAAGTGGAATGCTGCCTTGAAACATATTGTTTCTCATTATAACTAATTCACCAATTTTATTTACCCTAGTATTAACGCATGTTGTTCAACTTCAGTGTGAGCATGGTATTTTTTATGTACTGCAGCAAAGCGTTTTCACTGACAGCTTGGTCAAGCGCTTATTCGCCGGCTGGTCACTCGGAACCATTTTTTAACTCTCAGTGAATTCTTTTGGATTTTTTAAGAAAAACTTCGACTAAACCGACTCAGAAATATTCGAACATTTTATTGTTTTAGAAATTTAAGTCCGTTTAGTAATAAATAGAACTAAACAAGAAAAGAAAAGTCTGTTAAGAATTTCTGTAAACGAAACAGGCGCAAGCGCCTCCAGCGGACGAAAACCTAAACACGAAAAACAAATTAATCCGACTGGCCACACGTTGCAGCTCTAATAAAAACAATATAAATATATAAAAAAGTTACGGTGCGAAAAGGAAAGGTGTTTTAAGTGCCGCTGATTAACTCCAAATTAAAAGTTATTAAAAAGCAACAAATAGCAGCAAAGTGTGCAGAATGAGCGAGCAGAAAACGAGTGGGTCCGCGTCGACGGCCCTTCAGCAAATTGAGGCGGAATATAAGGAGAAACAGGCCAAATGGCCTGCCTTCTACAAGGTAAATGGCAGAAACAACAATAGCAACGACAATCGACGACAGCTGCATTTGCAGAAAAAACTGGGAATATAACGAGGGAATCAATGTGGAAAAGGTGGAAATTGCAAAGGATTCACATCGGATGCGGGTAGACAACTTTTGTGGAGCTCCTTCGGCGGTTCGATTTCCACGAAAATGTGATGAGTGCGCAAAAGGCTTCTGCAGATATCTGCACCACCAATACACGGGCAAGCTTTCCATGTGTGTGTGCTTGTTTGTTTGTGTGGCTCCACTATGTTAGTGTTGTTCTGTTTGTTGTTGCTTCCACCAGCCAGGCTTGGCCAAAAACAAAAAACAACGAACAAGAATGTACAAACAGATTTACACCAACACAATCACACGCACACCTGCATGGTTGCTCACCTGCTGCACTTTACTTTGCATTCTCTATTATAAGCGCGCTTCTATGGATGTATATTTGGCATATTTATGCTTGTGATTGGCTTACCTTTCCCCAAAAACGTTTTCCTTTGACTATCAATAGAGCGTACAGCTTTCCGCGAATTCTCGTTTGGCCAAATAAAATTGGAGGCGATTTCTGGGAAGACCGCTTGTTGTTGTGATTGCCATTGCCCCCCCAAAAACAAAATAAATCGTTGGAGGGTGACAGTGGCAGCCACTTAAGAACTCCAAGCACTCACACAAACACACCAAGAGAGGCTCACGCACACAGGGGCACAAAGGGCATGCGTCTGGTTTTTTTGAGTCTCGCTTTCGGTTCTTGTTGCCTGTCGAATCCTCTCTTTGCCTCATCCTCCTTCCCTCCTCCTCTCATTCTGCTTTATAGCCAGTTCCGGCGAACTGTGTCTTCAGCTGCTCCTCCTTCGCCCTGTTCTTTCTCTTCCAGCGCTTCCACCGCTTCCACTCACTTGAATTGGGATTTCACGGAATTCCACTTCGCAGTTAGGATGACACAGTATATACATATGTATATGTATGTATGTACATATATGTATCTCGTTTTTGGACGAGCATCCTGGCCCAGTATTTGTACCCGTGCCGAGGATAATCTAATTTTCCAGCTAACTCAAAAAGTCCGCAATTGTGCGCTGTTACTGTCAGCCAGCCATTTTCAATGAAACACCGACCAGCTTGGTTAAGATAAGAAAAGTAAAAAGTCAGTTCTTCCAGTAAGAATATTTTTTTCTACAAAATAAATAATATAATTTTTTAACTCAATACTATTTGATTTCAACAACAGATTTAATTAATGGGGATGGACTGTATGCTGAAAACCCAATGACGCATTCGGATCGTAATGTTTTGTTATGCTTTTTGCGCACTTCATATATAATCATTTCCACTGAACGCACTCCCGTTACTCGGGTTTCTCCTCTTCCCGCCCCAGTCCCCATTTCTCCTTGCTTATCTGCTTGCACCTAGCGACTTCTCGATCTATCCTTTCCATCACAATAACAAAATCCGTTGTCTGTGACGAAGCTTCCTTTTAAACCCTTGCATTAAGCATTATAATTTATATCAAAACATTGTATTAACAAAAAACGGTTTTGAAGTTCTCCATTAAAAATTTGAACAATCCTAAGATCAGAGATAATTATCTGAAAAATCAAAACACTTTTTTATTTTTGTTCTGTAAGTGCTAGGGTATTTGAATATCGGATCGCCAAATTGAAATTCCTTTCTCGTTGCAATTATGCTCTGCGTGCATACAAGGTTTTTGTTGCTGTTTCTCGCTTTTCTTTGAGCTCTGCTTCACGAAACAGAAAAAATAATAATAAAACGCTTTGCACGACACGCTTTAGAAATTCAAGCCTCCAAGGGCCCCCGCCTCCGCTTAGATATTGCAATTCTGTTTACAAGGGTCACCTGGATAGCCACAGAGCATAAAATAACAGTTTGCTGCTGCGGTAAATGGCCAAGACTTAATGTTCAATGGAGCTGAAGAACTGTTTTCTCTTTATCTTTGTGTTAAGCAGATCGGTTTACAAGTGGGACATATTCTGGATTACAGCAAAAAACACAATTTTAAACAAAATATAATAGGTGAATTCCAATCAGATAACAGTTCCAGTTTGATCGTTAATTAAATCTCACAGAATTGATAATAGTAATATTAGCAGGTGAAGAATTCTTAGGAATGCAACCAAAGTTTGCCTTTCGTTCCAAAAGAATTATCGATTGTAGCGATAGCGAACGCAACTTAAAGGTGTTTTTTTTTTCAATTCCCCTTATCGGCCATTGCCTTTCATCAGATTTAAAGATTACGTAATAATTTAGCATTTTAAGGTGATTTCATAATACCACTGCGAGAATTAAAAAGCTCTGCAGCTGATTCACGTTTAAAACATGACGAACTGACAATTAACAACTGATTTTCGAGTTGTAATCAACGCAAGCTGCAAGAGAAACAAAACATCTTTTTTCTGGTTACTCATCATCCATCACATGCATGTGATTAAACTTATGTGCTGGTCAAATCCAAAAATGCGACGTTGACTTTGAGCCGAGTTTGAGGAACACTTGTCATCGTCAGGTTGGCGCCATTGACCTTGTTTGCTGTTTGGGGATTGGAGGGTTCGATTGGCCGTAGCATTTTACAGCTGCGCCAGCAATTATACATACATTCGGCTGATAAAGCCGGCAAAGAGCGGTCATGCCCAAAGATAATGCCGTTAACGACAGCCAGCGTTGCCTGACTAATTAGTCACACCCGGTTTGCTGGCTGGGTGGGCTCCAGTTCGGCTCCCTCCCAGTCCAAGTCCCCTTGCTTGTATCGGTTTCTGTCTATTATTGGTGCAGCGGGGTTTGGCAACCAAGAAATCCCGTGTGAGTGGGCCAGGTGGTGAGTCAGGGACGAATGGGGCAACCCTCATGACAAAAGACATTCGATTTTAAGGTGCAAAATGAATTTCCCCCCTGTTGACGTTTCGTAAAGCCAAGAATGAAATGTACTCTGGTATTCATACATATGGAAATACTCTTGTACTAAATTTATTTAATTAATTTATTTGCCAAGATTATTAAAGCGAGAATACTGTATTAGTTTTATTTTTTTGTGGCTTTTTAAAAAGTAGTAAGGTCTTAAAAAGGCTTAAAATGATTGATCGTTCTACTAATCTAAATATACGTTTCAAATTCGCGTCTCTTTTATTGTCCAACTATTTGTTTAAATAGGGGCCGAACCTATTTAGTATATATTAAATAAAGAATTTCCAAGAAACGATTTAAAATCATTCAGGGTCAATTATTTTTTAAACCCCCATATTTCATGTCATAATTTACTGATAACTTGGAAATAAAAAACCCAATATTTCATTAAGCTTTCGCTTTTGTTGGAATTAGTGCGATTAGAATTCACACTATATTTTTCTGAATTGCAGGATATTTGCGAAAGCTGTGACCGGGAGGCAAAGGAGAAACAGTTCAGCACTTCGGAATCGGAACGACACACAAACCGAGGCCTGAATCGTTATCGGGATGTGAATCCGTACGACCATTCCCGCATTGTCTTAAAACGAGGTCCCGTGGACTACATCAATGCGAATCTGGTTCGGGTGCGTCACCTTCTTAATGCATTCCCTGGCGCCTATTTTAATGCTCACTCTTATCACCTTTTTTGCTAGCTGGAGCGCGCCGAGCGAGAGTACATCCTGACGCAGGGACCGCTGGCAGAGACAGTGGGCCACTTTTGGCTGATGATCTGGGAGCAAAAGTCCAATGCGATTCTCATGCTTAACAAGCTGATGGAGAAGAAGCAGATCAAGTGCCACCTCTACTGGCCCAACGAATTGGGAGCCGACAAGGCCCTGAAGCTGCCCCAGGTCAAGCTCACGGTGGAGCTCGTTCGCTGCGAAACCTACCAGAACTTTGTGCGCAGATGGTTCAAGTAAGTTATCCAAGTTTGTTTATAAGCAAACACACAATATTAATCGATTGCTGTTTACTGTTTTTATAGGTTAACCGATCTCGAAACACAGCAGAGTCGGGAGGTTATGCAGTTTCACTACACCACATGGCCGGACTTTGGCATACCGAGTTCTCCGAATGCATTCCTTAAGTTCTTGCAGCAGGTTCGCGACTCCGGCTGCCTCAGTCGCGACGTGGGGCCGGCTGTAGTGCACTGCAGCGCTGGAATTGGCCGCTCGGGCACCTTCTGCCTGGTGGACTGCTGCCTCGTGCTGATCGATAAGTTCGGCGAGTGCAATGTGTCGAAGGTGCTCTGCGAGCTGCGCAGCTATCGCATGGGCCTGATCCAGACCGCCGACCAGCTGGACTTCTCCTACCAGGCGATCATCGAGGGCATCAAGAAGCTGCACGATCCCGTATGTATGCGCGACCAGCGGCCGGCGTTTGGGAGCCAAAATTGGGGGCTGCCAAGCGCCGCCGTTCATACTTGGCTGTCACAAAAGCTTCTCTCGTTTCTTTGTCTCAGAGTTTCCTGATATTTTATTAGTTTATTTTAATTTAAATACTCGTAATCCAAAATCTTAAAAAAAAAAAACCCTATTACAATACGATTCTAAAGTTTATACATAATCAAAATGAATACTTTTATCCAGTTTTATTTTAAGTTTCATTGATGCGAAGTAATCTACATATATTTTCGGCTAGTAGAGCTTTCTGTGACATCCCTGATTATTAACCTAGACTAACCTGTGATCCTTTACTTCCACCCCAGGCCTTTCTCGACGCTGAAGAACCCATTATCAGCAACGACACTGACACACACACACTGGATGAGCTGCCGCCGCCGCTCCCGCCTCGCGTTCAATCGCTCAACCTGCCACTGGCACCCAATTCCGGCGGCGTGCTCTCGCTCAACATGCGCGCAGTACATGCAAACGGAGATGGGGATATCGGCGAACTGATTAACCTGAGCAAGGATGCCCTTAACAACTTTATCAATCAGCATGACATAATCCACGATGCCGAGGTGGCCGACAGTCGCCCGTTGCCCCCCTTGCCCTCGGAGCCGCAAAGAGGTGTTAGCGAATCGGACAGCGATGAGGATTACTTGCTGGACGACGACGAGGACGATGACACTGATGAGGATGAGGAGTACGAGACCATTAACGAACACGACGCCGAACCAGTTAATGGTCACGTGCCCCCGACGACGACACAGCCACATGCCGATGATGTGAATGCCAATAACGAGAAGCAAGCCGCATCAGCCGGCGAACAGCAGAAGGCTAACGGCATAGATCCAATTGCAGGCCAGCTTCCAGCCAGGTGAGAACTTTGGACCTTTGAAGTTTTGAATGATATCTTTCACAAAATAACTAACTAATAATGTCAACAATCCTCCCTTTCAGTCCCGAGAACGAGCTGAAGCGGCGAAAACGCAACGAATACCAGGCCAATCTGGAGCAGAAGGTCAACGAAATCAAGCGGAAGCAGCGGGAGAACGAGGACAGCCAGCTGGCGGCAAAGAAACGAAGGTCATTACTCACATATATTGCCGCTGGTGTTGTGGTGGGCGTGATCTGCGCCTACGCATACACGAAGCTAGGATAAGTGCCCCGTAGCCACTAAGTAGTCGTAGACCAGTAGTAGCAATAGCTGTATGACGTATTTAGTTGCCCTAGGTTAACGATTCCTCCCCTGATACCTGGCTTCCGACCACCGATCCCCACCAGCTCGTCCGCCTCGCCTGGCATCTAATGTGGGCACGAATCAAGGACAATGGGGCACGGATCGGATAGGATCAGAGATCGGATGGAATCGCATCGCAATCTACACTCGGATTGCGAACGGCGGATTGAGCTGAACGAACGAAACACGATGCATAAACATTAGGGAATTTTTTATAAACAGAAACAAATGAAACAAAAGAACATGCAACTAAACTGAACGAGAATCGGGTAGAAATCACGTCAAATGTAGATTTTGCGCAATAGACTGACATTTTAGAACAAATTTATTTTCTACACCTAAAAAATGATTGATAACAGATCAGAGTCCCCGAAAGAAGCACACCAAACTGCAAAATTCACCTTACTCGCTCGCTACGCAATACAATTGATTTTAGTTATTATGATTACCAACGATTCAAGCACCTCCGGAATCCACTCACACGCTTCACTTGTTGTTGTACAGCAATTTCTTATAGCATACGACCTATGTATATTTATTTATGAAGATTTATGAGAAACGAACACTTGTTGTAGTACATGGCAAAAAATACAAAGTGCAGCAATGTGCCAAAAAAAAAAAAAAACGAAACGCAAAATTGTATGGAAAGCCCTTTATGACTTTTAACTTTACTTGCCCCATACTTACTTTGAATTGTTGTGTTTAATAATACGTTCGCCTTTAAAAACACTCTATTGAAACAACCGAAATGCAGCGTCATTAAAGCAATAATAGTTAAAAAGCAAAAATAGCACAAAGTACACCTATATCTCGTTTAACACTTCATAATTAAGTTTTTGTTTCGTACAAGGACCGCACACCATTTGAAATCAAAATGAAGTAATTATTGTCAAAATTGTAATGGATTTCCCTAGTTGCATATTAAATTAAATTTAAAAACGTTTTACTAAGTCGCTAAGCGATGTATAGGTGTATGGTTTAATAATTATATGTTAACACGCAGGTTTTGCCATAGCAAAATCATTTTGTGGTCAACAAACGAAGGTGTAGAGTGTCGAAAACTATTCAATGGTTTTCCAATAGAGTAAGTGTGTAACCCCAATCCCCAAAACATATTTATATAAACGTGTAGCGTGAAAGGACGCAAAAACACAAGAATTATTTTTTATATGTGTAACCCACAATTTAACGAAATTCAAGTAACCACCCACGAAAGCAAGGCATACGAAATCAGATGAGCCGAGGAGGATAACTAAAAACAAAAATACATATTTATATTAATTATATTTAACAGTAACATGAACAATACCTATAGTAATGCCTAGTTAACTGAACGTCGGCTAAGTACACCATCTATACAATTGAGACAATTTGAACACCACACAACACAAACCAACACAAGTACTATTTATAATGCCTATGAGAAAAGAAAAGAGAAGTGAGAAAAAGTATTCAAATAAAGCTAATCATTTAAGACACGAAAATGCGAACTGCTTGTTCCTGGCGTACTTCTTACTTGTCATTCATAACATGTTTTCATCTCTCTGATTTCAGACGGGAAAATCGGCACAAAAAGTCCAAGACAAAGTAACAGCACAGCCCATCCAGTCCAGCACCAACACAAAGAAACAATTTTAACATATCATTTCGCATTACTGTAGCTTTTAATGCCAAAATAAATACTTCTGTATTACGAACCAATTTTAAAAATGTAACGCTCATTTATCAACTAACTATCGGACTGCTGTTATATAACATTCCCCTGCGGCGAATGTTAAGTTTAGTGTGCCCAAACTACTTCAATTTAATTTTAGTTTTGGTATATTTAAAATTTTAGAATTAGATTAGAATAAATATTTAAATTAAATTAATATTTTTTGGCAAAATAAATAATTTTTCTTCGGCGATTCTACTATTTTAAAGCGCTAGGCAGGGCAGGAAAGAACTACTTATTGGAATCATTTGAAAATAAATTTTTTCTAGCATTCCTTGAAGTTTGGACTGCACTGCTTACTTTCAAGCTATCTGGTGTTCTTAGTTCGATACCTCATTGTTAGTGTAGCCCTGACATCTGCGATTGCGATAACAAAAAAAAAAACGTGCGCACGTATTTGGATTTTGTTGGTTTTGATTTTTGTTAAAAACTAAGGAAAATATGGCCAGCAAAGTAAAAAAGGAAGTGTCGTGCGACATGTGCAGCAGCGTTAACGAGGCGAAGCAAATTTGCACTGCCCAAAAGGCTTTTGTGGGCAGAAAATTGATAGACATTCTCGCCGCCGTCTCCCACAGAAGCGTGAGTTAGAAAAGGCGGCACTCTGAATTCCCAATTTGACCCCTTCTTCTATCCCCTTTTTAGCTGCCGGCCAACTTGCCGATCAAGGTATGCTTCCTGTGCGCCTCTACTTTGATGTCCACCCTCTGGAATGATCGAAAAGATTCAAAAGTTGGTAGATGAATGCCTTGCCATAGCCCCCCAAACAGAGTAAGGGTACCAAGCCGTCGGAGAAGGAAGAGTTGACGCAGGTAGTGGAACCAAACGAAGATGAGGTGGGAAACTTTGTGGATCTTACCACAGAAGCCGAGAAGCCGGTAAAAAAGAAGAACAGCACAATTCGTCAACGCAGCAAGTCTATAGCTGCCTTCCCGGCTACACTCAATCCTCCAGCCCTTGATGGCATCAAGGGTTCGCCCAAGAAACCCGCAGCCACGCCAAAGAAGAACCTGTCCCGTATTCTTGACGATGACCTAAACGACTCGGTAAAGTTGACGCCCGCAAAGGAAGTTTCAACTAAGAAAAAAGCTTTTCTGCAACTTTTCGGCACCGGTAATGACGATGCCAATGAAGTCGAAACCGAAAGCGAGGAGGATGAGACCACCAAGGACCACCTTGTAATTAAGACGAGAGACTTCAAGTGCAAGCTCTGCGAGTTCGAATCGACAAACCCGAAACCGTTCAAGGAACACCTGATCAAAGAGCACGGGCAGATGCGTCCGCGTATATACAACTGCACTATTTGTCCTAAAAGCTTTGGTGTGATGAAGACCATGACAGAACATTTGAAAAAGAATCATGATGCCACTAGTGAAAGCATCGCAAAGGCAATAGAGTTGGGAAAAAGGAAAACGGGAGCGAAGGCAGGAGGCAAGCAAAAGTCCGATTCAAAGCTAGATGAGCGCAAGGTTCAGAAAAAAAAATCAAAAGATGTAAAGGCTAAAAAAACAGAGACGGAGGAGGACACTGAGATTAAAGCTGCCAAAAAGGCGAAAGAGGTGAAGCCAATAGAGGAAGGAAACCGTGAGACAGCTAACGAGACCCAAGAAGAGCCTAAGGTTGCTTCCTTCAAGGCCTTAAATGAGTCCTTAGTAAAGAAAAGGCTTTTCGAAAAGGTAATCGATTCGGATTACACATTCGCCGTTAATGGATCCAGTGCTTCCACTCCAAGGGCTGACTCCGCAGATTTTCAGTGTGACATCTGCGATTGCGAACTGACCACCGCCAGGCAGATGCAAGAGCACATGAAGAGCGCCCACGGCGTCGATAAGCCTAAGATCTTTAAGTGCAACATTTGCGAGAAGAGCCTGACTACCAAACAGTCGTTAAATAAACACATGACCCTGCATGGCGACGGAGTTGAAGTGGGAAAGTCCAGCAAGCGAAAGATATTGCAAGAAGTGGACGTGGTAACTAAAGCTAGTGTTGAGAAGGACAACTCTCAGGAAGATGATGAAGACGATGAGGGGCCTACAGAGGAAAAAAATATTAAAGGATAATATATCCCAGAAGGATGATCTGATGCCAGCCCCTCAGTCTCCCGCTAAAAAGGCCAAAAAGATCAAGAACAGCTTGCTTGACATATCTGTGGCCTCATCAAACGGAGAATCGCCATTAAAAACACAAAAACGTAAACAGCATGACAAATCGGATGGCTTGTCTGAGGACACTCTCGATTCCGATATCCAGCTGATCGAGGAAATAAACCATAATGTCAAGCCGCACAAGAAGGCCCGCCTGGAGTCATTTAGCGACTCCACCGCGGACGAGTCAATCCTTAGCTGCGACCAGTGCGGCAAGTTTGTCAAATCGCGTCAACGTCTGGACTCACACATTCTGAAGAGACACGGCTCTCAGTTAAAGTGTCCGTCTTGTAAGAGCAGCTATAGCAACCAGCTGGACTACGTGGCCCACTTCTCGGAATGTAGCGCCAGCGATAGACTGCCCTGTGGCGTGTCGATGTGCAAGAAGGTCTTCTCCGAGGCCAACTTTCTAAGCTCACATCTGCGCAAGCGCCACAAGTGCGAATAGGTACGCTATTTTCGTATCATTAGTTTAGGTTATATATAGCTAATGTACAATGAAGTGCATTTTATGGTAAAATGATTAATGTTTTACGTGAAATGACAATGGGCGAGTACAAAAAACTGACTTATGCAATGTACTTTAACATGGATACATCTTTTAAATTGTTGTTTTTTGCACCTTTTTCGAAACAAGTTTATTTTGTAAAGGATCAACCTCATTACATAAGAAGAAATCCTAAGGAAATCAAATGCCATTTTATGTTTCTAGCCTTAACAAAACACACGACAATGGAAAATACTATAAGATTGCATACAAACATCATTTTGGGATCGTATGTACTCACCAAGAGTATGCGAATCCGATTCATCATACAAAATTATTGTGAATTGAATATTAAACTGTTAATAAAAGACGTCAAGTGACTACAAATTTTACGTTTTCTTATACATTTATTTGTAACATTCCCCAAACAAAAACAAAATTAAAATATCATGTACGCGAAAACCAACAATATGCGAGAGCCATTTGCTTAGAAGAGCAGAAGAATTGAATACAATACAGACCTTAAATATGGGGAAGTGTTTATGGTTTCTCCACAGGAGTTCAACAAGAAGGGAGAATTGGAAACAATATTGTCTAGTTACACTTTTCTACTTAATGTAAACGAGATGGATTCTATGATGAGTTTTCGGAGGTGGGAGAAGTTGGATTCAGGATGCTGGCCTTTTCAAGTCGACGCCACCTTGCCATGGATCTCGGCCTGGGCCACCTTCATCACCTCCAGAGCTCCCCGCTGGATCAGGTCCTCGGCCAGCGTCTTTCCCAACTGGTTGGCCTTCTCGTAGATCCCCCGACTGTAGCAGGCGTGCTGGTAGAGACCGCAGAACAGGTTCTGCACATCCTCAATGAGCACCGATTGCTGCGGCGTAGGCTTCTCCTCATCGGCATAGTCGAACATTTGGACCGTTTTTTGCAGAAACGGACACTTGGCCTGGGTCTCATTTCCATTGTCTTTGACCGGCGCCTCTAAACCGCTGCCCTGATGCATCGCCGCAAATGGACACTTTGCTGATGAAGTGGCCACGTTATCGACCTCATCGCCAATGCTGCTGGCATTGCTAGCTCTGCTGCTTGGTGGTGTGGGCAGAATGTTAGCTGGAGCCCCGGCCACACCTCCCGTCACTGGACACTTGCCTGCCTGGGCATAGGACACCTTGATCTCCTTGTTTACATACGGACATTCGCCCATAAAGTCCTGACCCACAGGCATTTGTAGCGGGCAATGAGCAGTGCTGGCAGCTTCATTTCCGTTGTCATTGTTCGCGCTTGAGGAATCCCCGGAGGCAGCATGAGTCACTGGACACTTGGCGGGTGCTTTTGACTGATTGTGTGCCACTGGACACTGGCCCATCACATCCTGGCCGGCCACTAATCGCAGCGGGCACTGCCGGAAAGTTGTATTTCCATTGCTGGTGTCGGCATCGCCTCCACCTTCGTTTCCAAAAGAACCAATAGCATTGTTATTGCCAAGCACTGGGCACTGACTTGCCAGATTAGAGAGCTGCTCCACACTGTAACCGGAGAGAGCCTCGCAAGCGGCCACATCCTCGCAAATCACCGGCGGACTTCCCTGCTGGCGAGGGCTACTCGAATTGGAATCAGAGCCAGAGCTGGGACTGCCGTTCCTGGCACGTTTCGTGGCTGGCGGAGAATCGCAGCTGCTGCTGTTCTCCTCCTGCAGCTGATCGGTGCTCTGCTGGGCACCTCGTTTTCGCTGCTCCACCTCCGATTTCTCCTCATTTAAGGCACAAGCCAAGTGATTTCGTATCTCTGTGACGCCATCCAAGCTCCAAACGGCGCCGGTGAGGGAGAGTCCCACCTCCTGACTATTTCCGTTCAAGGGTTCGCCCTTTAGGTTACTCCAAACTGCCACTGGTGCAGAGCAACCTCCTCCCAGAGTCTTCAGGAAGCTCCGTTCTGCCAAGATGCGGCACGTTGTATTCAGGCACATTAGTTTCTGCAACATGGAAAGCACTTGATCGTCATTGGCCCGACACTCCACGGCCAGGGCTCCCTGTCCAACAGCATAAAGTAAGTCGGTTGGCTCCAGCACCTGGCTGATGCGACTCATCCAGCCCATTCTCACCAGGCCTGCCTGGGCGAGAATTATGCCGGAGAACTTTGAGTCGGCGGCATCCAGCTTGGCCAAACGAGTGTTTAGATTTCCTCGGATGTCGCACACAGTCAAATGGGGATACATCCTCCGGATCTGAGCAGTGCGACGAAGAGACGAAGTTCCTGAATAACAGAAATGGTTAGTTATTTGAAAAGATGTGTATATAATCTTCGAGACTTACCGATCACACTACCCTTAGGAAGCGAAGCTATCGTGTGGCCCTTAAAGTTCTCCCGCAGTACCAGTGCATCACGGGCATCTTCCCTTTCTAGGACGGCTCCGATGGCCATTCCTGTAGGCAATGCGGTTGGTAAATCCTTGAGCGAGTGCACCACGAAGTCAACACCTCCGTTACGCAATGCGTCCTCTAAGTCACGGGTAAACAGGCTTTTCTCTCCGATCTTGGGAAGGGAAACGTTTAGGACCCGATCACCAAAAGTAGACATGGTGTCTGAAAAAATAAACGTATGGAATAAATTAATCGCTTTGTTTATGGTTTTTGGTATTTCGCTTTAATAAGAACATCGTTGATTATTACTTTATATGAATTTTTATTATTATTTACGTTAAGAGAATAATTTTAATATTCAAACAATCTGTATGATGTCGAAAAGCTGTATACCAATAAAAAAGTCAGAAGCACAGTATCTAGATAAAAAAAAACATCTTAAATTGATCACCTACGGGGGGTGTTCCTATATATGCCGGTGTTATGTCATCGTCACCTGATAAGGGTCCCAGTAACAGTAGCTTCCCAAGTATCTCAACTTTATGACGGCAATCAATCGAGACATGCAAACGAAATCTATCTTCCCAACTTCCCCTTCTTCCATTATGGACACGCAACGATAATGTCTTTTTCAAGTGCTTTACTTATCGGACCGAGAATAGAATTTGAATAACTGTACATATCGAAAGAGGATATTGCGTGAGAGGTTTGGAATATAGCACTAGCCAAATTTCGTTTTAATGGAATAACGATAAGGCAACTGAACCCCTACTAATTCAACTAGATTGCGTTTGTTCGTGCTCGCTATGCAAAACCCATTAATTAAACTGACTCATCGCAAGTGCTATAAACATATTTTATAAACTGGCCAATCTTATCGGGTTCAAAGGTACCCAACATGCCCGTTTAAATTATATTTCAACCGATTTTCCCACTGTGTCGACAGAAAGCGCGAGTCTAATCGGAAATTTTTTCGTTATCGGTGGCAGAACAGCAGCGATCAGATACAACCGGATCTCATACTACCAAAACATAAAATATTCACGTAATGGCAGAGCTCATGTGTACACAACGCTTATCACACCTTTTAAATCGAAAAACGAAAAATAATAGTTGTATAAGTGACTTTAAGTAAAGTATTCAAAAGCCGAAGAAAGACCAAAGATAAAACTTTATATTATTATGGAAAAGTGGTTTCAATAAAACATTATGAAAGACGGGTTTTTAATTTTTGTTTTTATGAAGTCTGATAAAATACAGATTTAATTTTTTTTACATTTCTGTTGAGAAAAGTATTATAAAATATATTTCTACCTATAAGAAAGGCTATAAATGATAAATAACAAACCAGTTTAGATCGGTACCTGATGAAAACAGTTATAATATTCAATACTAATTCATCACCCTTCGCTGTTCGTTTGTAGGTTTGTGTGGCATAACATTTTTCGGCATTCGCCCCAATCTTGACGACAACAGACATTGACATTGAGCAAACTTTGCCAAATGGCACGTGGGCGGGAGAGAGATGATGAAAGAGCGAGAAAGCCGGGAGAAACTAGAGAGGCCAAAAAAAAAAACAACCGATCATATGCAATTCTTTTTTAACAATCGCAACATTTGTTTTGACCACTATCAACATTTGAGATAAGCCATTCGGCTTAGTCATGCTTGACTTCGAGTTTCAATATCTCTTTATGCAGCATGAGGTTGCTGTTTACTTGGAATTCCCTTCCAGTTTAAACATCTCTTTACGCGACATGAGTTTTCAATTTCCCCTCCAGCCGGAATCCCAATATTTATCCCAACTTTCACTTACGGATCTCAAATTTCTGCTTGGGATACAGCTTTTGCAGTCGGCCGATGACATGTTTGGTTTGAATTAGAGCCAGCTGTAAAGAGAGGAGTTTTAATTGATTAATTGACTGTCTTTTTAAATGCTAAATGCAAATGAACCAATAAAATAGAGAGAAAGATAAAGTGGCGCACTCAAATCGCAAATAACCGAAGTATGTACATAATTTCAAATTTAAATGCCAGGTGGCCTTCGCTTTAAGCACGATCAAAGGTGGCACAGTGCAATTAACACAAAAATTATTAAAAGGCCCAGCTTAAAATCAAGTTTTGGAATGGAGTCAAGAGAGCGGTACCCCCAACAAAAAAGCACAAAACAATAAGCAAGTACAGTACGGGCACAATAATATAGACTTATGGAATAAAGCCTTTGAATTTTAAGAAAAATGTTTATTTTTAATTTGCTCAACACAAGTTTTTACTGGCAATCGCTTTGTATGCCAATTCTTCTTGCGAGTGAGTACTGTATAACACACATACCGCAAAAGTGCGTGTTGTTGCTATTGCGAATTGTGTAACAGTAACCAAAAAGCAGAGCAAGTACAACAACTACGCCACGCGCAGAGCAACAAGTCTCCCACTCTCAAAAAAAACTCTTGCATAAAAGGGTGTGGGGTACAGAGGGAGGAAGTGCTAGGAAGGGAGGAGGTAGCTCTCGAACAAAATGTGATTGAAATTCAAATGCAATTCAAAGCGGATATATGTATGCACATATTTTGATTCTTGACGTCTACTTACCTCACTCTTTCGCGATCCAACGCGTATAACCTTTTCCTGCGTTGACATTATAACCGTCTTAAAGTTTTGCTAATTAGGATTGCACAATAACTGTTTATGCTAGGTTATTTGTTCGTTGTTGTTGCAAAGTGAAAGTGTGCGCGAGAGAGACAGCTTTCGGGGTCACGTTGGCAGCCTCAAAAAGGAGCGAGTGCGAAAGAGAGAGACAGCGCGGGGGAGCCTTGATGAACGATGAATGAAAACGTAAATGCACGCACTATTCAAGACACATAGTTGAGTTATTGTCACGTTGGCTTTGTACTAGTCGGTTGAAAGTCCCAATTCACGAGCTTTACTCCTTAATTTTTAGGTGCTGGCCGATACTACGACCGAGCAAAGAGCAATGACAAAGTGTGACCGCGGGCTGCCCGTTAAAATATACGAAGCCCGAACATGGTTGCCCAATGTTTTGGGGCACTTTGGGGCTATCGCCAATTACTATACGAATATTCTTAAGGGAAAAATTTAACTTTTAAATAGGTACTCGCAACTCTCTTGGGACGTTCAAACTCCACACTAAAAATTAATTTTAAGTTTATTTTAAATACATGACTTAAGATAAGCCATGAAAAATACGTATTTGAAAAGTAATCAGGGCAACTCTGATTTCGATAACGAGTGCGACCGCGCTATAGATATCGGTATCAGCTGTTGGGGGCAAATTAAAAACAAAGAGGATGCAAAACTAACAACAAAGGGACTATAAAATGTTTCTGGTAATAATACAAAAAATAATCATGTAAAAGGCCAAATTTAAACAAGTTTTGAACCCACCAGTTCATCAGCCGTCCCACGCGGACCCTAGGAAACCGTATGCAGGCGGTTCGTGAGCGTCTGGGTGTGGATTTAGCTGATCAACTAGACGCGCTGCATCGGAATGTGATGCGCACCGGACTAGTGTCCACGCAGGAGCTCGAGGAGGCGTTCCGCAAGACACGCGACACGGATCACAATCCAAATCGCTTGAATCTGCTTTGGCTACTCGGAATCGTCTTCTTTATTATGGTGGCCACACCGGTTTTCTACGAGACCATCTCGTTCCTGCTTGGCGTACGCTGCTTCCTCCCCAACAACTATCTGGTCTGGGAGGCCACTCGCCCTATCAGCGACTGCGAGTTCTGCAAAGGCGTGAAGGCTCCCCTAATCCTGGATAATCTCACAATGGAGGAGTTCGGCCCGCATGCCTACTCCTCGTTGCCCATCATTGTGAAGCGGGCGGTGGCTCACTGGCCAGCACAAAAGCAGCTAAGCTATGAATACATCAAGGATTTGTACGACAGTGTGCCGGGAGCGGTGGAATCGGACTGCCCGTTCCTGCACTTCAACTCGGATCTCAAAACGCTAAAGGATGTGTTTGCCATGTCCACAGAGCGGTCGAATTTAAGTCAAGGAGGGCCCTGGTTCGTCGGCTGGAGCGTCTGCCAGCCGGCTGTCCTAGCGGAGCTTAGAAAGCTATACCCCCGCCCACACTTTCTGCCTGTCGATGCCGAAATGCCCCACACGGATTTCATATTAATGGGCTACGAGCAGGGAGCTGTGATGCATGTCAGTCTTCACCAAAAATGAAACTTTTTTAAACTGACTTCATTTTTTTTCTTTTAGCTGGATTACATTCCTCGCCTGATGTGGCAAGCCCAGCTGAAAGGCAACAAGAGCTGGTTTCTAGCACCTGCTCCTGAGTGTGATCACCAGTGTCAGCCATTCTCTTTTTACGTAGAGCCCGGGGATGCTGTTTTGGTGGACACGCGTATCTGGTACCATGCCAATACCATCCCCAAGGGTCAGTTTTCGCTGACTGTTCAGTCAGAGTATGGATAAGCCCCTTTTAGAAACACTAGAATTTAAAAATTGATATAAAAGGGAAACGGGAAAGGGGAACTCAAGAATATTGCCGTATTAATAGGCCAGAATTGTTCTTTAAACTTAAACCGCCATTACTAGAGCTATCGATTACCGATAGTTTAGGCGGAAGCCATTTAAAAGAGATGATCGGAAAATATAGCGTCAACACAAAATAAACAATATGGAAACCAATGTAGATTTCAGTCAGATATCTGCCAAATTGTATCAAAAATATCCGCAGAATGTGAGAAATCTGAAGGATGTGTGTGTGAACAAGACTGTGATGAAACCGGGGGCGTTTTTTGACAGTCTGCAGAAAATGATGGATGAGGAGGCGGCCACCACCACGCCCGCGAAGGATCTGGGCTCAGTGGCTGAGTATGCGGAGCTGTTCAAGACCCTGGAGGAGTACCCGGCCAACCTGCAGAGGATGCCCAAAAAGCGTGAGCTGCAGCGCACTAATTCGACTATTCTTCGAGGAGCGGATGAGTCCGTGGCCATCAACACCTCCAACGTTTCTTTAAGCCTAACCCGTTTGGAGGAACAGCGCAGTGCTGTTGATGTGTACAACGACTTTAAATCCTTCCAACGGAAACTGACCAAGATCTACGATGAGGCCGCGTCAATTACCTCCACGGAATCCATGTACAAACAAAAGCTGGCGCAGCTCCACGGATTTGCACAGCAGCTAGAAAAGCTAATGCCTTCAAGTAATGAGTCCCCGCCCGGTGCTTTTACACTTGAGGAGCACAAGAAACTTGAAACCATTGCATCTAACATGGAGCAGCTGAACTACTTGCGATCGAATAGCCTCCAGCTGCCCAATCCTATTGAGATCCTTGCTAATGGAAGCTTAGCCGCCCGCCCAGAGATGTTTGTCGAGGTGCTTACCTATACTCTTCTGCAAATCAGCAGCTATAACATGGTATAAAAAAGATTGGAGATGTTTAGCTCTTACCGTTAATATAAAATAAAATGTAACATGGATATTTTTGTTTAAAATTATGGCTTTTTACACGATTAAACTTAGGGAAACTTATATTTCTTAGGATGAATCTTCGCTGGCATCCTGATCCTCCTGTAGGCTTCTCATTTGACCAACGGTGTCGTAGAGGGCCACAAGTTTGCGCACGGAACTGCTGAGGCGCTCCACGCGGTGTCGGTAGGCAAGACAGCCATCGAGGACGCTATAGTTCTCCTCCCGATGATCGCCGCTCATCATCAGCAGTTTAAAGTTCTCCAGGATCTTGGACAACGCCAGCTGAGACTCCGGCGTAATGTGGTACACGTTTTGGGTCTCCGTCGGCCCTGAGTTTTGAGCCAGAGCCTTGCAGTTGTACTCGACGTGTAGCAAAGTGTTGTTTGACCTCTCCATTATTTCGTCTATCTTCCCCATCTGACGGTGCATAGACTGCCGATTGGCTGCTGCAATATGCATATAGCAGTCTTAGTATTGATAATGTCATAAACTAATTATATTTACCCATTCCCGCCAACATTTTGTCAACTGCGTCCGTCATTTTAAATTTCTTTTTTGTTTACAAACAGAGTGACCGTCTTTGGATAATAAAAGCTACCCTTTAGTTCTAAAAACAACCGAAATAATCGAGGTATTGGTAATTCTATCGAAATTTGAATTTAACTTAACGCCAATTTTCCTATAAATCATTATTATTAAAAAACAGGTGTTTGGTTTTTAATTCAATAGAATCAACCATCAATGCAGATTGCTTTTCCATTTATAACACAAGTTAATTTAACGTTTGGTTTATTCAGTTGCTCAAATTGTATTTGACTTGTTTTCTATTTAAATTTAAGTGTAATCTTTAATGGTTTGCATTACAATTACAATTTACTCGTACACATCCTCCTTGTCGGCGACGTACTTAATAATGTCGGCAGGTTTAAGCAGCTTCTCGGCATCAGAGTCGGGGATTTCGAAACCGAACTCGTCTTCCATGGCCATAATGACCTCCACATGGTCTAAGGAGTCCAGTCCCAAGTCGTTGATGAAGTGCGAATCAACGTTGAGCTGAAATTGCAAGACATTAGCATTGTATATATGAGGGCTATGAGCTTTGTTCAGTTCTCTGTGGCGAGTATTTCACTGGCAAAGGCAATATGTGGCGTTTACCTTGCTGGGATCGATCTTGTCGTAGAGCTTAAGCACGAGCAAGACGCGCTCATTGATCAGCTTCAGCGAAAGCGGCGGTTTCGCCGAGTATCTGCGCACCGATTGCGTTTGCCAGCGAGCTCTGCACTCCTGGTTGGTTGGCCCAAAAGAAAAGAACAAAACACAGACCAAATTAGTGACGCTTTGGAAGTGAAAAGTTTACCTTCTCGGCTGTGACTTTGTCGTAGGCAGAGACAACCTTCAGCACGCGGAACTTGATGTCGTCGATGGTGCTCTTGACCGAGTAGCTGCGCACACCGAATTTCTGCCGATTAAAATGCGATTAAAAATCCTAGTTCAAAATAAATATTTTTAACAGAAAATATTAATTTCGAAGTTTTTTGTCCAGTCAACAATTTAAAATGTTATCTCCCTTAAAATTACTTTTTTTTACTGTATTGTCAGAGTTTCCCCTAGCCACTTTAAACTGTAGTACTATCAAACACATACACGGGCAAGCACCGGTGTTGCAGGTGTATGCGTGCGATAGAAACAATCATGTTTTATGCAAAACAATGTGATGCAATCGATTCTGGTGGTTCGACAGCCACATGGCGAGAGCCTATTACACTTGGGAACTTCGGGATAACGTTTGGAGTCTCCTCTAATTTGGAATCCCATCGCTTGCAATGAGGTTAGGTATCGCATCGATCCTGCAAAGTTGTTCCCATGGGCGACTGCTTACTTGGCTTAATTGGCTAGTCATGGCTGGCACGGCGAGCCTGTGCATCATCCTGGAAGCCTGTGACTGGACGAGGGCACCGGAGGCGATCCTTCGGGGGGCCAAAGTCGCCGCCAGTCGACTGCAGCTACGCGCGATCTGTGAGAACGACATCTCGGTATTCCTGCAACGGAAATGCACCCAAGTTAGATTCGCGGTTTTCCGGGCGGTGCACAAGTGGAAGGCACAATTATTGAGCAATATTTACACTGAGTTTTCCTTTTAAGATTATGTAAAAGTTCCGGAGCAAGTGAATAAAGCAGTGTACCCAGATAGGCAGAATTTTTACCTCAAGAACACCAAATTTTTAAAATCCTAAAAAATCCAGTTTTGCCTGAATTGTTTTCCCAGCCCTTGGATAAAACCGGGTTATTGGTTGTGGACTGAACTAGGAAAAAACCTTGATTGAATTATCGGATTCGACCGACTTATCGAAAAAAAATGATCGAACAATCGAATGGGCGTACCATTTAAAAAATGACAAAACAAGACATAAGACCTAATAGCCACGTTTAAAGTTTTCAAGAAAGCACGTGAGTACAAGCAATACACCCAAAAATGATAAGGACCCAAGTGATATACAAACTGTCACATATTTATAGGTATTTTTTTTATAAACAATATACATTTATCTGGAACACCAGTTATATAAAATCAAAATTACACAACTCGTTTGCACTGCAGTAACAAAAATACATAGGTACAATATAAATTACACGAATATAACAAAACAAAAGTCGTTTGATTTAAAGCCACTTTTCTGTTGAAAGTCATAGTAAATTCCTTATTGCGTTCCAATCTGCAAAAATATTTGAGAAATGAGGTCAGCGATAAGAGGTTTTTTCGTCCTAGAGTACCGTCACTTACAATAACAAGATGGCCCTTATCACGAACCACTCCTGGTTCGGCGCCGGTTTGAATATCGATGACGCCGCCCTTGCCCTTCACCACGTTGTGCTCCAGCCTGAAAGGAAATACACCAGTTAGAGGGAGATCCTCTTAAGATAATCTTCGAAGCACTCACGAATCCCTGTCCACAATGGAGACGATCTGGGCCGTTCCCACGGTGTCGATGATATAGGTGCTGAACTCGATGATGCGCGGAATGATTAGAATCAGGTCGCCCTTGTCCTTTTTCAGCTCGAGCGGAATGCGGATGACCATCAGGTCGTCGTTGTGGTTCGTAAGCGTAAAGTCAATCTTGTCCAGCGGCAGTCGGTGCTTCTGCTTGTAGCTCTTGCCATCCAGGACATAAACGGCCTTGTTGCTCAGCAGGATGAAGCGGTCGCGCGACTTGTAGCCGTGCCTGTCGAACTTGGTGCAGAAGGTCTGGTACTTGAGCTGCTCGCTGCCAAAGGTGCTGGCCACGAAGTCGTTGACACCCTGGATGTGCTCCTTGGGGATGCGGTCCTCCTCGAACCAGGTGGGCACACTGGCGGCGTAGTTGTTCTTCTTGCCCTTGAACACCTTCTCGGCGAGCACCTTGAGCTCGAACCGCCTCTTCTGCTGCGGCGTCAGCTTCAGGCGGTAGATCCTGGCCAAGTGGAGGCGATGCAGGCGGTGCAGGATGCCGGAGGCCTCCTCACAGTGACCCGGGGCGTGGGGCCAGCTCTTGTCCAGCACCTTGGTGGGCAGCTCCTTGGCCAGCCGCAGCAGCCACATCCGTTTGGCGTTGGCAATGAAGTCTTCGTTGAAGCCGTTGGGAGCATCGTTCCTCGTGATGAAGCCCTTGATGAAGGCCCTGATCTTGTCGGCGGCCTCCCTGCGCTGCTTGGCCGCCTGCTGGGCCAGCTTCCTGCGACAGTAGCTCTGCAGGACGATCACCTGGGCACGCAGCTTCAGGTAGCGCCTCCTCTGCACCAGTCCCTTCCAGTGGGCCTGGATGATGGCCGCAATCTCGTGCTTCTTGGCCTGGTAGGCGTCCTCCGTGTCGAAGAGCGTCCTGGGCCAGCGGATGAAGAGCTTCGTCTCGCCCACCTTGTACTTCTCCTCGTCCCAGCCCAGGTCCTTGACCAGCTGCTTGACTCCCTGCTTGGCGCCGCCGGGTCCCTTGTAGTTCGGCCAGGTGGACTTGCTCAGCGACTTGTAGCGCTCCAGGAAGAGCTCGTAGGTGCGCCGGTAGGCGAAGCCAGCTCGCCGTACCCGCAGGTTCTCCATCAGGCCCAGGTACTTCACCTGGTGCAGCACCAGCTCATCGTCGAAGACGCCGGCGGTCTGCAGGTCGTTTGGCTTGATGCAGCGAATGTAGCTGGGCTCCTTGCACATCAGGATGTCCATGAGGTTGTTCAGCGAAGCCCGGAACTGGGTGATGGCCGTGTCCGGGCGCTTCAGGCTGCGCAGCTCCTGCTCCGGGAAGCAGCTCCTCACAATGCCGTTGCCCGCCTTGCTGAGGGTCTCCTTGAGGTCCCTGAACAGCAGATCGTTGTTTTTGTCCAGGAAGCCGTTCACACTGTAGGTGACCTCGCCGGCGTAGTGCACCAGGCGGAACTCGTCGCGCAGCATGATCTTCTTGATGTGGGCCGGGGCTCGTTCGTGGCACACGTAGTGATGGTGCTGGGCCAGCTTCTGGGTGAGCTTCTCCAGGAAGGTCTTGTCCGTGGGCTCGCCCGGCCGCAGGCACTCCTCATCCAGGATGGAGATGATGCCCTTGTGCTTCTCCTCGATCAGGTTGCAGATCACCTTGTTGTCGAAGTACTCCACGGGTATCCACTCGATGCCCTCCCTCCTGTACTCGTCCTGCTCCGACTTCAGGGTCAGCTCGATGAACAGCTGCTGCAGCTTCTCGTTGCAGAAGTTGATGCAGAACTGCTCGAAGCTGTTCTTCTGGAAGATCTCGAACCCGTAGATGTCCAGGATGCCCATCACGTTGTTTCCGCGCGTTTCCTTCGCCTGCAGCGAGATGTTCAGGCGCTGGACCAGCCACGAAAACAGCCGGTCGTAGACAGCCTTGGCCAGGGCGTCGCGGGCATAGATGGCCAGCTCCTGGTTCAGTGGCGAGGTCACCACATCTCCTCGGGCGTCGATGGTGCGGTGGGTAAGAGCCGCCTCCAGTTCGCTGGCGTTCACGCCCAGCAATCGGGCAGCGGTGACCACAAGGTCGCGGCTGTTCACCTTGGCGTTTCCCTCGACCTCCTTGAAGGCGATGTTGCCCAAGTGCAGGATACTCGCCACAATGCCGAAGATCTCGCGCTGCTCCTCCTTGCTGAAGTCGATCACACTGAGGGCCTGCTGCACCTGCTTGAAGTTGTCCGCATCGTTGATGCTCGTCACGCTGCCTTTGAGCTGATTATTATTTAAATTTGTTATTATTTTATGTATCATATTATATTATCTTATGACACCGACTTACCCCATCGGTCAGGTAGCTATAAGTGTCCAGAGCCCGCTCCAAACGCAGCTCCTGCAGAAGGGTCTCATCGGCGCCAGCCAAGAGCTGGTAAAAGATGTGGAAGTTCCGCTCGCCATTCATTTGGGCCACCACACGCGACTTCTCCAGCAGATAGTTGAGGATGTTGCCGCCGACCGGAGCTCCCTTAAAGTCGAACTGGATGTCCATGTACTTGCCGAACCGGGAGGAGTTGTCGTTCCGGTTGGTCTTGGCGTTGCCGAAGGCCTCCAGCACAGGATTGCTCTTCAGAAGCTTGTCCTTGACACCCTCGACAGTCGTTTGATTGCCAGAGCAGGCGGCAATGAACTGCAGCACCTTCTTGGAGGCCTCCGTCTTGCCGGAACCACTTTCACCCGAAATGAGCACGCACTGGCCACGGTGCTCCTCGATCAGCGAACGGAAGGCATTGTCCGTCACCGCGAAGCTGGAAAGGAATAAGGGTTACTTAAGTAAATTGGTTATGAATATTATTAAATGAAATACTCACACGTGTGGAGGCATCTCGTAGAAGTGCTTGTTCCTGTAAGCCTTGACATGGGCATCGGAATAAATGGGCAGCTGCTTGTAGGGATTCACAGAGATCAACACCTGGCCAATGTAGGTCTGTAAGATCGGATAAATATATAGATGATTTCAAACAGGAAAGTATATATGTATAGTTTACTCACATAAATCAGGTTCTCCTGGAAACGCTTCTTCAAGTTCTGGATGAAGGCCTCTTCGCTTTGGTAGTTTTCAAGGAGCACAAAGTCCTGGACGCCAGCACGGTCCCGTTCGTGCAAGCCCGTCTCCATGTTGGGTAAAGTATTAAAACTGAAACGGATCGAGAAGAGTACGTTACAGATCGTCTAGAAAAGATATACTACTTGAAAATTCCCTAAAAAGTTTATTGATATTTTTCCAACTTCCTGAGAAAGTCCTCTCTATAAACTCTTATCGCCCACGTACTTAATCGTACAGCCCGTTCGAAAAGGTTGCCATGTTTAACCGCCACGATTAGAAAGAACCTCTTGAAAGCAATCATAGTAAAGACCCACAGAAAGCCCAAAGCCCCGTAGATAAGATTTAGGTGAAGTTTATAGGGCATACGAACTGTAATTTATAAAAACCCTGCGGAAATTAAGACTTCAGCAGGGAATGACACTGACCCATGGACATTCTCTGTTTTAGCCATGACTTCATCAGACATATCCAATAATACTTTATCTGCGTGCCAATGCAATCCAATCTTTGGTATTTATAGAAGTATAGAAATAATGGTGGGCAGGTGCAATTCACCTTATCAATGCCATATTTCATGGGGTTAGGGGAGGAGGTAAGAGTCGGCTTTATTGGGTGACTGCTTCATTTCTACTGATACGCGGCGGGCATATCCGTAAAAGAAACGATTATGCAATGGAGTTAGCGTACAGAAACACTTTAGCTGATATAACCGATCTCAGGAGGTAGTCTTTAGGGTTTATTTGGCCAAGGTTTCCTCAATAAAAGCAGTTTCCAAAGGGCAGTTAGGTAATAAATCCATGGTCAATCCATCCATCATCCATCTGTACCTGGTCATGGTTATTCGATTATCCTTATTCCTTTTCAATTAAGATTATTCCACAACACTTGGGTGCACAGAACTGGACGGTGGTATTAGTAGAATCTCTGAAGGAGATATCAGATGTCACGCATATTCCGCCCTTTGACGGCTCCGCTGGCAAACTAAACCGATCCGCTGGCAGCTGAAGCGTTTTAACCATCAATACTTCTCTACTCTACATATCAATTGGCCTCGTCGCTGTTTCGTAGTTGTTTCTGTATTTCAGTTGTTTTTTTAGTCGGCACATTTATCAACGATAATATACCTATGGCTATGAGGAGGAGAGCGATGGGCGGCCGCCAATCAGTCCCCGATTAGATAGGGGCTTTCGCGAATAAACTCGGGACCCGATTTTGAAAACCATGACATAAAACGCAGCAAAGCAAAGAATTCCGGAGCAGGCATTCGGCGGATCCAGTATCTGCGATCGCGATTAGTCTTGGTCGTATGCGTCAATCCTGAAGTTCTACACTGGAGATGACTCCATCTTGAGTGGTTCAAGATATTTGCCATGAATCACAGTCGTGAAACAAATATGTTTGCAACACATTTTTGAGCGTGAGTAAAAAAAAGTAGCACTTCTTCTTTTTATAAGTGCTATTAATCAAATTTAGATAACAACTGTTTATATTTTTTTTAAGCGCCGAGCTTTTGTTTCTTCTTGTTCTTATTTACTTTCTACCATATAAATTTGTATTTAACTCAAATAAGAATTTCTTAAAACACAACACCCAAAATAAAAAACTTATTTTACAAGTTATTCATTATTTCTTAAAACAGATCGGCGTGTCAATCTTGCTGTGGGCTTTTTATAATTTAAGATCAAATAAGACATTATTGAATGAATCATGAAAATATTAACTGCTGATACGCAAGGCTTTCTTTTATTCCGAGATAAAATTAAATGGATTTTTACAATCACTTTTCACATTAATTTTGCTTACTCTTCGTAATCCATTTCGAACCGTATTTGATTTTTACTGTCCATTAGGCCACGGGCCAAAGATTGAATTTCAATAAACATAGGTGAATAGTATTGGATGTACTTATATGCTTTTAAAAATGGAAAGAAAAAAGATAGTTCATCACTTTCACTCAAGATGAAAAACTGCTTATACCGAAAATTTTTCAACGGAGCCAAAATTTAAGAACTTATTGCTTTAGAGATTTCTAGATGACTGACCCGCTTTTGGGGGATGCCTGAGTCAGAATTCCGAGCCCCAACTCAGAGAAGTACTCGATTGCACATTAGCACTGTGTTATCAGCTATGAGTACGCTAAATAAGTCATTGCCGAATGCAAACATTGTAAGTTCACAGACTCGTTTCCAATTGATGTCGATATTGTTTCGGTCTCCATTTCATTACATCTGCTCTTGCTCAATTGGAAATTGGGTTCGATGGCGTGGGGAAATGGGGAAAAAAGCGAGTGCCTCGCTAATTACAAAATGTTTGCCGGCGGTTCGAGACGGGAAGACTTCCCAGGAATTCTCGAAGAGAGCGGCAGACACGTCCCAGTCTTAAAGGCCAAGCTTATGGCAAGTCGATGTTTGTCACATAATTGTTTAATTGCACGTAGGACAGATTGATGTGGATAGCTAATCATGTCCAGCACCTCACAGAAACGTTTTAAATAAAGGTCGCCGTCTTTTGCACTCTTTTTGTTTTATTTTTTAATCTATCAAATTGTCAGCCGCCTAAGATTGTGCTACGTTTAAGGTATCAATAAGTAAAAAAGATTAAATTAAACCCAATATACAAAATAAGTACATAACATATATTATTATTTTGGATATATTTTAATGAGTAATCAATGTGTGCCCATTTTGGCACGCAATTATGTGTCTTAACAAACGTTCAGATATTGTTATGATAAGATAACTTGTTAGGGGTTATTAATAAAATTATAGATATGTATACCTTGGTGGTTTTTCATCGTATAAATAAGTATGTCAATAAATATTCCAATTAAAGTATAGAAGTGGCTTTTTTTTCAAGTGAAAATAATAATAATAATAAATAGTAAAACTGAGATTGCAAATTTGAAAAGCTGCTTGGAACGATAAGGTTTTATATACTATTTTAAACGAATGCCTTCTAACTTTTTATAAACGGGTATCAAAAGCCATTGACTTTCCTCTCCTTTTTATGTTTCCTTAGGGAGTCGTTATTGTCGGCTTTTTTATCCACATTTTTTATCCCCACTCAGCCTGGTAATTGAGTGAAGAACTGGTTTCTCCGATCCAGAAATGCTCCACCATGTGATGTAATAGAGAACTCCGGCTCTTAGTGGAATCAAACAACTCGTAAACATGTCTACGACACCCGACCCATAACGGAACTCCAAAACATGATCCCACCCAAACGAAAAAGTGCTCAAACTTTTAATCTCACACCGAAAAAAAATTAGAATTCAACATAAAACTTTTAGTTCACGAAAGGAAGTTGATTTTGTTTCAATTATCTTTAAAAGAGAAAGAAAAATAAAAAATCTTGGGGTATTTATATTTATATGAAAGAAGAAGGGAAGTAAAAAGAAATAATATTGCTTATAGAGATTAAATATTTGTATACGCAAATATCTAAAAAATTCTTCAAGCATATTATTTGCTTTCTTGATTGCAAATGCCCAGTTTTTCTTCAGTGAAATTAGCTTTCATTATAAGCATACAAATGACGTCATATATCAAGTAGCTATATCGCGGTATATTGAACTCTTCGGGTTGAGTTGAGAAAATGCAGGGCTGGCAGAACGATTAAAGAATGGAGAAGGGCAAGAAGTGGGAAGATACCACAAAGCCCCCATCGTCATATGCAAATTAATGATCGCAGTTATTAGAACGGTGCTTGATCGATCCGAGATCGAGTTCAAAACGAATAAAAATGGAAGAAAGAAAGCCAGCCCAAATTTGGGCCACTCGCCATTAATAGCAGCTGCATTGGTTTATTCTAATGAGAAAACCGGGAACAAGATGTGAGATTACCGGAGTGGGTGCATCACCGGCTCTATAAAAGGGAACTGCAGCTGCAGTGGCCAGGTTATTCGGAAGACGAACATGGACCGAAGAGTGACAGCGATTTGTTTGGGTAAGCGTGGTCTTTGGTTCCTTGATAAGGCCTTCTTAATAAAAGAATGCATCCTTGCAGCTATCCTGCAGCTGGGGGGCAGTGCCCTCTGTTTCCAGGACAAGGCTCCGGTGCAGACGAGCCTGATCACCGGACAGGCCAGGAACGACAAGCAGCAACAGGTGCTGGACGATCCGCTGGGAAGTGGTCGCGGCATTGATGAGCACCTGCTGAAGACCATTGGTAAGGGCGGCATCAAGCTGGTGATGGCATCCGGCACCCCGACGACCACACCGAAACCGTCAGTACAACATCATTACTATTATCCACCAGAGGATCAGCAGCATCCGCGCCAGTACGGCTATGGTCCTCCGCCGCCTTGGTCTCCGGGTCCGGCTTACCCGCCGCCTCCTCCGCCCCCACAGCGTCCTTGGGGCCCACCGCCTCCTCCTCCGCCGCCAGGACCTCAGCCCTACAATCCCTACTACAATGGCTACTACGGTGGTTTCGGCGGTTACGGCGGCTTTGGCTATGGTGGCTTTGGCTATCCTGGCTATCCTGGCTTCTCCGGCTATCCTGGCTATCCGTACTACCCCTTCTATCGCTCAGCGACGGTCGGCGATGTGGATAACCAGTTGCCCGGTCCCGAAGGACTTACCCCCTCCGCCATTCCTGGCGTTTTTCAGGGCAGGGCCGTGTTGTCCCAGAACTTCCTCGAGGGCAGGAACAGCGCCAACATCGTGCCACTTTATCACCTTTTGCAAATGGCCAGGGCTTAAATACTGTCAACGAATCCTTAATAAACAACTGAATGAAATATACACTACACATCGAGACTTGTTTAAATTGGAAAATTTCTTATGTACAAATTCCCAATTTGGATTTGCGAAAACGTAAGTAAATTACACCAGTAAATTTACCTATGATAAATAATTATAAAAGTAAGTCGAACATAAATAGAAAAGTTTCCATAGTAATCATAAACAAAATAGAACCCTAATCAACTCAAATGAATCAAGAATGGATCACTAGACCTGAAGAGAACCCAAAAAAAGGCCGCTGACCGAAAGAAGCGATGATCGAATTCGTTTAAACGATCGTCATGCCATCGCCACTTCTCGCACTCGCAAAGACTGGAAATTAAAATTCAAACTTCGCAGGCCAAACGCTTGACTTGTCGAGGCGAACACAAAAAACACAAAATCTGGACTCGCGGCAGCTGAGTCACCCGCTTTTGGGGACGAGGTTTTGGGGCCGGTTCGAGGAGATCTTGCCGGCATCTGTGACGCATGCCAAGTCTCTGGGTCTCGGATAACCATTAAGTATTAAACAATCACCGAAGGCATTCGCCCGCTGTTTTCTTAGCTCATTGCAAGCCATAAAAAGCGTCAACAGCGGCTGATCTTGAACACGATTTACTGGCAATTGCAAAAAGAAAAATGTGCTGAAAGTCGTTCCCCTCCCTCTGCCAAAAAAAAGGTCTCGTTTTTTACCTTTTTTGTTTCTGGTTTCGTTTTGAACCTCTATATTTTTTTTGCTCGCAAAACAGACTTTTTGCTCGTACTCACGTTGAATAAGAGTTGCGGCTTGGGGCTTCCACGAAAAGCCCTTACTTGACACTTTACCGAATTGAATAAACCCGAGGTGCGATGTAATTGGGATCCCAACACGAGCTGACGCTCACTCCTCCATCAAAAGAAATGAAATGGAACTGCTGGCTCTGGGTTCTTTGGGGCTTCGTCAATCGAAGTTTTATGACAAGTGGGGATTTTCGCTTTATTTGCTGTCGCTTAGGTATATTTATTTCTGTGGAGCATATGACAATCTTTCGGTTTATCGCTTTATAAATTAAGATCTAAAATATCTCAATTTAGAATTTGAAAAAAAAGTAAGGTAAAAGTTGGATTTAAAGCCGAAAAGTTATCCCCCTCAACTTTAATCTTTTTAAATCTAAAATCCAAAAAACTTGTAACATACTATTACGAGTAATCTTAATCTTTGTACTTAAGTCTGTTGGTATATTAATTCGACCTGTTTACTAAAACCAATTGTTTTAAATCAAAATATAGGATAATCTGCTGTTTACTCTACTCTAAAGTGAATACCATTATCTCCATTCATAAAATAGGGCATACAAATTGTCAGCAAGTTCCCATTGAAGTCTTGTGCCAATCTTTCGTGGAAAAGCGATTTGCTTGGATGGTTATATAGACGTTTATAACAATCGCCCGGGTCTTGGCATTTCCCCTTAACTTTGTATCTTATCAAATCACCGATTTAAAGACAGTATGCGTAAAAATGCACCCTGTATCTGTATGATCAATAGCCATATCAGTAACATTTGTTGAACCCAGTGAAAAGATAACACGACCGATTCCGATAAGAGAAAGTTCAAGTTTGTCATCGAGACACGATTTGAACCTTTTTGGGTGGGTGTGGATCGTTATGCTCACAAGATTTGGTTATGTTTTAAGCGGCACAGTCAAATCACCACATGACAAGGCCCGGCGATAATAAATATCGCAATTACCCGAACCAAAAGGCGTGCAATTTTATTTCCTTCTTTGGTTCTTCGTTTGTTCTTCTGTGTTTGTTTGGCTTGTTAGTTGGCACAAACTTTGCATTACATCATTACCAAATTAATCTTTTGTTAGACGCTTTTTTTCTCCCTTGCTTTTCCAACTCGTTTAATTTGGGTGCCAAGTGGAAGGCGATGACATTGAGGGCAACGCTTCATGCCTCCAAAACAGATCCAGAACAACACATTTTGGTTAGATAACATTACCATTCAATTTAAGTAGGGTCCAGGTATTTGACTAACTTTTTTTTGAGTGTGGAGTTGGTTATTGTTATTTGTTTGTATTGAAACAGCTGCCAGATTTGGCGAATCATTTGGCTTCGTTTCTCGATCCATTGCAGTTGGTTATTTAAGCGGCTTATGGCCACTGTTTTCAAAACTGGGTCAAATTAATGGAGGGCCGTCAAAGTGTGGAAATGAAATTGAAATTTGATACGATTTCAATTGGTCAATTGGAGGGGGATGACGAGACATACCCTATACATATATTAATCGCGAGGTACTGATTACTCATAGCTCTTGCAGTATCATACGCCCTGTTGACCCTCTTTGTGTGGTTCTGTTTGTTCCTGCTATAAAACCTGAGCAAACAAACTTATCCCTGTGGAGTGAGGGAGACAGACAGGTGGACTCCAACCACCACATTCTCAGGGGGCCAGTATGTGGTAAAATATGAGCGTGTGTGGAAGGAAGAAATCCCAGGAAGCGGACAAAAGAGGGAAAGAAAGAGCAAAATTGAGGTGCCTAAACGCTCGCTTTATTAGAGGAGCATCACCATAAACCAGATCTCCTATTCGTTTTGCGGTTGCCCAAACACAGAGAGAAACTTTGCGCCTTTATAAATTGCTGTAATTAATCAGATAATAGTTTTTGTGTTTTTATTTTGAGAAATGCACACAAATTCAGTTAATAATTTGAAAAATAATAAAACTACCCACAAGCTACCCAACACTAGCACAAGTATATACTATGATTAGAGATCGAGCTTTAAGAGGAAGTTTTAGGGGTGTTTTAAGGATAGAATATATTTGAAATACATTTTTTCTCTCAGTGCATTGCTGCCTTTGTGGCTCTTTTTGTGATTTTATATAGCTTTTGTTGCGTTTGGTGTCCAAGTTCAAATCGTGCAAAGGAAAGAAAGCAGCGGAAGACGCTGCAGATCACGACCACGGGCAAACCGGCAGAACCGCTTTTTTCGTATTTATATCTTCAGTTTTTTTAAACCTCATGTGCGTCTCATAATATCGCTGTTTTTGGTGTCTGCTCCGGTGCTCCGGACATTTGTTAGCTGTCAGGATATGCAAAAATTGCGATCGTAATTGATTTTATAGGCCATCTCGCTGCAGTCGTGGTGGATTAAGAAGTTTCAGCTGTCAAACGCTTGATAAATGGCTAGCACATTTGTAATCGGGGGGCTAAGTACCCATAATTTCACAAAACTTGTCGCCCGAAGTCGTTACTTTTTGTTGTTGGGGGGCTCTACCTGTTTGAATTTCTTTTTCGATGCGGGTACCGTTAGCTTGACCCGGCACAGGTGACGGCACAAAAACGTAAACCGCGAACTTGTTGTTATTGTCGTTGTTTATAATTTTTTTAAATCGAGGCGATAGCGGCATATAGTATTCGACATCAGTCGGGTAATGTTAAGCACCGAACGCACAACGCATGCAAATGAGTTTCCAAAAAAGTTCTCGACGGAGAAACAACAAAGTTAACGAACGATTCCGCGCGAACGCGCACCTTTGCCAAAGTTAAAACTCAACTGACTTCGGTAGTTTCGATTTGCCGCCACATTTGCGCCCAGCTGTGCCGCCGACAGTGGAGCTAAGTAAGCTTTTTTCCGACAAAAGCAAAAGGCTGTTATCGTTATCGAGCTTAAACTTGAACCATTTCATTTGAGGTGTTTTGTTTTGCTTTCTTATAGTAAAACAACAATTAAAATATTTAATTTTATAAAAATTTGAGGAAAATAAATTTTAAAACTTAAAATTTTTTTATTAAATTAATAAATTAAATTAATGAGAATACAAACAAAATTTTGAAAACCGAAAGTTAATGAATTAAATAACAACTACAAAATAAAAAATATAAAGGATTTTTGTTATATCGCCTTAACACTTGATTACCAATTTTATTACTCTTTCTTTCTTTCCTTCCATAACAATGTGATATTGATAACTAGTCTAGAGTTTAAAGCCATAACACAACATTTTACTATTTGATTTGATCGTTGATAAATGTGTGTTCCGAGTTTGTCATTCTCCAATCCAAAAACGCGGGAAACATTTGAAAAAAACCTGTATCTGAAAGTCAATGTATACGAGGTCGATCAGACCAAACTAAAACCCTGAGTTTGCTGGATGGCTTGCAGAAGCTTGTACTTTAGGCGCTCCTTGGTCTTGTAACGCGGCAGGTCCAGCAGATTGAAGCAGGTGTGAGCCACGGGTAGGAAGCGTTCGTCCGGAGTAGGCTGAATGGTGAGCTAATCACATAATTTTTAGTACGAAATTCTCAATTTTATAAGGTTAGCCCACTCACTTTAAGGGCCTTCATGCCCTGGATGGGTATACGATCGCTGCCAGTCAAATAGAGCAGGAAACTCTTCTTCTCCGCCTCGGATAGATCGTGAATCACCTCCCAAAACCATTTGATCTATGCAAAGAATAAGTGTAAATTTTAGGTTGGAGCTCTTTACCTTATAACTCACTGTATCATCGCCCGAGCTGTAGCCATCGCGGTACTCGCAGTGGTCCTGCAGTGCCTGCCAGTCGTAGTCCTCGTTTCCTACCACCACAGCCATAAGCTCCTCGGGCTGGAAAATTTTGATCACCCGCCCAGAGCAGACCTTCATAAAGCCCTTATGAAAGGCATTGTAATGCAGCTCGACAGATTTGTTAAATACAAAGTCCACATACAGATCCACAAACTCCTGTCTAAGAGAAAAAATAATAATTAATTGAGTTAAGATCTTAAGTATAAGCACACCCACTTGTTTTCCTGCGTCACGGCTATTTCGTTGCCATTGGGCTTGAGGAGCTTGGTTTCCGCCTCTCCAAACACGTCGCGAGATATCTCAAATGTCAAATCAAAGACTTCTTTAAAGTCCTCGCCCTGGTAGTCAAGCAACGACTGCATGGAGTTGGCCTCAGGCGGCGAAAGCTGACGAAGATCGCTAAGATCCACTGGCTTGTTTAACAATTTCTTGTAGAGAGCCAACGGAAATGGCAGGTTAATGATTGTAAAGTTGTAGATAGCCAGACCACAAAGCACGCCGATTAGGAAGTACATGTTCTCGGTTTCAAATGTAAGATCTGCAAACCAAAGCAAGCGCGACTCTTCGAACTCCTTGAACATGCCATATTTTGGGTCGAGAAGATCCTTCAGCAGCAGCATAAAGAACTCCTTGCGCACGCCGCCCGCGTCCTCCGCCTCCTCACCGTGGAATTTGATCTTGAGCGGCTTCTTAAGATCGCTTTGGGAGTAGTGCTGAAGCTCTCGAAGGGAATCCTGCACTAGATTCTCCCGCGTCACGTTCAGCACAATAAATTGGGAGACGGGCATGCCGTAGTTCAGGAGATTGTAAAATGCCTACAAGGTAAAAGAACACCGATTAGCTCGGAAATCTAGCCCAAATAAAAGTTACTTACATTCGTGGCCGCATGGGCCATGGCAGAGTGCATCTGCAGTGCCTGATCGGCTTGAAGCAGCGCCGTTTTGGCAGACGGATCGAAGAGGAATGAAAAGTTGCAAATATTGAATTCGCTGGCAGTGTCGGCCATGATCCACTTGACATACTCCTGCTGCACATCAGCATAGTCGGCAAGGTCTGGCCAATAGAAGGTTTGGTAGCTGAGGCGGTCTATGCGCTGGTTGTTAATGTAACATAGTGTCTGCATCAACTTCAGGATCACCTCTAGCTCTGTGTTATATGGCAGCAGCTACAATATAAAAGTTTGAGCTATCATAGACAAAATTATTCCCATTCAAACTACTTACTCTTTGACGCCTTTCGGCAGTGGGATTGACCACTGCCAAGCCCATTTTAAAGCTAATAATGTGCACTACCACGTGCAAAAAGTTTTGGACAAGATGTTCAAAGTAATCCGTTGGCGTTAGAGCTAGCCACTTAATCAGCACCTTTCGCGGATTCTCAGTCAGCTTAAATATGGCATTGGCGAACGGAACTTGAAGTGACTTGTAGTGCTTGGAGTTCACAAACTCATGATAAAGGGGTAGCAGTAGGTATAAGCGCATGCTTTCGACGTCCGCTGGTGAACATACCAGCGAACCAATAAGTTCTTTGGTCACATTGTCCCAGATCTTAAAGGAATATAGGATATTAATGGTGTCTGTGAATGTTGGTATGGCGAAAACTTACCACCTGCTTAATACTTTCGTTTTCCACAATACGCAAATTGTCAAATGCCAGTTGAGCTTCTTTGAGATCCAATCCATAGTTTCGCACAGAGCAGCCAAAGTGTCTGTCGTGATCCAACAGGAAAGAGCCATTTAAACAGGCCTGACTCTTGAAAATGAGCTCTATAGAACTTAAGAGGTCCATGTCGCTTTGATTACTCTGCTTAAAATGCGCACATTGCTTGGTGATCTCTGCTGTTAAGGCCAGGATCTGGGATTTGGGTCTGCAAGAAAAAATACATAAATCAGTAAATTTCCAGTAAAAGAAAAACAGTAACTTACTTGTAATTCCTAAAATCTCCGGGAGGCACCTTATCCATAAATAAGGTTGTAGTCACAATTGACTGATCCCCGCCAGAGAAAATCTGTTGGATCACCATTGAAACCTTCGCGTCGTTGGACTGCAGCAAAGTTGAGCCACTTGGCGACACCCATGGACCAATCACCACCTGCGGTAGCATAAGGCTTTTGGTACTCCTTGTGCCCAGCTGTCCGGAACTGCCCAAACCGAAGGCGTAAACTCTACCACGTGAGGGAACCAAAGCCAGAGTGTGTCGATTACCGCAAGCTACTTGAGTAATTGTGCTGCCCATTAGCTCCATCACCATTCTCGGCAGCATCTCATTTGAACTGAATCCATGCCCCAATTGTCCATAAGCGCCAGCTCCACAGGTGAACACGCCTCCCTCGTTGGTCAAAAAAACAGAGAACTCATCGCCGCACGCCACGTATCGAACACCAAGTGTGCGCAGCGTCTTCAGCTGGGTGGGATACGGTCGATTTGTCTCGTCATTCAGACCCAGCTGCCCACAGTTGTTCCTGCCCCAGCCAAACACTGCACTCGATTTAGAAATTAGGAACGAGTGATTGCCCCCACAAGCAATGGCGGCCAGGGGAATTCCGAGCAGTGTGGTCAGGAGAAGGGGATGGTTGCAGTGCGTAAGCTCCTTGGGGGAGCTGACGCCCAACTGGCCGTAGATGTTTGAGCCCCATGAATACAGCTCGCCACCTGCAAGAGTAAAGGGTAAAAATATTAGTTATGAGGAAAATCTATAAAAAAAATTAAGCTTCCTGCGTAAATACATTAGTTGCTTATATGAAGTCATATTATTTACACAAACTTACTTAAGTAAATATTATTTTATGATATAAGTTATCTTATCAAGTATTCAGTAAGTGATATTATAACTTTTTATGACAAAGAAGTATTGTATTTTTTATGTGCGGTTGCAAAGAAATCTTGTAAAATTATCGATAAAGGAAATAACTAAAGGGCATTTACATTTTTGAAAAAATATACTTACAACTGGTCAGCGCTAAACTGTGGTTATTACCACAGGCAATCTGCACAACCGTCTTAGAGACCAACTGGCGCACAACCTTAGGCAGCTGGACGATCTCCTGGTCGGTGGCGTGGCCTAACTGGCCGCAGTCGTTATCGCCCCAGCTTAAAACCTGACCCCATTCGGAGAGAGCCATCGAGTGGCGGCTTCCGCAGGCAATCTGGATGACCACATAGTCCTGAAGTTCGGGGATAAGCACTGCAATGAGTCGGTAGAGGAGTGAGTCCGGGATTTAGCATCGGATCACAGCAGTGTCCAAAGGAGGAGCAGGTGGTATGGTGATGGATGGCGTTAGGAGAATGGAGAGACAAGACGATAAATGAATTTACATACGAAATGGCGACATACGTGGCCTTTTGGTGGGCAGTTCATGTCCCAGTTGTGAGTGATCGTTGCTGCCGCATGCGAAAACTTTTCCGTTGGCGGTAAGGAAAAGAGTGTGCCGATGTCCACAGGCCACCTGCACTACGGCAGAGTCCGGTGTCCATGGAATCTGGCTAGGCGTGAGTATCTGTCAAGGAGATGAAGATGCGAAAAATAAGCAACCCAGTAACCCATGCCTGAGATTTCGTGTCCACCTGCTCGTCTTCAATCCCGCCAAGTCCCAATTGTCCATGGGAGGTGTTTCCCCAGCAGTAGAGTTCCCTGCCGGCTGCCATTACTCCTGTTCCTCCCTCCAGCTCCTCGGGTTTATTTTGGGCTTATCTGATTTAATTGTCGGTGCTACGAAAATTTTCGAGAAAGTTCCTAGTTGGCTACATTCTTTGTCCACTGCCTCCCCTACGCTTTTTGATTTGGATATCGTTGGTCTTGCTTCCTCTGCTCATGCCTTTTCAGACTTTCGATGTGTGTCACCTGGATCTGTATCCTGCGTCTCTTGAAATTCTATGCAAAACACTCTTTAACTGTTATTTACGATTTCAATAATGTTCTAGAAAAATAAAACATAAAAACTCAAAAACCAGCAACAAAAAACCAACAAATAATGGTGGGTGCCAACTTATTGCTAAAATAATCATTTTTGTAGGTTGACAGCTCTGTGGGTAAATTGATAGGGCTGCAGAGCTGGCGGACTAATAACCTCCGCATCCGCAATTGGATAGCTGGTTAGTGACTACTAACAGGAAAATATATTTCTAAAGTCAACCAAAAACCATTTTTCCCGTTATTAAGTTTTGCCCGTTAAATATTGAGATTTAATTTACGTTATTAAATTTAACTATAAACATAAGCCGGCATCTCGAGAGACCTAGAAGAAGCTGATAAGCCGTTTCACTGAATTGTTTAAATATTAAACTCTATTGCTAAAAAGCTAAAAACAAAGTTCTACAAAAAAATTAATTTAAATACAATTTTAATAAGACAAACTTTTTCTTTAACAATCTATTGGATTAGTTCATAATCTATAAACATATGGGTTTGTTTTGATTTGCATCCCTGGTTTAATATCAGCCGATTTTGCTAGCCGCCTTTACTGAACTTTTGACCTTTGGTCATTTTGGCTTGAAAGATTAGGCCAAATCTTAGGAGTGTATATCAGAGCTATCAACACTGGATATCCCGCGCAAATCTAATAGATTTAAAAAGGTTGCTGGACTTGCAAATGTGGTGCAACAAACATTGAACAAAGGAAAACCGGTTGCCACGGGGATTCGACAACTCATTGCGTGTGAAAAGAGTTGAGTCGGCACAGGTGCCGATTGATTTTCACCTATTTTTGCCACGCCAACAGAAGCGGAAAATATGCAGGAGGCCTACGTCAACATCAACTCCATCCCCACCCACATCTTTACCTGGGGCAGGTGGATCGAGGAAACCATCACTGAGAAGGAGATCGTCATTTGCATAACAGGGAATCCAGGATTACCAGGCTTCTACACAGAGTTTGCGGGTACATTGCAAAAGGAACTAGGTGATCTTCCAGTTTGGGTGATAGGTTAGTTTTCTTGACTACCCTTGATAAGTTACTAATGATTGATTCCCTTTCAGGTCACGCGGGCCATGATGACCCCCCGGAGGCAAGTATTCGGGAGGTTCCTCAACTTAGTGGCAACGAGGAGCTCTTCAATTTAGATGGGCAAATAAAGCACAAAGTAGCTTTCATTGAAAAGTACGTGCCAAGTGATGTAAAAATTCACTTAATTGGCCACTCAATTGGGGCTTGGATGATCCTACAACTGCTGGAAAACGAGGGGATACGGAACCGAATCCAAAAGTGCTACATGTTGTTCCCCACCGTCGAGCGGATGATGGAGTCACCGAACGGCTGGATCTTTACTAAAGTGGCAATGCCTCTGTACTCGGTCTTCGGCTACATCTTCTTCAGCTTCTTCACCTTCCTGCCCCAGTGGCTGCGCCTTATGCTGATCCAGATCTACTTTCTAATTTTCTCCATTCCAACGCAGTTTTTGGGGACTGCCTTGAAATATTCCAAGCCCTCGGTGGCGGAGAAGGTGGTCTTCCTGGCCGATGACGAGATGGCCAGAGTACGCGGCATCCAAAGGGAGATTGTAGAGCCGAATCTAAACCTTTTGAAGTTCTACTATGGCACCACCGACGGTTGGGTACCGGTATCCTACTACGAGCAGCTTAAAAAGGACTACCCCAAGGTGGACGCCCAACTGGACACTAAGAAGATAGCCCACGCCTTCGTCTTGCGGGATTCAAAACCGATGGCGGCAATTGTGAGAGACATGATCCAGCAGAATCGACGCGCATAAGACCAAGGCATATGCTAGACCAAACCATTGGCCCTGCCTATTGCCCAATTAACATAAAACGGCAGGCTCAAACGACCCCATAGCAATTCCTCCACTGCCTTTGATTGGCAATTAGTTTGTTTTTATTAGTATCTTTTTGCATCTCTCGAAGGAAACTCTAAATATAGTCAAAAGTGATTTAACCTGGTTGTATCGTGCGTTATTTTGCCGGCGATCCGGACCTACTGCGGGATCCCGACTTGGACCTGCTGCCAGAGCGGGAGCGAGACCTTGATCCCGACTGTGAGCGAGATCTTGAGCGGGAACCGGACTTTGAGCGTGACCTAGAGCGAGAACCCGACTTGGAGCGGGATCTAGAGCGAGATCCAGACTTCGAGCGCGATCTTGAGCGGGAACCTGAATTGGACCGGGCACGGGAGCCAGACCGATCCGATTCGCCTCCAGATTCGATGCGGTTCTTGGCCCGCTTGCGCTTGGTAGCCCCATCGCTGTCGCTGCCGGAGCCGGAGCCACTCCTGCTCCTGCTCCGCTTGCGGCTGGCATCCCGATCACTGCCACTACCAGATCCACTGCCACTCCGGCTTTCGCTGCGATTCCGACTGCGACTCCGGCTTCTGCTTCTACTACGGCTCTTGCTTCGCTTGCCGTCCGACTCTGATTCGCTGGTGGAAATCGTCTCCTTGGACAGAACCTTGAGACGTTGCTTGGCCGAAAGTTTCTCCTTGACCTCCTTAACGGGCTTGGGCTTCTTGCCCTTCTTTTTGCCTGATTTGCCGCTGGCCCTCGGTTCCTCCTCGCTGTCGCTCTCGTACTTCTCGGTCTTCCGTTTGCGTCCGTTGCCCTTCTTGCGCTCTCCCTTGCTCTTCTTCTTTGTGGGACGCTCTCCTTCTCGGCGTGCGCCGTCATTGTCGCTATCGGTGCCCGAAATATAGTCATCCTTGCGCGGACGACCGCCTCCTTTTTGCGCGCTCCTTTTCCGGGGCCGAATCGGCGATGATGAGCATGTTCTTGGTTTTTTCCACGTACTCCTGTCGCTTGGCCAGCAACTGGTCTCTAGAGGTCTTGGCCTCCTCCTCACGCCGCTTACGCTGTTCGGCCACTTTAATCTTAAAGGCCTCACGCTCCTCTTCCTGTTTTCGGCGCAGCGACCGCTCCTCCTCGTCAATGCGGCGAGCACGACCAACATGATATTGGGCCTGTGAAAGCAGATCCTGGCAAGTGTTCGCCTCAATTCCAGCCACCTCGATGTTGAAGCGGTTCTTGTCGCCGTGCACGGACAGGTATTGAAAGTATCTAAGGGGGATTGGAGAATTTAATTTGATTCAATTTGATTGAGAAGACTTTGTTTAAACTCACTTTTGAGCCAGTTCTAGTTCGTGAACCGCCTGCAACACAACCTCCAGAGTGGATTTCTCATCCTTGAGTATGGCCATGGCTAGTCGCGAGAGCACTACTGCTATATTGAACAGTAAAACAGTATCCTGAGGAGCAACACGGCGGGCCTTAAGGAGCACTGCCTTGGCCTCCACAAGCTTGTTGGCCCGAAGATAAGCTCTTGCTAGATATTGCATCACCTCGACGTTATTGTGCTTGTAGAACTTCTTCATGCAGTTTTCGTACATCTGGATGGCACTGATGTACTGTTTCTGCTCCACATAAACATGCGCAATGTTCAGCCACACGTCGCAGAAGTCAGCAGTTGCTTCGCGAACCTGAGCAAAGATATCCCGCGCCTCGATTACACATCCTTTATGGGCCAGCACAGCTCCGATTCCATTGGTGGCCCAAATGTTACGAGGATCATTGCGAAGAACCTAAAAATAAATGAATTTAAATCTAGTTCAGCTTTACAAATACGTTTAGAAAACCCACCTGCTTAAATATTGCCAATGCTTTTTCCTGGTGCTTTCTCTCCTTCTCCTTGTCCCTACTCGGTTGATGCAATGTCTGCAAGGAAAAGTTTCCGAGGGCAATTAGTGAATAAGCATCTGTAGAAGTAGCTGGGTTCTTGAGAATCGTTTCGAAGTTCTTCTGTCCCAAAGCGAATTGCATTTTGGCCAAATGAAGGTTGCCCAGCAGAGATCTGGCGTCAGGATTGTCGTTGTTAATGTTCAGAGCATCCTTGAAGAAATCAGAGGCAACAAAAATCAAACCCTTGTCCCTGGCCATGCAACCCAGCCGCAGGTAGCAATCGATATAGTTAGGATGCTCCTTAAGGATTTCCTTGTACAGCTTGTCGGCAACATCGTAGCTGCTCATTGCTTCGTTTAGACGAGCCAGGTTGTATTTCATGGTGACCTGGATGGACTCGTAGTACTTCACATCCTTGTCCATTTCAGAGGTGGCGTGCTTCAGAGCAGACTCCAACGTGTCCTTGGCCATCTTTAAATTTCCCAAGCGGTAGTGCAGCGAGGCCACATTGTTTTGAATCTCAGCAGGAATCTCATACTTGGCTTTGTCCCGAAGAATACTTGAGGCTGTACCATAGGCATTTAACGAAGCCTGCAAATCGTTCTGCTCTAAAATCTGGGCCAGTTCTATCCAGGCTTCAATATCCTCGGGAAACTGCTCGGTGACTTTCTTTAAGTGAGTCTTTGCCATGTCCCGCTTGGTTTGCGAGTTGGAGTGAGCATATAATGAGCCAAGGATTTTCATGGTCTCATAATTTCCGGGCTGGATTTTCAAGACCTTCTCAAAGCACTGAGCCGCCTGGAAGTATGAAAAGTTAGTGGTTTCGTTGGGAAATAAAATCATTCTTTTTTACTTACATTCTCCGTGTCGCCTCGATATATGTACATCTGACCCAGTCCGTAATGTGGCAAAACAAAGTTGGCTGGCGCAATCTGAGTGGACTGGTAGTAGTACTGAAAGGCCTGATCGTAGTCGCTCTGGGCGTGGAAGCTCCTGGCCAGCTGGTAACAGCTTTCAGCGCGCATCGCCTCGTTCTCGGTGTTGTGAAAGGCATGCAGCGCCAGATGGTGAACCTTCTGATAGTCCTTCTTAAAGAAGAAGTGATTGGCCAGGTGATTGAGCACCATAGGATTGGCATTGTCGATGGTATACGCCTTTGAGAGCATCTGCACACCCAGCTTGTTGGATTCCGGCTCCAGTTGGTTGAGTTTCAGCACGGCTAGGCCAATCAAAGCACCCACACACTGCTGATCCAGCTGGAGCGCACGCTCGAAGGCAAGTTTGGCCTTTTCAGGATTGCCCATTTTTAGAAAGCAGTGGGCCATGCCAATCCTCACGTTAGCTGGGCAGTTTGGGTTTGTGCGCAGTGCTTTCTTGTAGAAAGCCATTGCTCCGCGGTAGTCCTTGCGATTAAAGGCGATGCAAGCCTTGCCCAGCAGCGAGGGAATATTCGAGGGGGACTGATTGAGCACAAAGTTGAACTGGGCATCCGCCTGGTCCATCTTGTCGCCCTCAAGAAGGCAGAAGTAGGCCCTGCCCAGCAGATGGCTCTGGTCGTACATGATGATCTTGTCGGCACTGGTGTACAAGTTAGTGGCCTTCATGAAGAGCTCGCGCTTCTTGTCCTTGGACTTCTCACGGTACGCCTCCTGGACATAATGGGCGGCCAGCATGTCCAGGGCGCGCATGAGGTCCTTGTCCGAGTCGCGGTACTCCTTGGTAGCATCATCGCTGCGAGACTCCTCCAGTAGGGTAACAAAGTCCGACGTCTTTTTTTGCTTGTAGTAGGCAAGCTGCAAAATATAATGCCATGTGGTGTGAAAACTTTAAAATTTCGGGTAGCCCCATCTATTCTTACCGCAACATTGACCCAAACATGCAGTGGTGCACGCTCCTGCTTGAGAATGCTCAGCACTTCCAGACAGTCGGGCAGTTGATCCGGGTCTACCTCGATCACCTAAGTTGGAAAAAAAGGAGTTAAATTGCATTCAACTGAGAGCCTTGAAATTCAAAATTACCTCATCGGTGTCCTGCAGCGGAATTTCTATGCAGTTCGACATGGTTGCGGCGGCCCTGAGCCAAGAAATTAAGTGCCAAAAATCACTTTACAGGCTCCAAGCTTGTGAAATTGTTCGAAAATCAGCAAAATTAGCAAACAACTACTTTTTTTCCATTCCGGTACGCTTGCTAGAGATGGCAATTATTCGATTGCATTTGACATCGATTGGTGAAAACAAGGATTAACCAGCGGCAAAATGCCAGCCGACTTTTTAAAATTTTTTTTAAATATTTATACATTCTTGTTACTTTAATTTCGCCTAATAATTAATTTAGTCTGCCCGTACTTAAGAAGTTTTTATTTCATAAGATTTTTGCTTATGTAAATCAGCAAAATTTTTCATGTCGTTGAGACAGAGAATTCTTGTGGTATGCTAGTTTCGGTTAAGTTTCTTCTTAATAAAAATTAAAGGTATTATGAAATAATAAAATAAATAAATTTTGTTTCAGCTATTAAATGTAAAATTTAAATTTGAACGTTTATTTGAAAAAAAAAGGTATTTTAGAAATGTATCCATCTATTCAAGCTAAATTTGCCAACAGCCGACTGTTCATAACTTATAAACCTACAAAGCTTGACAACCCTGGCAGTAGTCGACAAAAAAATTTATAGATAGAATATGATGTTGTCAAAACCGCCTGAAAGATAGTGGAATTCGGGTTAATTTTATATTTAGATCACGCTGCGGCCAAGTGAGATGTGCTAGCCGATAAGATAAGATGATGGCCCTGGGCAGAAGTGCCTCCTTGGGCGCCCTTTTCACCTGCTATCCCGCTGCACCTTTCCCCGCCAGCGTCCTTCGCCTGAATACCTCGACGAAAACAATAACAAACGGGCAAACAGATGTTCGACTCCTGTTACGTAACCTTGCGAAATTGGCGCAAAATTCAACGACGCTGGGCAGAGCAGCGCCGGCAGCTGTGGGGATAGCAACACGTGAGGTGAATCCACTTTCGCAACAACAGACAAGCAGGCGCTTTCACATTTCGACCAAAGGAAACTCAAGGTATTCGGCCAGCACCATCATGACATCGTACCACAAGGAGCTGCTCCTAGCTGATTATGATATAGTGGGATTCGATCTGGATGGGACACTGCTGCGGTACAATCTACACGAGATGTCCGCGCTGATATATCAAGTTCTCAAGCAGTTCCTGGTGGAGGAAAAGGGATATGGCAAGGAGCTTTTGGCTCAGCCGCTCAATGTGGACTTCCTGCAGAAGGGACTGTTCCTTGACGGACCGCGTGGAAATGTCCTGAAGCTGAGCAACGAGGCTCAGGTTCTGCGTGCCACCCATGGCACCCGTCTCCTTAGCGATGCGGAAATCGAGAGTATTTACGGAACCGATCGAAAATGGGAAATCACCACCGCCTTTTACGAGGATCCCCTCTCCACTTGGAATGGCGCTGCCTCCACGCAAATGCGTTCCCTACTAGATTTCTTCGATATGCCCAGTGCTTTGGTGTTTGCCCAGGCAGTTGATCAGGTCGATAGGAAGAAGAAGCCGCTGGCAGGAGAGGAATACCAGGTCTGGCAGGATGTACAGGCGGGTCTAATGCACATCTTTAGTCGCGAGCACTTTGGAAACGATAAGAGTTTGTATTTCAAGAGCATGCGAGCTGAGCCCAGCAGGTTTGTGCTTTCTACGGACGCCAGCGTGCTCAACTGGTTGAAGAAACTGCGGAAAGCGGGCAAGAAACTGTTCCTACTCACCGGTTCCAATGTAGATTTTGCCAACTTAACGGCAACGCAGGCTCTGGGCAAGGATTGGAGGACGTACTTTGACTTCGTGGTGACCTACGCAAAAAAACCGGGTTTCTTTACCATACAGCGGCCATTCATGCACGTGGATGTTGACCAACTGGTAGAGCTTCCGCAGGAGGCGGCTGAGATTAAGGTGGGCGAGGTTTACTCTCAAGGCAACTGGCACCAGTTGCATGCGGCAATGGCTAAGATGCTACAAAAAGATCCATCTAAGGCCAAGGCACTGTATTTCGGAGACAATATAGTCCAGGATGTTTACACACCAGTCAAACACCGCGACTTCGACGCTGTTGCCATTGCTGAGGAGCTGCTTCTGGAGGATGGTAAGTACCCCTATGCCGCCGAGCTGGATTCCCAGCTTTGGGGACCCTATTTCGCCTTGGGCTGCACTCCCACCCTATGGGCCAGCTTCATCAGCAGCTACGCCCAGTTGTGTGTGCCCTCGGTGGAGCAAGTAGCACAGACTTCGCCCGAGGAGCGGATCGTCTGCTCCAATCCATACGGCTTCAGTCCTCGGCTGCCCAAGGAACTGGAAACTGTGCAGATTAAGAGCTGCTGGCGGGGATGATTCAGCCCGCCCTGCTATCATCTTCCTGGAGACAATAAACGACACGCGACCCGGCGGCGCAGTTAATCCGATAACGCTTCTTTCAGCTGGAAGCTCTTCAAAATTGTTACGTACAAAACAATTGTATTCAATAATAGCAATAAACAATGCAAAGTTCTGAATTATTCAATTAGCATATACAGTGCATGCCATAGCTATAAGGATTTTCAAAGTGAAAACATTTTTAAGGATTATACTATAAATACTACATAGTTTATTCAAGTATTAATGTTCTTTAAATGATTGAGCTTCTCCTTATTTTACACTTTGTTGCAATAATAATTGTAGTCTTTAATTTGTATTGACTTTTAGGTTTATTCCAAAGTCCAAAACAACACCCGAAAAAGTTGCGCAAATTACGATTGAATACACTGGCCAACCAATATACTATTCACTTTGTAAAAATGTTTTAACAAAACTGATTATACAATTTTACATACGTTAGCAACATTTATTTTTTAGGTTTAGAGCATTTTAAGTTACTAATTATTCAAAACTAAATATATTATAATGATGCCAGGCTTTTGTTTACCTGCCTTGTTATTTTAAGGACTGACACGTTGTGTACGCCGACTTGCAGTTAAATGCTAATTTAATTCACAGTGTACAAACATGAATAAGTTCAAAAAGAAACTAAAAGCAAATAAAGTTGGTTGTGCATCATCATAACAAATGTACTATAAATATTTTCTCAATCAGGTTTGACGCAATTGGCGGATAAACTGAATTTTCCTGAAATAAACCAGCCAATTGCGGTTTATTGGTCCACAAAGTAGTGACAATTTCAATTATAATTCACCTTAAACACAGATCTTTTTAAATTAGTTTTAATTGGGTAGACGTTGTGACTGAGCTTGTGACATGATTTCTGACTATAAGTACTTGGGAGTAATACGTGCTTAGAAGGCGGAATACATAAATAGGCAACTTTGCACTTAAGAGGAAAACCGTATAAGGAAATAAACAGCTTAAATTACTTAGTGGATCAGATAGAACGCTCCACGGCCAAAGCGATTCCCATGCCGCCACCGATGCAAAGAGAAGCAATTCCTCGACTTCCACCGGTGCGCTCCAGCGCATATAGCAACGTGACCAGGACACGGGCGCCTGAGGCTCCAATTGGGTGCCCCAGGGCAATGGCACCGCCATTAATATTCACTTTGCTGGCATCCAGTTTAAGTTCCTGAAGAACAGCCAGGGATTGGGCGGCGAAAGCTTCATTGAGCTCGTAGAGATCTACTTCCTCCCGCTTCCAGCCGATTTTGGTTAACTAGAAGATTAGAGTTCTTCGAGAATACTCGTAAAATGCAAATTTCATATAATTACCAATGCTTCTACTGCAGTGACAGGGCCGAGACCCATCACCTTGGGTTCAATGCCACTCTGCGTCCAGCCCACAATCTTGGCGAGCGGTTTTAGGCCTTTTTTAGCCACCTCCTCGCCAGACATAAGCAGCACAGCAGCGGCGGAATCGTTGACACCTGAAGCGTTACCAGCGGTTATAGAGCCGCCCTAAATAAACAGGAGAAAGTTGGTAAACTTGACAATAAAAATGTTTCTTCTCAAGCATCACCTCTTTAAACGCTGCCCTTAGCTTTTGTATGCCTTCGACGGTGCTGCCCGCTTTTATGTACTCATCCTTGCTAAAGATCTGGGTGCCCTTGCGATCCTTGATCTCCACAGGGACTATTTCCTTGTCGAAATAGCCATTTTTCTGGGCTTCCTCGGCCCGATTTTGTGACTGTACTGCATAGGTATCCTGGGCCTCGCGACTTATTTGGTACTTTTCAGCCAGATTCTCGGCGGTGATGCCCATGTGAATATTTTCCATGGCATCGGTAAGGCCATCGTGGATCATAGAGTCCACCAGAGTTCCGGGACCCATTTTGACTCCCTGTCTGAGGTGCATGACGTGTGGAGCTAGGGACATGTTTTCCTGCCCGCCTGCCACCACAATCTGTGCATCTCCAGAGCGAATGGCCTGGTAGCCCAATGCTACGGTTCTAAAAGGGATTTAAATCGGATTTAATTTATAAAGTTCAGGAACGTCTGAACTGGCAAACTTACTTTAAGCCAGAACCGCAAAGCATATTAATGTTGTACGCCGGCACCTGGATTGGCAGACCCGCCTTAAGAGAAGCCTGGCGAGCGGGATTCTGACCCTGACCGGCGGTGAGTGCCTTAAAAGAGATTTACATAACAAAAGATTGGTGAAACCAAACACGGCATGGAAAAGTAATGCAAATTATGAACCTACCTGGCCCAAGATCACCTCGTTGACCTGTTGGCCGTCCACATTTGCCCGACGGAGCACCTCCTGGACCACTACGCTGCCCAAATCCGAAGCCTTCAGTTTAGAAAGCGTTCCATTAAAGCTACCTGTTGATTTCCATTGAGCAAACAGAAAGAGAAAGTTACAAATCGAAATGTGGATATCAGAATGAGTTTCAAAGGTTATCTTTGCCATACCAATAGGGGTGCGGGCGGCAGACACAATAAACACGTCAGACATTCTAAAATATGTGATTTGCAGGTGGTGCAGTGTTCTTGGCTAATGGTCATCAAATAAATTTTCGAAATTGTTATTGGCAAGCGGCAGTGTGACCAGGTAATACTGCCTAGCCCCATCTAAAATACAGCTTTTTCACTATTTGTAAATTATGCAGTTACGGAAAAACTTTCGTTATTTCATCAAATAATTTGCTTCAAAGGTTGTCAACAATAATTACAAAACGATTAATTTTCTTAAGCTCTTGTGTTTAAGTCAACAAATAACTAAATAACCAATCTCATCTTTGAAACAACAATAGTTGGTAAACATATCCGTTTTGTACGAGTTTTAATTCTTGAATTACATCTTTCATTAAATGGTAGTTTTATATTTTTAGTATTTTTAGTTATTCACCCACGCCGGATGGTATTTTCTAGCAGTCCAGCCGCGGTCACACTGCAGTACACAGAAAATTTACATTTTTTGTTGAGAAAATTAGGGAATTAAGCGCACAAAAGGCAAATTAAAGAGGCCCAAAACGCAAGGCGCTATCATCAGGCGCCCCGAGGACCAAGAGGCACTGGAATTAAGGCCGGAGATTCACAGATAACGCGGACAAGAGTCTTTGAAAGCAACAGCCCTCCGCCGCCGCCGCCCAAAAAGAACCAAAACTACTGAGGACTGCCAACCAGCCATAAGAAGAAGCACCTTCACAATCTGCAATCTTCAATCTCTGGGCACTAAAGCACTTCAAAAAGTCTAGAGAACTAAGCCTTAAACTCTAAAAGCACCATGCAGGCGATTAAGTGCGTCGTCGTGGGCGACGGAGCCGTGGGAAAAACATGCCTGCTGATCAGCTATACAACCAATGCCTTTCCCGGCGAGTATATACCCACCGTTTTTGATAACTACTCGGCCAACGTTATGGTCGATGCAAAGCCCATTAACTTGGGATTGTGGGATACGGCCGGACAAGAGGACTATGACCGTTTGAGGCCGCTGTCCTATCCCCAGACTGATGTCTTCCTCATCTGCTTTTCGCTGGTGAATCCGGCTTCATTCGAGAACGTGAGGGCCAAGTGGTATCCGGAGGTACGCCATCATTGCCCAAGCACACCCATAATCCTGGTGGGTACCAAGTTGGATTTGCGCGACGACAAGAACACAATTGAGAAGCTGAGGGACAAGAAGCTGGCCCCAATAACCTATCCACAAGGTTTGGCCATGGCCAAGGAGATCGGAGCGGTTAAGTATCTGGAGTGCTCAGCCCTAACACAGAAGGGCCTGAAAACCGTTTTCGACGAGGCCATACGGTCGGTTCTGTGCCCCGTACTGCAGCCCAAGTCCAAGCGCAAGTGCGCCCTGCTCTAAAAGAGATAGAAAGAAAGAGATCCCACAACGGATTCTATTTAAACGTAATATTATTAACGATAAATCATTATGTAACCTAAGCCTTGGCCAGGCATTTGGCTAATCCGTAGTTTCTTTGTTACAATTTTGCCACTAATTTCTGCGTCAGAGGGGAAACCCCGTTCAAACTCTTGCTTTCGTTTCCGAATTCGTTTCGTGTGTTCTGTAATTCATAATCCAATTCTGTTTACCCGTGCATTAATTTCAACTAAAAGTTAAAAGCGAGATGTTTCTAGATAAATGGAAAACCCAATGGGCGATCTGTAACTGTAAACTCTAACTGTATTTTGTATTATTTAATAACTTTTGTAATTAAAATTAATGTTGTAAAACTGAGGTAAAACCAAAAAAAAAAAAACAAACGAAAAACCTAAAAAATATGAGAGAAGGACGAGAGTAGCCGCATAAAAAGCATAAAGCATAGATGTCGCCTGTTGATTGTAGGTCCTCTATTCGGGATCGGGATATTGAGTCAGTAAAGTAAACGTTCCATTGCAATTACACTTACATTATTACATACTTGTATTTAGATGTTGTTGGATATCGAAGGGACGTCGCGGGCAGGTAACAACTTTTTAAACTTTTGCTAGATCCAGGAACTATCAATATATATATACATGTATGTATAAGATGAAAAGTCCTTCGTATACTATGTACTGAAATTAAAGGCATCAAACTGAGAAACTTTGAATACTTTGTATTTTAAAACAACAGATATTCAAGAAAACCAACAGCAACAAAAAAAAAAGATAACTATATAAATGTGTCTATTTCAATGGAAATCAATAAAGCATTAATAAAATAAACCAGTAGTTTTGGTGTCAAATTTCGATTCATTTATTTGAAACGTAGCTTGTAAACTGCAAAGAGCGTAAACCTTGTCTTGGCTTGCTTCATTATTAAAGAGCGGAATTATCAGAACTTCTCTTTCCTTTTTTATTTAATAACAATACCACTCACATAATCCCACGCAAAACACATTCATAAGTTGAAAACCGATTATCAAACAACATATGTTCATTTATATATGTTTATGGCGGTTGCTCGATCGCCCGCCAGGGCCCACTGTACACAAAAGAAGAGACGGACTTATCAACGTTCAAAAACGTATTATTTGCTTATCTCGGCGAAAGTCGAGAACCAAAAATAATCTAAATCAGCTTGAAACAAAGTAACCGAATCTCTTAGACCTTTTTTCTTGTTCTACACCGGAAAATATTCGGGTTATTTTGGAAAGTAATAGGACATTACTTAAACATTGATTTTTATTGTACTTTTAAGAACTATGGGCGATAAGTAATTGTGTCAGTTTTTGTTGTTAAAGATTTCTAGAATTTTTAAACATTAATTGTATGCTGCATACATTTAAATTCGAGCCATGACATTTTTTTTCGGTGTACTCTCTTTTTCAGTTTCCCCGTCTGTGTGGGTTATTTGGAATGTTCTCGCAGCTGGAAATAAATCGGGCTACAGCGAAAATCGTTTATGTTTATATGTTACACAGGCAAATGCGGCGTATCTGTGACTCGGGGCAAAGAGGAGGGGTCAAGTGACCACATGTTTGTGTGCGGATGGGGCGTTCGTTCCAGTGACGTGGCCATTGATGCTCCTAAAGCTGACGTGGACGCCTTTTAATTAAACAAATCACCTCAAATCAATTAGTTCGGGTGCCACAATACATGGGCCCCTTCATTCGAGTCAGTTTATAATGCACTTTCAATGGTCTTACGATCTAGTCAAGTATTACAAGTTATTTGGCATGCGAAATGGGAGATTCATAGGATCAATCTTAATTTCAGGGAAGCTGGGTATTTGGTTGTTTACACCTAGACTTTCTAGAACTCATCGTGGCGCGCGAGGGCCTCTCCAAAATCGGTGGCCTGGGAGCCCACAAAGACATCGTATTTTTCCAGAATTTCCTCCTTGGTCAACTTATCATCGTGATCAGCATCGGCTTCGAAGAGCAAGTGCTTAGCCTCGCTTTCCGAATGATCAAAATCGTGGGGCGCAATCCACTGCTTCACTTCTTCCTCGTTCAAGTAGCCATCGTTGTCCAGGTCGCGATGTTTTGAGAACGCATCCCTTTCGTTGGCCACCCACTCCGGTTCCTCCTCCTCGGTTCCCGCCGCGCGGTACATGTCACCGATGTACTCGTCCACCGAGATCTTGCCATCGTTGTCCTTATCCAGATCAGACATGGTTTCGCGCAAAACCACATCCTTCATGGCGGGATGATCTTCGGGATGCAGGAAGGCGGTGAACTCCTCCTTTGTGAGATTATTATCCAAGTCCTGATCGGCAATCGCCCAGCGGTGATGATCGCGCTTCAGAAGGCTCTTGTAGCTGATTCCTAAAGAGAGGAAATAAAATTTCAATTAGATTAAGGAAACCAAAGCTAAGAACTTATTTTCTTATCCAACTGCTATTGTTGTAACTTTTGATTAAAAAACATTTGAACAAAAAACTATTTAATACCCACCGTTTTCTTCAGATTCCTTCTCGTCGGTGCTCAGTTCATCCATGAAGCCGTAGACGGCATTCTTGTAGGAATCCCAACTGATGGAATCATTGTTGTTTGGATTGTACTGTTTCCACACGCGGGCCACGTCCTCTTCGATGTACCGCCTTTGGGTGTAGGCAATCCAGTTCTTCAGTTCCGACAGAGTGACGAACCCGTCCTTGTCCTCATCGATGCGGTCCACAATTACTCCCAATCTCCGTCTGCTTTCCTCCGGCGTGAGATTGTCGAACTTCTTGGATTCATCTGGACCCAAAAAGGCCTCGTGATCGAACTGGGTATTGTGCTCCCCTCCTTCGAAGTGCCTGGCGTGAAGGGAGTCGTGCTCGAGGGGATCTAACAGCACCTCTTCCGGTATGCTGGAGGCGGTTGCCCCACTTAGGACCGCCGTTGCCACCGCAACAACAAGTATCAGCATCTTGACTTGGGTTCTCGTCATCTTCTGCTAAGGGCGACCGTTCAGTTCGAATGGCAAACTGAGAATGAACGGAGAGCACAAACAGTGGGGATAAATCGTGAGTCGTCAAACAACAATATCTCGGCTGTCTCTGCCAGTGCTGAAAAATTCCAGTGGACAGGATGGCGCTAATTTTGAAATCGATTGCATGAATCGGAAAAACGGGCGGACTTAAATTGTATACTTTCAACAATGTTAAGATATTTTAAACCCAATGGATTAAAAAAAATTTATTTACGTCAACCTAGAAAAACCTACAATTGAGCGAGTATCAGATTGTTGAGAAACCTATTTAAAAAGTGGGCACATATGTACATATACATGACTGGCATTTAATTGCATTTATTTAAACGTCCTTTTTGTAAAGCTAGTTAGATATTGTAAAAATAAATATGTGCAAACGTTAGAATAGAAGCGATGGGCTAACTACAATATATCACTTATCTCTATTTACATTCGGGTACGTGCGGGATGTTCAATTACTTGGGTGGCTCGGCGCCTTCATGACCCAACGAACTAAAGTCCCCCGTGTTGCAGGAGATGCTGGGGATATCGAAGTTCGAGAAACCCCTGTAGTTGGCCACCTCAGGCTTCAATGGGGAAGGAAGTAGGACAGATGTCCCAGGCACTTCGCTGTCTATCAAGCTGTCCGTGGTGCTGTCCAGCAGACTGGTCTCCGGCACAGCAGCAGGTTGCTGAGTAGCTGACCTTCCCTGCACCAGTGGGTCAAATTCGTCGAGATTCAGCTTGGACTCATCTGCAGTGCTGTTTTCACCACTCTGATCCGATAAATCGAAGTCGTAGTTGATGTTGGTCAGGCCTCCTTGGAACTCAGAGCCCAGCATAAGCACATCTGTATTACCCTCGGACGAAGGCTCCTCCAGCAGGGACACAGCATCAAAGGCGGTGTAATTGAAGATGGGCGAAGCGAACAGGTTGTCGGCTGGCTGAATATTCTGATGCAGTGGCGAAAGCCGACCCATTGAGCTCATACTAGTATCCTTCAGGGATAGTCCTGAGTCCTCCGCTGCTATTGCAGGCTTCGCTGAACCACTAGCTGCAATCAGCGACTGAGAAGTCAATGAACCGGCGCTCAGTACATTGGCCTGATAATGTCCAGCTTCGTTCTCGTTCAGTAGGTGAGCTCTGGCTTGTCCGATTAGGAAAGCGGGTGTTTTGATGGGCAGCAGGTTAAGCGGCGCCTTGGCTATCACGGTATCCACTCGATCTGTCACTTCTCTTTGGAAATCAATCAACTCCTTTTCAAACTTGGTTATTCCTGAGCTTATCAACTCGTTTCTTTTCTGCAGCATCTCCATCCGCTTCATGTTCTCGGAAATCAAATGAAGACTTTCGCAGGCCAACAGGGCACTTTCCCAGGGCGTACTGTAGGGCTGTTGTCCAGACATAAGAGCTTCGAATTCCTCACTGCTAATGCCCAGACTCTCGCCGTTTAGATTTTCGATAAAGGCTATGGCCGAACAGAGGTTGGTGAAGTAGTAGCCACTCTCGCCACTCATCACGCGCGATGCGTTGGTGAAACGTGTTACGAAATTGATGTTGCTGTGGAGCCGAACAGGATTGGCCTTCAGCACGACAAATATCAGGGCCGGCAGGAAGTCATCTGCGCTAGCAGGTCCACCAGTTCCCCGTTTTAACAGCTCAAAGATGTGCCTGCAGCAGCGCCATGTGCACTGAAGCTTCTCCTGCGGTGAGTAGTACGAATCGATTCCGACCAGCTCGGATATGGCATTGTAAACCAGATCCCTGGCCTCCGAGTTCACCTCATCGATGCTGCAGTCTAGATGCTTGGCCGTAATCCAGCTCAACTGGCGAATTCGCTTCTGAACTTTTACATCGCTGTCCTCGTCCGTCGTGAAATATGGACTAAAGAGAAACCTGAAACAAGAAGAGTTCCCCGTCGTTTAGATAAACATTCTGGACCATTGATATCTGCATTTTGTATGACTCACTTGTGGTTCTGCGTCATCACCACCTTCTCAAAGAAGTCTATGGCACTATCACGATCCTCGTTGGTGGCTATCTCAAAGCTGGGATCATTGTGCACGATGTCTGAGACCTTGGTATAGGCGTTTTGCACCAAATCCGACAGCTCGTTGATGTTTTTGCTGCCGTTTCCGTTCATGTACTTGCGAATATCGCTGTCCAAACGCTGGATTTCGAGCTTGAGCTTGCGCTTGCCATCGTCGGGAACTCTAAGTTGGCGCAACTGCAGCAGAAACTGACCTTCCGTGGGATCGGGCACATGACCACGCTGTTGGGTGACTATGGAACACAATGTACTAAACTTTAGGATACAGAAGAGCTATGTTACATTACTTTTTTGTGCTCCGGCTTGAAGGGTCTTCTGTAAGACAGAGGTGAACTTCTTCTTTTGCAGTGTGCCCGACTGATCATGATCTTTGTCCGCTTGTTTTCTGACCTGCTGCTCCATTTTTGTCTGAAGACCATGTTGTGGCGACCTGCGCTCTAAGGATTGGGACTGTGAAGACGAGGATCCGAGGCCCGTTTCGCCTGCCTTCTCTGTTAAGAACCACTTCATGACTAATTGATCTTTGAGGGACTGGGTATAATAACCCCCATCGGTACTTACGCTTTAACTTCCGTTGCTTATCGTTAAACTTCTCGCGGAAACACATCGAACAGAGTCCGTCGTTCTGGGGAGTTCCGTAGAATCCGCATCCCGTGCGGCACTTGAGGTCCTGCTGCCCCAGGCGCAGAGAAGGAGGTCGCGCCGTCGTCGACATCTCGGATGTTTGGGAAATGCAAATGGAGCTCCTTATCTGCGGTATGCCTTTTGGTTGCCTCTTGTTTTTGTGGGTAAATTGTGGAGATAAATAATTCGCCTGCTGGCGGTGTTGCCAGACCGTCGGTTAGCTGGTGGTGGCACAGTGAGTGAATATGAGCCGGTTCACCGGTTTCAAGTAACCGCCCATCAAATGGAACCAGTTCATTTCATTTAAGGGGGAATCCCAAAACAAAAATAAAAGTTAACGTTGTTATTTATTTACCACCAAATAAAGCACGTAATTGGTTTTTGTTCGACTAAAATTTAATTTTAGCATATTTTATTTGAAAAGATAACATTAAAACTGCAACTCAGGGGAATTTGCACAAATTTGATGGAATACATTTAGTAAAATCGTAGTGCTTTAGGAAACATTTCAATAAACATTCCAATTTTGAATGCACACAAACATTTTTAAAACCAATTACACAGTTACCGCGCTAGCAATTTGATAATGTAGTTACATTTAGGACGGTTATACACGTGAAGAATGCAATTTCTGGTAGGGTCACAAAGAGTAGTAGTTCACAACAGCGATTGGAAAAAGCTCAAAAAACACAGAGTTAGACTAGACTACGAATTTGCAAGGTTTTTTCCTAACTGTTCTACACGCGCTACGTTATCAATCTTGTTCCCAATGAAAAATCTAAATCTGCAAACAAACCTCTTTCCCGTCGAGCCCTTAACTTAATTGACGATCCAATAATGCACTCAGCTACCAACAACTCGACTATTTCAACGCTACCTCTACACTACTCATTACTCTATTTCTTCTAAATTTGTTCTCTTTTCTAGCAGTAAAAAGATTTGGAAAAAACCGTTTTGTCTCCGTTTGTGTTCGATTAGTCTTAAAAATTGCTAATACTATTTCGCTACCATTCATCAAAATGCAACCTGACCTTGCCCGTGCTCAACTACTATCGATAGTTTACGTATACTTAACATGTTTTCGTTCACTTTCCTTTTGCAATTCAACCGTTTCGAAAAAGTCTCGTGTATAGTTTTGAACTGGAATTTTAACACTACTTTTGATGTCTTTGGCTTCTGTTTTTGCTTTGTATGCTTTCAACTCTTACAGCTAAAAATTGAGTTATCGTAACACGTTTGCAACAGTTATGCTGTTTTTGGTTTTGGTTATAGGTTTTTGATTAAACATTCTTTGGTTTTTGATTTTTTCGTATGAGAGTGTGGGTATCAATTCGCTACAAAAGAGTTGCATTTGTAAAAAATTCAAGTCTAACGATTTGCTTCAATAAATTCCTTGTTCCAATTGCAGATTGATTGGAATCAGATGGCTGATCTGATGACTCTGGTTCTTGTTTGTCTTCGATTTATGAGTACCCTGTGTTTTCAAATAGTTGATTTTTGTTAAATAAAAAGTACAGTACATGTTGATGAGGTTAAAGTTATAGAGAAAGTACATATAATATGTTTTTAAAGTAAGCTAAAATTTCTTTTTGAATATAAACATTTAAAAGTTAACAAAAAAAATCGACCCGTTATTCATTATTAAATAAAATATAAAAAAATTCAGTTTTTAAACCCTATTTTACTTATTTAAAAACGACCTGAAGTTTCAAGTCTCTCTTTCATAATAAATCTATGAACTAAGTGAGTAGTTTGGCCTTTCGACTATGTACTGTACTAGATTATGTTGCTACGACTCTTCTATAGACCATTATCAGCAGAATTTGTAATTCCATTGGACAGCCAGATCCTCTAGCGCTCTGGTTAACTAAAGTACTTGAGTCCCGCAATCAGCATAAACTTCTCAATAAATAGCTCCGAGTCCAGGACAGCAATGTGAGCCGCTCTACCAATCAAAGTGTTGGCCGTGTGAGGCAGCGCATGATGGACATCAAAACGGGCCAAAGTCAGTTCTGGCCGGGCCAAAATCGGAGCGATTATATTGTGCACCATTTCCCTGGAAAGTAATTCTATTATAGTGACAAGTTTTAGATATTTCTGCTGTCATAATCACCTGTAAATGGTGCCCAACGAGGAGCTATCCCTCATGGCCGCCTTGCAAAGTTCCAAGCGTGCCGAATGCGCTGGAACATAGCGATCCTGGCTAGATCCGCAGAGCAGGATGTTCTTGAAGTGATGGAGGGTGCTTCTCTGGCTCAGCCTGTACAGGAAACAATTTCGCATGTCGGTGGTGTCTCGCATGCAAAGCTGCAACAGGGAACCCGACTTCTTCCACTTTTGCATGAACCACATGCCTAGGGGAGAAGGGATAGCAATTGCGTTTAAATTAATGAAGGTTTTACTTTGTTTTGCCTTACCCATGTTGACTAATCCGCTCGTGTTGTAAAGTGTTCCCAAGTGTGGTCCTGATAGCGACAGGAAGGTGTGCAGTCGCGGCAGAAGGGGTCTCATTTGGGGCCTGGCCAAGGCACTCCTTACTATAATCGTGCCCAGCGAGTGGGCCACAAATGAGATGCGAGCGGGATTCAGAGCGCAGCTATCGATATGGTAGAGTATCTCGGTTACCAGCCTACAAAATGATAGTTCAAATTTATGAGGTAACAAAATATAATTTCTATAAACTATATGTTTTTATTAATTGCTTTATTTAAGTGAATAAACTAAAACCAAACTTTGAACTTACCGATCAGTCATGGTGTCAAAGTCTGAGAAGGTGTCCCCCTGATTTCTCTCCGACATGAGAAACTCGAGATTCACCCCGGGCAAGCCCAGCTCCAGGTAGGTGCGCACCAGCCTCAGATCCGCCGAGTTGCCATCCAATCCGTGGACACAAATCACGAGGTGCATTCCGTTGGGCGAGAATGCGCGGTATTCGTCACTGATGTAGAAGTACGGAAGTTCCGAGGCCAGCTGAACGTAATCGGAGTATATGCTCCCCTGATATTTGATCTGCTTCCGGAACTCCTCGCGATACTTTTCGAACTCCAGCAGGGAGATGCTGGGAGGAGCCTCTTGGACGGCGGACGCCACTTGTCCCTTGCGCTTGTGCTTCGAAATGGTATTGGAACCATTTGCCTGCTTGGCAGCTCTCACTTGGCCATTGGAGTTCTCCTTGTTCTCATCTTGTTCCTGGTCCAATCCGTTCTCTAAGCCATTACCATTGACTGCATGGGATTTGCATTGGTGACTTAAGGGATTGGGATTGGGAAGGTTCTGCGGTCTCTTTAACTCGGCCAGGCTGTGGGACTTGAGAACTGGCTTATTGCTAAAGATGGCTGGCGTGGAGATCGGACGCAGTGACTCATAGATGTGGTACACTGGATTGTCAATGGCACCCACGGGCTGGCGTTCCTTAAGTGGAGGTGGCAGGTGACACGAGACCACCTTGGCTTTTCCCGCCGGAGGAAGGGCAGCTGGAGCAGGAGCTGGCAGCGGAGCAGGTGCTATTGGAGCCACGGGAGCGGGTTCCGGTGGTGGGTCCCTGAACTCATCAGGTGGCGGTGGAGCCAGGACCAAGGCCATCTCCGTTTCCTGATCCTGAAACTGCTGCGGAGGCGGCAAACACACCGCATCCAATGGCTGCATGTCCTTCAGACTCGTGATGTCGAAATCCGACTTGGACTTCTCGCACTTGGCGGAGGAGGAGGCAGTCTTGTGGCGATTCCTCCTCGGTGGCGGATCCATTTCCTCCACCTCTGTGGACTCACCGTTGGGCAGCTGACGCAGTCTGTCCAGTTGGAAGCGGGAACGCTCCCGTTTGATGTTCACCGTCACCGATGAGATCTTCTTGTGCACTTCGGTCTGCTGGCGCGCAGGAGTTCGACTTTGACTGGAGGATCCTGCGCCGGCGGCCTGTCTCTTCCGGGTCTTGTGCGGATGCTGCTGTTGCAGCTGCTGCTGCTCGAGGACCTTCTGCAGGCGCAACCTCAACTGCTCGCCGTTCAGACGGGTCTCCATGGCCATGCCCATGCCCAAGTTGAGTTGCGTGTGCCTCTGGCGGTTGGTGAGACCCGTACTGGTGATGGTATCCGGACTGGAAATGGCCAGGGAACTCCGCCGACTGCTCACCCAGCCACTCTCCTCGCTCAGCGACGAAGTGGAGTTGCTCCTCTGCCGCCTCAACTGGGAGTCCGAGTCGAATTCCGGTGGAGGAGCCAGATTGGGCAGGGACTCACTGAAACCACTGGTGTTGGGATCGCTGCTGGTGGTGTTGTTGTTACTCGTTCCATTGCCAGCGCCCTCCAAGCGAAAGGGAACGCTATTCGAGCTGAGCATCTGGAGCTTCTGCATCATGTCGCTCTCGGAGCTGCTGGACTCCTTCCTCAGTTGACCCTGCCGCAGCATCTCCTTGATATCGGATACCCTCACCCTGGCAATCTCTACAGCCCGGGGAATCTGGGAGGAACTGCTCCTGGGCATGGTGGTGTGCTGACTCGGAGGAGGCGGTGGATAGGAGTTTCTCGGGGGAACCATGGACTTGGGCAGTGAGTTGTAACCATTGGTGCTTGGCTGCTGCTGCTGCTGCTGGGAAACCTGCTGCTGTTGATGTTGCTTGGGGGGATTCAGTAGCTTGATCTCGTGCAGATAGTCGAACTTGCCATACCGCTGCCGAAACTCGCAGATATTCCTCATCAGATCGTCCGCCTGAAGTCTGGGCAGAGTGTGGTTATTGGTCGTGGTCACCGGATTGGAGGTCATGCCCTCGCAACCGTCCAGTTGGTCCAGGGATTTGCTGTGACGCGCCGGCACACTGGCGTCCAGATCGAGGTCCTCCAGCAGACCGGTCACCGAATGCCTGGACAAGTTGTGGCGCAGAGTGGGAGTAGCTGTCACTTCCGCAGGGGCCTCCTTGCTGGGAGCAATGGTCAGGCTCGCCTGCAGGACCTCCCCACCCAAAGCGAATCTCGGCGTGATCACACATTTGGCATGCGGATGCGCCGGACCCGATCCATTGGTCTGCGGATAATCGTAGTCGAAGTGGCAGGCCAGGCAGTCCTTGATTCCGTTCAAACTGCTGCTCGAGTGGGTCTTGTCCACCTTCTTCTTCTGGCCACCGACCACGGAGATGGTTTCATCCAGCTGGGGATCGCTGCCCGATCTCCGCCTGGCATAGGTGCTGTTCGGGTTCACATAGCGATCCTCGAAGATCAGGGGCAGCGAGGAGGCATCGCCGTCGATGGGAGTGCAGTGAACGGGAAGCGGCGGCAGGGATTGCAGGTAGCGACTCCTCCGGGCCAACTCCGCGATGGCCACGTATCCTTGACAGTGACTCGTCGCCGGGGATCCGTTGGTCTGATCCTGGCAACCGGCAGCAGCCGCATGTCTCGGCTGCTCCAGCACAAAGAAACCCTCGGCGAAGCGACGTACCCTGAGTATGTGGTGCTTCCTGGCCAGCAGTGTGTGCACCGCCGTCGAGGATCTGGAGGCCAGGAGCACCCTTCGCCACCAGAATATGCTCTCCGCACACAGCTGAGCTATGTCCGAATTGGCCCGAATGGCGAAGTCATCCTCCGCCTCCAACTGCTTGGCCTGGTCCAGCAGAAGTTGCAGTCTTTCTCCCGTGTCGTTCTCCCTCAGAGGAGGCGAGCCAATCTGCGAGTTTATGCTCGGAGGTAACACTGTACTGAACTCGTTGAGAGTCGCCTTCAGTTGCTCAATGGCGCCTAGGAAAAGGGATGTTTAATTTATTATTATTTAATAATAATATAATATATAATTTATTATGTGCGAAATACACAACAATCATTTCTTTCATATATTTATAACCAAAATAAATATTTTTTACCAATTAAATATTTAAAATATATATATTTTCATCACCCTTACCTAAAAGCAAGCAGCAGATCTCTCGGTGAATGGCTCGGGATTGCACCAGCCTGCCCGCAGGACCTCCGCTGCACTTGGTGGTGCCTCCAATTTGGGGTCCAAAGAACACCGCCTCCAGGGGTCCTGGCGAAGTGTTTCCCCTGCAGCTCAGCTTGCCCGCACTCCACGGCTTCGAGCTGCGAGGGGCACTAAAATACAGAGAGGGCCGTAAAAAATGCACTATTACTTTTAATGGATACGAAACATCCAGTTCATATCTACCATTTAAAGATACACATAAAAGGAGAAAAGGAATAGCGACGGACGGACGAATGGACAGATACATAAAGCAAGCTCTCCTGGCCACAGAAACTACACCAACTACGTGAACCGAGCGAGTCGAGTACGGATTTTACACATGAGGGGTTCTTACCAGAATTTCATATACGAGAACATGCTTTTCCTGCAACCGCAACAAGTTTTCAGTGTTGAATTGGTCAAGTTTGATCCGTTAATTAGTGATATTGGTATGGTATATATATTTTGGGTTTATATCGATATCGTTGGAGCGCAAAGAATGAGATAAATGAATCGCAGGTTATAGAAAATGAAATTGGTTGACTTAAAATTGTAGCTAAACAACAATAAAGTTGGAGTGACGATGTCAGAAATAATTTTCTGAGAAATTAACTAAGTTGGTAGGTAAACAAAAATAAATTTTGAAATTATTTCATCGACAGTAAATCTAAAAGCTGGTAAGGCAATGAAATATATTTACAATTCAGATATAAGACGAAATAAAAACACTAAAAGGAAAGAAGTAAAGATATGTACAATAAAATCTATGAACTAGAAAGGCATATAAATAAATTGAATTTTTACTTATTATAATATAACTAATCAAACCAAATGTTAATTCAACATAAATGCAATGGCTTAAAATTTGTAATGACCATTATTACAACATTCCGGCTATAAAACTTTAAAAGGACCTCTTTAATAAAGGAACTAAAAAATATATATTTAATGCAAACTATTCTCAAATGGGTATTGAAAAGAGCATTCTATTTTTAAAGCTTTAGTAAAACCCTTTAAAATTAAAGAAAGAACTATAAGAATGATGGGGTGTTATTATTATTCCTTGCCCGTAATCCGAAAAAGTTTTCAATGGACAAACCAAAGCAAGTCGGCTTCAAAAGATTTAATCCCCAAAAACTTTAAAGTTTCTCCCCCGAAAATCCGCTGGTAAACCAATCCGACTCCGAGCATGATTGGGCCCCAGCCTGCCGAGATAATCAGGCAATTTACGGCCCGCTCACGAGGATGAAAGCTGCAGGGATTGGCGGGCTGTAATCAGCGAGATTATTCCACATCGGGGCAAAGGCCAAGGTCAACAAGGAATTCCAGAGCCCGATGAGATGATATTTTATTCATACGAGTGAGATAGACTCAACTGCGGGCTCCGAGTCAATTTCAAATTCCGTTTAATATTTTGTTTGCCAAAGGATTCCGTACGAGGACCTCAAATTGCTACTCCAACTAGAGAACGGGGCTCGGAGAGCGGCGAAGGATTTGTACTCGAAAATTGCCGACAACTTTTAGCCATACAAAACAGATTAAAGAATTACGTGGGGCAAAAAAAAAAATGGTAAACTTTCGTCAGGGAAATAAGAGGAAAATGCCAGCAGAGGATACAAAACTTTTACGGAATCAAATGGCGTAAGAATTGACTCTGCAGCATTAAGTTGTAGGTCTGCGCCAAGGATCTGGCCACGCCCCCCCGGATCCTGGAACGCCTCTGCGTCTTGTTAGCCGTGCAAGTTTTTGTGTTGTGTACTTTTTTCTGTCCCAGACTTTTTCTCCCTGCAGGAGCCAAAGGACAATTGCATTGCGAGAGTCATTAAAATTTATGCCTCGACATTTTTTTTTGTATTCTCTGCTTTTGTATGCACAGTGGGCAGTGAAGGGGGCGGGGAAAATGTTGAGCCTGTGTGCAATTTTAATGAGTTGGAAATGATTTGTGCGGGTAACTGGCCGCCAGTTGCCTACGAAATTCCCCTGCTCCGCTGATACTGCAGTCCCCACGCAACAGGACACGATAAAAGGGGGCCTGCCACGCCCCCTGTCCCCTCGCCCGCCCACGCAGCGGGTTCAATTTACCGTGAAAAATATGACTATATCAACGTTGACATTAGAGATCATGTTGTCATCTTCACTCTGCATCTCCTCCATCGCCTGACACTTGAACCTATAACTACACTTGGAAAATTTGTCCTACTTATTCTCTAAATTCTGTAAATCAGAATGTCGCGTTTGATTTATAGAACTCCATGGATATAAATTGAAGTGGTCGCAAAAAGGCAAGAAAATTCATTTGTTCTTAAGGTTCATAACTCGTTTCGGTTTTTGTGGAACTCAACTTTTGAATAAATCTTTTCACTGTTCTATAAGGAAATATAAACATTCTTACTAAAAGTGTTTTTACAAAGAAATGTGTGCAATATATATCTCAGATGTATACATTTTTAAATTAATTTTTTAATTATTTGAGGTAAACTAAGAAGCTTGTGAATATTTATTATTGATAATGTGCCAGCTGTTCATCCCATTTAAATTGTTGTACTTTCAGAAGCATTCTGTATATTACATTCAAACGTTTCTATAAGTACACCCTAAGTACATGGGTTGTTTTTCCGAGTGTACCCCGGGCCCACCTCCCCCACTACTCACTTGATGTATGGCTGATGGAGGGCGACGAGGCTGGCATGGATGCCCACACTGATGGCCGCCAAGTGGAAGTAGTCGAACAGCACCGGCAGATGGTAATGAAGGCCACGTCCCGGATGGAAGTTCAGCTGCAGGTTCCTCGTGGAGGCCAGTGTCAACGTGGAGCTGCCGGATCCGGAGAAGCTGCCCATTCCACTGCCGCCTCCATTGCCATTCAGGCTGCTCGAGCCGTTCTGCTCGCCGAACCAGAGCTCCAGCTGCAGGGAGAACTCGGCCCGTTCAATGGACTCCTTCAGGTGACGACTGTCAACTGCAAAGAGGGGGAGAAAAGGAGGAGAAAAATTGAGAATCCATCTTGAGGTTGAGTGAACTGCAAATCCCCGGGATAAATGCGGCAGAAAATCCTGCATGCAAACATCCTATAAAAACCCAGGCCCAGGCCGCACCCTACCCCTCCCAGAAGTCAAATTCAATTCCGTCTCTGGCTTATTTGTTTTCCTATTGATTTTCGTTTAGTTCGGAATAGAATAGTGGCAAGTGGGTGGCTTGGGGTAGGTTCGCCCAAAACCCCGGCACAAAATGGGTTAATGTCCATGTAGTTGTGCATGCGACAAAAACAAATCAAAATTCTGCGAAGACCGCAAATCGTTGGCCGGAAACCAAGTGAATCGATGACTCAGGAAAATGTTGTCCTAGTTGTGAGCTCTTGTGTTTGCGAACTCAATCAATTAGGTTTCATTGTCAATTCGAAACAGATGTCCAAGCATTAAATATTTATATGTTTACGTTTTTGCATGTTGGCTTAACAAAAACAAAGCTACAAATTAATTAAATTCTGGTTTACTAACAAAGTTATTTGTATATTCTAAGTATAAAGGCTCCTAAAATGAGACAATAGCCTTTTAAACAGATAAAGTTAGATCGAAATTGTTATATGTGGCTTCTTGAAACTTAAGATTCATTGTTTTCTCCTCCGGATGCTGACACTCCTGTTCCATATTCAACAAGTGAGCTTAACTTAATCGCAGCCGCCCACATTGCTGTATTTCATCAATACCTGCGATTATTCCACCTGCCACTCCATAATAATAACCATCTGAGTTTACCAATGTTCTTCCGCACCCCTCGAGTCTACCTTTTCTACCTATTGCCTTCTGTAGGTCCATAATCCCCACCCAACTGGTTTCCGAGCTGAAAATGTTAATCAAATTCAATTTGCTCCACATGTCGATGGTGGTTTATGGGGCAGCTACTTAGGATTCCTGCCACCTGCCTCCCCGTGGCAATCCCGATTGCGGGGGCCATAAAATTCATTTGTTTTCATAAAATAAGGATTTATCCAGAGCAAAAGGCAATAAAAAGAGCAAGGGAGAGCCCGCAGCTTCTCTTTCGCTTGTTGAGATTTGCTTAGGTCCGCCGCATCACTCATCCGCCATGTGGACCGTGGTGACAATTGCTTTTGGCCGGAAAAATGTAAATGCCGAGGATTTCACAAGGGTCTCCGCTGGCCGACACAGTTTATTTTATTGTCTGCGGTGCAGTTACCCACTATGGCAACTATACGAGTATTCTGCGTGTGCGAAAGATAAATTGCACAGTTAGGAAAGCGGAAAAAGGGAAAAGTCGCAACAATCACAATCACACACATGCGAGGCATCAACAGCAGACTGAGAGCTGTCAACTGAAAAGTAACTTTTGTTTGCGGCTTTTTCTAGATTCTAGATTCTCCGCCACCGCCGGCGCACATGCTTGGGAAACTTGTCCAAATGAATTAATCACTTTACTCGGCAGCCAAGTGGATGATGTTTCCATTGTTGTTGAAGGATGCGGAGGCGAGAAAACAGAAGGAAAACAATAAGGATTGGGGAGTTGGCAAAAGGATACATCGAGGGGTTTTAGCCGTCCATCAAGTGCTCATCACTCTCGCACTTTTTTCCCACAGAGAATATTGCCAGCGCCTTGAAATATCTTGCCGCTCGTTTGTTTCTTTACACAATACCCATAAATATGCGAATAAATATATCTTTTTATATTTTTATCCAACACTTCCATTCGCTGGCGGCGCGTGTGTACACATTTCCACATTTTGTAGCCGTGAAAATTTATTTTCAATTTTCTTTTTTCGCCGCTTTTTTTGTTTTTTGCCGCGTTAAGTTTTTATGAGGTTTTTATGGTGTTTTATGGTGCAGTAACCCTGTATAAAAATTCTTTTTTGATATGATTGTTTTATAAACAGATATTACTTGAGTAAATGTTTTACGAGGTTATAATATGTTTACCACAGAACTCTTTCCAAATTGTGTGCCCTCATCTTGTGCAATCTATAACTAAATTGTTTACTTTGTGTTCCGCCTTACACTTGGCCTTCTGCCTTCTATTCAGCCTGCTATTTTCATTTTATTAACAAAAACTGGGTCAATATGTGGGCCAAGTTGTTCCTTTGGTTCCCTTAAGGAGTTCTCAACTTGCCGTAATTGCATTGCTGGGAGGGCAGCAGAAATCCTTTTAGCTGCAGTCAGCGATAAATGCAATTAGGTGGAAATTCCCCAGCTGAAGTTTGGGTCCTGCCATACGTCTTCGGCATCTGTCCCTTGTGGTCGTCAACTCCATCGCCATCGCTGGACCCACCGAGCATTCCCCAAAGCTCAAAAGTTTCTTTTTTGGCCAGAGCCCGAACTTTGTCCGGTCCCTGACAATTTGATTTATATTTCCAATCGAACAATAAACTCATTTCGACTGCGAAAGTTTCGCTGTCCGCTGACTGAACGAGTGATTTGGTGTCTGGTTACCCGCGTTGGGTGGCTTTTTTCCCGGTTTGCCACCAAAATGCCACCAATGCGGCTACGGGGAATTCCCGGCATTCTTGGCACTCGCCAAAGAGCACATTTCTAGCTTAGCCTGCTCGACAAATTTTCTCGGCATTGTTATTATTTAATTTGTGGCTTTTAAAATGCCTAATTATTTTTGTGAAATTTAGAAACCATTCGACTTATTTTGATTGAAATTAGAATAAACATGTTTGCTATCTATACTAATATTATAAAGAGGTAAAATTTGTTTGTTTGTTTGTTTGTTTGTTTGTTTGTTTGCAGGGAATAGGCTCCTGAACTACTGGTCCGATTTAAAAAATTCTTTCACCGATAGAATGCTATATTATCGTGGAGTTAAATAGGCTATAATTTATTTTGAAAAAAATTAGGGATCCGTAAGAAAATTGCAATATTGTCGCATATAAAGTGAGTTGCTACCTCATCACACTGACAAACACGCTCCCATAGCATTTTAACTCAATTTTTGTGTTCACTGTGAAATTGTGAAAAAAAAGAATTTTTATTCAATTTAAGTTGAACTGTGAAAATTATGTGGATCGTGCATTTGAGAATAAATTCACCACTCTGTCCATAGTCCAAAATGCTTAGAGGACGACGTGCAAACATTGGCCGCAGACATCCAAGCCAGCAGCCAGTATATTCACAAAACTTAAGCGAAGAAAGACAAATGAGCACATGGAGATCATTGGCATCATTCAATCGCATGGCATTCCAATATGACCCCACTGCGAACTACAGTGATAATGAAAATTTAGATATTGGACCAATGGCGACTATATACCGATATTGCAGTGCGTTAAAGTTTAAAAGAGAAACGGCTGGATTGTGCTGCGCAAGTGGAAAAGTCAAACTGGAAAAGTGTTAAATCACCATCTTTCTATACTTCCATATATTTGAAAAATGTTGCAACATTGACTTTTATGTTGTTAAATTGTGTTGACCAGCGAAGCGGACACAGGCCCTCTAGTAATACAATATAATTGTAGTGCAACTTATAGTAATGTTTATTTTAATTATATATTCCTGATTTAATCTTTGTAACTAAAAGCTAATAATTAATTTATTAGGAGACCACATACATGTTTTTTGTCTGAATAAATTAATTTTGATTTCCGCAGTTCCAGCTAGAAATTGTAATGTTTGTTGACACGTTTGTTTTCAATTTAAACAAACACTGCAATGCCAACAATGCGGAAGAACGCGTTGCCTTTTCGCATTCTTGGCAAACGGCTCTGCTACTCGAAAGTGCACTTTATGTGCTAGCCTACTTGGCCAATGGCCACCACTCTGCAAACAGAACACTAATATTTGACTTCCAAAAACACAAACACAAAAGCTACCTTTGATTTTTGCCAGAGGTTATTCACCTTTATTTTGGTAAAACTGAGTTAAATTTAATACCAAACTATTTTGGGAAATAGAAAATGTAAACTTAAACCTTACAAAATGTTCTTGCTTGAAAGAATATCTACTTATTTTTGGGGTATTTTTTTAAAGTATTTGTTAAGCATTATATATTTTTTAATTTTATAAAAATACAGTATTTTAAGTGCGCTTACCTAGTAAATGACTGCGAAAGTGAATGATGTCGCGCAGCGGCACCTCCTCGTTGCGGTAGAGTATCTGGAAGATGCGCGAGGCGCCGCTGCCGTTGATAACCGAGGCGGATGTGCAGCTGCCCCCCGAGGGCGGGTCGAGGAGGCGTGGCACTTCCCCCGGCGACAGCTGCTCCCCCCTCTCGCTGTCGCTGCTCCCATGGTCGGTGGCGCCCCCGTTCGCGTGTCCGTTCTGTTTGCCGCTTCCGCTCGCTTCCGGAATGCTCGTCTCCACCTGCACAGGCAACCGGGGTGAAACACGCAGGCCGCAGCGCACCTGGTACAACCTGTAAGCGGTGAGAGATTATAAAAAATCCATTTAATTAAATGTACTTTATCTATTGTGCCAACTATCGATTTAGCAGAAGCGTCGAGCTCTACTTAATAAATTGAAATGGCAATATCTTATCAATTTAAAAAAGAAAAGTTGTTTTGTAACTGTTAAAAAATGCTATAAATAAGAAAAATATTTTCTAGGATTTTAAAGAGGGAGCTTTTTCGTCTTCAGTCTTAAATATTACGTATACGTATAGTGTACAACAAAGCCTTCCTATTCACCAATAAATATTGATTAATTGTATATTTTCTCTTCGGGTTATCGTATTCCCTGTGTAATCCACTCGCTGTCAAAACATTTAAAGATCAGAAGTCCCCGATTCCCAGCAGTTTTGTCGGCCACTGACACCTCTGTCGTCAGCAGCTTCATTCGCAGTGACAGCCAAACAAAGGAAAATCAAGGAAAAACACATAAAAATCAGCCCAAACAATTGCTTTTCTTGCTTTTCTTTTCATTCACTGGCATTCGCACACGACTCGTGTGTATTTGCGCACATTTGATGGGAGCTTCGTTTTGTGATTCCTTTTTTTTATGTATTTTTAAAACACGAACTGCTGCCCGACGTTCGATTTCTTCAAGAGCAGCAGCAGCAGCAAATTGAAATCCCATAAACACTTGGCTGACAATTAGTGAGTGCTACGGTCACTACATAACCCCATGGCACCCACTTCCCAGCCCGCTTTTCCCTTTTCTGCTGCTGTTGATTGGTTGTGCAGTCTTTATTTGCTTATTGCACTGCATTCCGTTTTGTTTGCCCGACACTTCAAAGGTCTCCATGTGTGTGTGCTCAACAAATTGGACAAAAATTAACAATTTTATTTGAAACTTTTTGAGCCAACAGGCACTGGTTGACATGTGCAATGTCGCCATCGACCCGGATTTCTTCGGTGTTTGCACATAATTACAATGTGCAAATCACCATTGGTAATACTCAAAGATGTGAAATGCCGGTGCTGAATTTTAAAGACCTCAGTAAATTTAAAGCTTGCTCAAAGATAAACGCAATAATGCAGCAAACTTTTAAACAAATAGTACACTTTAGTAGACTGTTTTTATGAGCCAATCAAGAATTTGTTGCAAGAGAAGTTTAGTTTTTGTTACCCACTAAAAAGTGTTCACGAAATTACTGGAGACATTTAAAAGCCATTTCTATGGAAATTTTCTTCTTGACTACGCACTTGCTGGATAATCCATCAATTACCATGGCTCTGGAAAAAAGTTTCCCTGGTATTTACTTTTTCCTTTACATTTCTTTGGATGAATACATCACTGAGCTTGAGTGCTTTTAAACGTGGCGAGAGACTCACCCGCGCTGAAACAAATCCACATTGAAGAACTTGTGCAGCTCCACGGAGAATTCGATGGTGGCCTGCAGGTCGCCCATGGTTCCTTGACCGCCCAAAGGGATCCCTCTGCTTCTCCTGCTCCTTCTGCTGCTCCACAGCCTCCTCCTCCACTTGTGGTCGTCTCAAGTTGTCAGCAAGTTCATTGGCTCTTCCCTGGGAAAAGAAAAGGAACGCAAAAATTGCGATAAGTTTTTACTTTTATTTATGTTATTTGATTTTTTTGGCTCCAAATGCAGCGCCCACGGCAAAAGTGGCGTTGCAGCGCTGTGCCAAGTTCGATTGCCGTGCTCTCAATAAATTTATTGGCAACTATTGACAGCTTGGGCAATTGATTGCCTCGTAATTGTGCGAGGAAACTGTGCCAAGTGGGCGATTTTCACCGGGCGCGCTTTATTGCCGCGGGTGTGGGCTGCCCCCAATGCAGAGAAAAAGTACTATCTAAATTGGTCATCGAAAAAGGATGTATTTTCCATAAAAATAGGTCAAAGTTGTAGTATTTCCCTGGCTGTTTTTAAACCCTTAAACCCTTAAATATTCATATGCTATCCGTTAACAGAATTAAAGCATGATAACTCTGTCGAATAATAAATTAAATAAATTATTTCTTTTTAAATATGGGAAGAAGTAATAGTAAAGGAAGTAATCATAATCATTGTTGGGGTTCTATTAAGTTAAGTAAGCTTATTTATTCACATAATGCTTGCATTTTGACACAGGAAAATGTAGAACTGATAAGGACATTTGTATTAAAAGGAGTTGAAACTACTTGGTTGACCACCATTCTTATCATTTTTCCTTTGTGTAGCAGGCTTTTCTATGTGTGTTTGTGTGTTCTGAGGTTAGCGGGTCAGCCACAACAACAGCAGCAACAAAGTAAGCCCAGAAATGGGGAAGCCCCGCCTCGATGTCAGTCGAATGGGGCCAAAAGCGAAAGGAAGACAACAACAGCAACCACAACAACAACAACAACGAAAACATCAGTAACAAAGACAACAATAACAACAACGTCGACGACAACTTTTAATCGCCCAAACAACAAAAGCTCCTTTCCTTCACGGCGAAAACGAGAGGGAAAGTCGGAAAAGTCGGGAAAGTCAGTCAGTCAGTCGCCTGTGAAGCCCACGCCTACAATAACATTAATGTGCTGCAGTTAATGCCACCCCTCGGCTTTTCCACCCACTCCTGGGTGACCTCGCTTGTTGACACAATGGAAGCGAGTCAAGAAAAGCGCTGCCGTTGCTGCTGCTGCTGCTGCTGCTTTCGCTTTCGCTCTCGCTTTTCCTTCTGCTGATGAAAGAGTTCGCCGTGCGGATTTTTAAGGATGGCCTGGCAAAGCGAACATGTCTGCTTTCCCCCCACCCAACAATGCCTGTCTGTTGTTTGCCTCATTGTCAATGTGGGTTAACCTAAGTGAGCCAAGAGATGGGTGGAGTGGTTGGGGTGGTGGGTTACACTACGATCTGAGGCATTATGGGAAGTTTCGATAATCAACCATTTAGCCTATTTATTTTAATAAATATCTTTGACGTATGGCAGTTTTTTGTTACAATTTATCAATGCACTAACGATATAGCATTTAATTAAAAATTTATTAATAAATAGAGATTATTTTTACTCAAAGAAAGATTTAAAGACCAAAGCTCGTATTTTTTCCCCGAATTCAGAGCTAAGCTAAACTTGATATCTAGATTTAAGTGACGAAGACTTACAGTTGCCAACCGCACTGTTCGGTTGCTGCAAGTGAAAGTGATGATGCCATTTGTTAGCAAAGTCCTTAAAGCGCTTGCTGCTGCCATCCTTGGTCCCCAATTGGTATCCCCGTTTCATCCCATGATGTATGGGCAAATGTTGTCGCTACATTTTGACTCACTTTGTCATTAAGTTTGCACCCACCCAGTTCTCGTTTTTGCTCGTCAAATATTTGTGCTCATGAATATGAAATGATTTTGACTGAGCATTTTCGTCATTGGCTTTTGAAAATTAAAAGCAAATTTGCCCGTTAGTTTTCCCCCACAGAAACAAGGGTCCTCAACTTTAAAACATTACGCATACGCCGCGTTGTCTAAAAGAGAAATTACCAAAAAGTACAATAACAACTAGGGAAACTGGGTCATCGCCAAAGTTCACGCAAAAAACGAATTGTGAACAAAGTGCCAACAATGACAGCACAAAGAATGAGAAATTTTTATATAGTATATATAAAACGGGAAGCGGAAACTTTTTAAAAAGCTCAACCAAAACACATTTGTGCATTGGATGAAGGGGAAGGAGGCGGAAAGCGGGATTCCAGTGGATTAACAATGGCAAAGCCGGGCCATAATGAGGATTTTTTGGCCGCAAAGGCGAACTGCATTTATCAAGTTTCTAATTGAAAACTGAAAACTGGCATAAAACAGCATTAGGACGTCAGAGGATAAAGTTTTCGGTGAATCAAGCGTTGTTTGCAAATTTGCCCAACTAAAATATAATAACAATAAACGAAATGGGCTGTGAACTATTCAATGCGTGGCGAGACCGCCAAGAGTACGCCATAAAAATAAAGCTGCAAAAGCCACTTGAGTCACTTATCGAAACAAAAGGCAGGCCAAGCAAACAGTTGCCAACAAAGACACAAAACCCAAACATGAGCCCGGCATTTCCGATCGCCGGCGCGTTTCCTCTAGCCTATCCCAACCGAAACTGTCGATGACAACGGCCTCATAAACGGGAGAAATCAAATCGTTCGTGCTTATCATCGTAATGATTATCCCTAATGTACCGGGGCGGGCGGGCAAGAAAGGACTTCCGCGCGAAGGAAATGAGAAAAGGGGCCGCCGTGGCCATCGCCATCGCCTAAAGTAAACCCACTTTGCGTTACGTGTGCCCTGAATTATCGCCGTCTGGCGAAAGTCCAAATGGCAGGAAAAATAGGGAGAAAAGGCGAGCTAAGGGCCGTCAATGGCAGACAAACGAGGATTGCTCGGCTTTCCTTTCCTTTCCTCTCCCTTCCAGATGAAGATAGCTTGGTGACCCCGACACGTTCTGTTTTTTTACGCCTCCCTGTCCCTCGGCTTGTTTTGATAAATACTATACTACAAACATATATGTATATATATACAGGGGGAGCCTTTATACATAAAACGCGGCGTGTGAATGTGTTAATGTCTAAGGTCGTCGTGGCCTGTTGATGAATGGAAAAGCTTTCATGTTCATATTTCAATTTAATGCCACAGGCCGGTCGGACTTCCTTTTGGGCCTCCTTTATTTTCGGCCCGGTTTCAAGGCCATAAATTCAATTAATTTCCTCTTCAAGTCTGACTTTATGATTGTGAAAAATTAATTAAAATATTTTGTACAGCTTCAAGCTGCTCGGATCAAAAAGATTGCGTTGCCCAGGCGACCAGAAGGTCCTTGAAAAATTAATAGGTTCTTCCCAGGAGCCCGATTACATTCATTAACGGCTTACATTGGCTACTTGTTGGCGCCGCCGACCTTTAAAACTTGTATTCAAAGCAACTTAAGTTATCCAACTCGGAGGTTGAAACATGATGTTTATCGCCTGTAACTTGAAACTCAGAAGAGGAAACTTTTTGTTGATTGTTATCCCAGTTGCTTCGAAACACACACAGTGAGCCCGGGGAAAAGCTCTTTCCCTCTGCTCTGGTTGTCCGGCAACTTTTGGTTACCTTTACCTCAAGCCCATTCCCATGACAACTTCCTTTTGCAGCCAGACTGAGCCGGAAATAGGCAATTTAATATCAGACAATTTCAACGACCGATTTGTTTGCCTGGGCAGTGAGTTCCACACCGAAACATGTGTTCTCCCATTAAATTATTCATCAACTCGGAAAGTTAAGCTGGCCGGGCTCTAACTCTGCTCTCCACATCTGCTCAGGAATCTCATAAAAAATGCCCTCGAGTGCCGACTTCGTCGCCGTCCATGAGCATGAAAATTATTTTCCCTGGCCTCCAAGCTCTTTCTTCGTCTATTGTGCACAATAAAACAAGTGGAAATGCTAAATATTCGAGTTCAGACTTAGAACTACCCAATGCAGTAATAAAAGTGTCGTATTGGGTCGCATTTACCAATCATTAGAAACCTGGGAAATATTTGCCATGACCTCTGATAAAAAAGGTACTTCTCCAAATAAAGAATTTGCTACTTGTTTAAAAATATAATTTATATATAGGTACTTCACTTTGAAATTTTGGGCCAGCTTTTCTTAAGTTTTACACAAAATGATTTGCTCTTCTCAGAAGTATTTAAGAAAATAATATATTTTATGAATAATATATAATATACATAATTATTATATATAACAATTTAATTTGCAATGTACTCTTGAAATACCCAATATACCCCTGCTACCCACTAATAATGAACAGCAAAATAACAACAGTTGCAGCTGACGGCGGCTAGGAGAGGCAAAGGGGCCAAGAGAGGGGTTCGGGCCGGGGTATCTTGGCCAAGTGCATCGCGTGCCCGGGGAAAAAAGCCAGGGGCGCTCGGGCGGGCCACTTGCTCACGTTCACGTGTCGAGGCCCAAAAAGGGTCCAGAGTCAGAGGGGCGGACAATAAAGGGCGAGCCGAACAACTCAAGTGCGCAGCCAACAATAACAAAGGAACCGGAGAGCCCGGGAAAGTTAGGAAAAAGGCAAGAGGAAAGGCGAAAGGCGAAAGGCAACCGCCTAACTGGTCTGGGAAACAGGACTTGTGGCGAGTGCAGGCAAGTGCAAGGAATTGGTCAACATTTATACGGGCCTCTCGTATTACACGTGGCATGCCCCACGTTGCAGCGGAAAATGGGTGGAAGGCGATTGAAATGTCTGGCGGTGGAAAATCGGGTTGGGAAATCTTGCGGCGCATCAAATGGAATTGAAGTGAAGGAAGCACGAATGAATGAAAGATTGCGCAGGGGCTCAAAAGAGCTTTGTGAAATGAAATGGAAACGAAGAGAGAGGAAAATGAAAGAGATCGGGAAAACTAATAAGATCCTGAGGAAAATGTCAAACTTAAGAAGATGCTTTAAAAATCTAAGGTTAAGGATTTTGAAACTCTAAAAAGAATCAATGTAAAGCTGGGTTCCCATTATAAATGTACCAAAAATATAATACTTTGAAAGGGAAGCTGGTATTTGCAGTCATTATTTGGAATATTGCAGAGAAACAGCAAATAAAACTCAGCTTCATTAAAATTCACGGCAAAACCACGTGCAATAAAGCAAACCGGCGAACATTGCCGGGAATTAGAACACAGAAAAAATAAAATACGGAAGCCTGAAATTGGAGAACCTGGCGCAGGATTATTAGAGGCACAGAGCATAGAAAACTCCCAACCCAACCAGCCCATGTTGGGATAATTAAATCAAATAAATTATTTATCAAGCCATGAAGGCTCCAATTCTGAAACTAGTGCGCTACATCGTAATTTGCTCAACTTTCTGCAGCATTTCCGAGCATACATGATGCATGGCATCTGCACAAGCCACCGGATGACTTAATTATATGCACCGAGCACCCACTTCCTCATTCCTCGTCCTCCACAACTCCACGGCTGCCCTCCTGATGAAGGACCCTTCCCACTTGGTTAACTCCAACAAAGCTCAACGAGTTGAGCATTGTGTAGAGCGAGTGGAGAGAAGGCACCGGCATGTGAGCACCTGAAGGACCTCTAGGGTCTGGACTCTCTAATGAAAATGGAGACTTGAATTGGCAGCAGACCGAATCGGAGGCGGCGGAGGAGGAGGTGCTGGGGTGCCCAGGAAGTCACGGGTTGGGGCGTGGAAAAATTGAATTGAGCCTTTTTATGCGACCAGACTGACGATGGATGGGGCCGCTGGAGACGGAACAGGATATTTCATTACATTTAAGCATGCATGGCTGAATGGCAGGATTCGGCGGGTGGTTGGGTGGTTGGGTGGTTAGTCGGGTCCGGGTTTTAGGGGCGGCTTAGATAGGGTAACGCCCACGTGGAAAAAATGGCAACATTGTTGAAATGTGCAAATATTGGCTCAAGTGACGGCAATAAAAGAGTGAACCCCGGCAAGTCGCTTGTCCTTTCCAACGGCCCTCGAGCACCTGAGGGTTATCCTTTTTATATGGTACTCAGTGTTCCCCGAATATCGGGTATGCTGAATATATTTAATGTGTGTAATTATTTGGGAGCTTTCATGTGAAGTAATTTTAGCATGAAAAGTTAAACAAATCACCTTTTCTATTCCTAGAAACTTAATACATTTCCTTAGTTGTAATGCTAATACCCAAAATGTAGGTCATTGAACTTTAGTTTTCTAAATTCACTTACTTCCTAACCATTCGAGTGCAGTAAATATTTATTCGGTAAACAAAATAGCGCCTCATGAAACCCAAAAGAGGATGCCTGGCAGTCTTAACCCGTGTTTGCCCAATTCCCAAACCATTACCCATCACGTCGCCTGGCATTTCATCAATTGATGTCCCTTTAGTGTTATCCCAACTTTAACCCTAAAAGCTCACGATTGTCGACAGCAATTTCAATTTCCCCATGATTGACAGCCCGAGCCCAGAGCAAAAACGCCTCTTTTTGCATAATTGCCTACCTGGCTGGGCAATATATGCAATGTGCATATAAATATACCTATATGGGGGTTAGCATATACGAATGTGGGTACATTTTTTTTTTAGAGCGCTCGTGTCACAGATCTCGTCAGGAAGAAGCTCTTAACCCCTGTCTGCCACTGTGCCTGTCACAGCCTCGTGTGTCTACTGCGGTTTGGTTTCGGTTCAGTTGAGTTCAGTTGGGTTGAGTTCAGTTGGGTTGAGTTGCGTTATGTTATGTTATGTTGGGCTTTTTGCGAGCTGCTTTGCGTTATGCGGCAGTTAACTGTGTCGTGACATGTGGCAAGCATAAAAGAACCGTAAAATGTCATGTTTGTTGTGGGCCGAAAACATGACGTGAAGTGGTCGAGATGGCGGGGAATACTGGAATAAGCCGGGCAGGCTGACGGGACCTGGCAGTACGATGACGACTCTCACAGTTGGCTGACATGTGACTCACGCATCGGCCAAAAGGTCCGACAAATGGGCGGGGTTCTGCGAATTGTGGCGGTGGTTTTGGCGGTGGTGGTGGTGGTGGTGGTGGTGGTGGGTTAATAGGTGGCCGTGTCGACACATAGCCAAATTACACTAGGCACGCAGGAAGGAAGCCGGAGAACCACAAGAAATTTCGGCAGCGGTAAGGATTTTTTAATAAAGTCGCAACATGAGTTGAGTTGAGTTAGTCATGCGAAGGTGGATGGAAGGTAAGAACGACCATGTTGCTTAATTAATCGATTTAGTATTTTGTTTAGAAAATACATCTGTGAAAGAATAAGCTCCTGTTTTTAGAAAATACCTGATAATCAAACGCCTCATAATGAAACTTAATGATAACTAATAAACAGATAATTAAAGTCATAGAAGACTAGAGTTAATATTATAAAATACAAACAATGAAAAACATAAAATATTACTGGTAATCTTAAAAATATACCATAATAATAATTATTTTAATACTGTTTTTTTGCGGTAATTAATAACTTTTCGTTTAATCCTTAATATGAATAAAAGTAATAGATTTTGTAGCACAGTGTTGAGCGCAGTTGTTACTCCCATTGATAGTCCCTGTTTAGTCCCTTTTTTGTTGACCATCAAATTTGCGAGCAAATGGGCCGTGCCCGTCCCGCAGCACCCGAAATTCGTTTTAATTAAATGCATCATAAATTCTAGCACATTTCAACTAGCGAAGGCCTGCCTCGGAAAAAAGATTCCACCGAATCGCACTTGTCACTCAGTTTTAAACACTTTTTCATTCCATTTTTGATTCACTTTTCTCTCGGGGCTTTTCGCTTGTTTTTTGTTGTTTGCGGAGGTTTTTGCCCTACAATCGTCGATGCCGATTTTTTGTCGCTCATTTTGTGTGGCCATGAAAAACGGAAAATTTATTTATACATTTTTGCGTTTGCCTCTGCGGGGCTTTGCGTATGAAATGTTTTTGCAATTTAAAAATAATTATCCCCCGAAAATGTTGTTTGCTCGAGGAATAACATGTAAATGCAGGAATATAATATGTTGTGGTTCGGGATAAAAATACCAAGTAATTGCAGGGGGAATTTCAAATTAGCATGTCCTCTTTTGGAGCGTATTTTTGGGAGCTTTAATAAAGTATAAAGTATGGAACGAACAGTTTTACAAAGTTAGCTTATCAACAAAAATGTCAAGGCAAGTAATTGTTGGCTTTCTGGAACTCATCCTTATGGCACAAAAATATCAACTGCGTTAGTTGGGAAATTAAAACTTGTTTGGCCCACTTTTGGTGTGCTCTTCATTTGGAGACCCCGTTCAAGGCTTCGGTCTGGGTAAAAATATCCCCTCGATTCGATGGGAATTTAAAAACATGGTGTCCTTTCTGGGGAGCCCTAAATTTAGGTGCTGCAGAGTGGGGCCATTGAATTAATTAGGCTGCGACAACGACGGGCACTTTAAGCGAGGGCGGTCAAGTGGTGGGAGTGGCACTCACACACACACACTCAGGCAAGTATTTTGCCCTAATTTTACTTTCTGCGATGCGATGCGATGTTATCAGGACACACACTTTGAGGGAAAAGGGAGCCAGCCGAAGAGACACGGCCCTCGCACAACTCACAGCTCTCTCTTTTATTTTTTAAGCCATCCCGATGTCATAATTTACGCACTTCTTCATCTGCCTCCGGATTATTCGCACTGCCCGGTGGACATTTCCCCGCTCTGCCTTCCGGCTAATGAAATTAAAGTGCAAAAACCGAAAAACCGCAGGAACCGAGCGTTACAACGAACGGAACTGTTATGATATTTTCTTTTTTCGGCTCGTGTTCGCAACGTGTTCGAGAATTTCCACCGCTCAACGCACGTCCGCACCGGGAAAATGTCTACAACCAACTGACGGAGACACTGCGCCGGAAAATGAGCACCGAGAACTGGGAATCGAGAATCGGGAAACGAGAAACGAGAATTGAGAACGCACCACGGAATGCGTCGTCGGGTGAATTGTTCTTCGTGCTCTTGGCCGTGTTTTTTGCCATCAGATAAATTCAATTTCCTTTTTTTATCCGTAAGAGAAGAGTGTAAGAGCATGGACTTTTTCTAAGCATTTCTCTTGGCCAAGATTGAAATAGCTGCAGCTGGGCGAAGACTGATTGATGGGAATTTAAATGTTCTGGCTATGACGGGTGATAAGTGATTGATTAATTGGCCCAAATGATGTGGCATTAAAATTTCCAGTGAAATTGAAAGTGTTAATTCCAAGAAAATCAGCTAATAAATGTTTGTGGTTAAGTGATTAAGTATTATAGGTGTTAAATTTGATTTTAATTCATTATAGATCGCGTAGGTTATTTTTAATATAGGCATATATCATACTATCTTTCCTTACAACAAAATATATAATATAAATATTTATTTTACAATAGATCCTCGAATATATCTGTATACTTTTAACTTGGTTTTTATTGGCTATTAAAATGATTCATTTTTATTTTTTGAACGTATTTAGTTTACTTTAAAAGTAACCTGTTCGTGCATTGCCTAAAAGTGCAAATGCTACTCATAGTCCATTGTGCTGCCCCACCAGCTGATTTCTCTTCAGGATATCCTCTCCTCAGGAAATTCATGCGCATGCGCTCCCTTTGTCCTGGCGCTCAAACAACGTCTCGCGTCCTGTCTGTTCCCCCGGGTCCTGATTTATGACTAGCCCTTGCCGGCGGCGGCTGTTCCGAGGGGAGATCCGTCGGGGAGTCCTGGCGAACAGCTGGACACGAGGACAGATAAGCGGGACTCACTGAGAGGAGGCGGATCTGGGATGAGGACAATGGGACCGACACCTAAGTCGCGAATCGCTGGCAACAATGTTTGCCAAAAGCTCTCCTCTCATCGCTGGAGCAGAACAAAGTAAATCAAGGATGGAAATCTCGAAGCCGAGTCCCCGCTCCACTCCACCAGCTGATTATTTTATCAGCATTAGTTTTGTTTAGTTGCTCCACAGACAGGTGGCTGCACTCCCCAGGAGAAAATGTCGGGGAAATTTGTAGGTGAGGTGAGGGATGCTGGGTCGGAACTGCTGACAGGCACTTTCAATTTTATTTGCGCGCATTATGGCAAAACATGATTATTGAGAGGGAAACGGGCGGCGGTTGGGCGCGCTGTTTAAAATGGATTGCTCATACGCACCGTTGCACCTCATGGGAAACGCTGATGAAATGATGAGCTTATTTCCCCGCAAACGAACAAGCATCCAAATTCACGCGTCACCACAATCGAGGGATATTATTTTCGAGGTTTGAAAATACATAAACGCAATGATGCTGATTACAAATTCTGAGGAAGTAATCCAAATATTATTCTGGTGGTTTTGAATTTTCAATGGACGCTAAAGCTCATTAAAATTTGAGAGAATAATCCCTAATAGCCCTTCGCAGTTCCAAGTTGAGTGGTAATTAGTTTCATGATTGTAGGCACTTGATGTCCCTTAAATTTTCCAATCATTCAGCTGGGCAAATACAGCTAATTAAAAATTATTTCGTGGTTTTCAATTATCCATTAATTTTTAGAGCTTTCCAAATGGCCGTTTCAAGTTGACAGCTTAGAGCCATTTGATTTTATAAGTATGCTTTTGTCATTATCAAATTGTTTAATTTTTATTAATTTTTTTCGCTTATACTTTACATGAGAAAATACAGGCAATCCTAGGCATAATTTAATTAGGCTTACTAGCTAATTACCAAGAAGATTTTTACACTTAGACAACTAAGCTAAGAATACGCGAATTTAGATCGTTCAGCTGTCGTGTCCGACATTCACATTCACATTCACCTTCACTTTCACTTTCGGCGGATCAACTGCGCTTGATCCCAGTTCGACCCAACTAGCTAATCACTATCGCATGTGGAGTACGGAGTACGGATGTGGAGTGCCGACCCTGGGCTATCGCCTTAATTGGGCTGCACCTCGCAGACGAAGTAGGTCTCGAAGCTGCAGGGCGAGTCGTTCCACTTGAGGCCCTTGCCGTCGCGATTCCACAGCTCCAGGCAGTTCTCCTCCTCGCCGTTCTCGTACCGGAAATTGTTCGGCTCTCCGGCGTTCCAGTTCGTGAATGTGATGGGGCGACCGGTGGCCATCCAGAAGAAGTTGCCCTCATCCGCCAGGTCAGTGCCGGAAATCCAGAAATGTTCGTGGCCCAGGCCTGGAAATTAAATGAAAAGCACTTGGATTAAGTTTGGTAAAAATAGGGAAATACAATGTTCCTTATGCTGGAGAGTATAACTTATTTCCTTATCAAAATGAGCTAATATATATTTATATTTAAATTTTATGAATTTCTCCAATCTCCTAGAATCATCACTTGTTCTAGCCAAAATGTATTAAGTCACAGGATGGCTGTTTTAAATTGAATCTTCCAATTGTTTGACAGAGCCAATCAAGAAGTCTTTACCCTGTCAAAACACCGACCAACTGACAGCTGCATTCATATTGCCACAGACTGCGTTGCGTGCAACAACTAAAATAAGTTGAAAAGCCGATCAATATGACAAAAGAGACTGACTCGGCCGGCAAACAAAAGCAATTGCAAATGCCGCAGGAATGGAATCGGGGGACTTGTGAACTGGCCGCTGGCCAGCGGACCGGGCTTTCAATGGACTTTCTAGCCGTGCCATAATACACGGAAGTTGGTAACCGAAAACCCAACCAAGGGGGTCGAGATCGGGGAGCGGGAGAATGGGCGAATGGGACTATGGGAGCTGGAGTAACGAACTCCGGTGCACTTTCCATTGCATAAATCTCCATAAAAACACACATGGCAATAGACGCAGACAAACGGAAAAAGTGAATGTTGCGCATTTTTGTTGAAAGCTGACCGCCGCAGGGCCATGGGCAAAAACCACGCCCACTCACGAAAAGTGGGGGAAAAATAACAATAAGCTTGAGAGGGCCAAAGTATGGTTTATAGACTAGTAAATACTCAGTGGTGTATTTACTATAAATTTGGAATTTCCTATTTGACTGAATGACTGAACTTATAATTTCACTATAAGATTTCTTGATATAAAATTTAAAAACTAAATTTTTCTATTTTGAATGATGCTTTTTGTTAGCTTTTTCTGGTATATTTAATCAGTTGAAGGCTTGTTCGATGGGTTCAATCATCGAGATTCATCTAAGCACGCTCGGTTCTTTAATCAGTTTACTTGCTGCGAAGAAGGATGCCAGCTTTTTTAACTCCTTCGCCAACTTACCAAAGTCACGTATGTGCTTCTCCAGTCTATCGTTCTCTTCCTGTGATGAAATGCTGGCCAAATGCATGCCATGGTATCGGCAATATTGTGTGGCTTTGAACCAGTTTGCCTGAAATGGAGAGACACACAGATGGAATTGAATTGAATTGAATTTAAGATGCATGCCAAGTTAAAGATTATATAATTGTGTTTGCGCAATCGGTTGACCCAGTTTCCGAGAGACCAGATCCCAATCCCCCGGCAGCCACTGGAAGGTGCCATTCAATCTCGGTTCTCCAAGCCGACACTTGTCAATAAAAATCCCAGAGATTTATTTCCTCCTGTTTTTTATGTGTGGCTATACTCGATGTAGATGTGTGAAGGGGGCGGCATCGGTCACGCACTCGCATGGAAATCGAGTTTATCTTCGGATCTGCGTGGGTTTGCAGCCAATTAGTGTTGGTTTCTGTATCTGATGTGGTTAGCCCATCTAAATGTTATCAGAATCGAAATTGGCATCGAAATCTGAATTGGTTTTGGGCTACATGGTCAGCTCCAGACCGTCCCAACTACATATTCAATTAACTCTAATGGACTTTGGCCGGGTCATTAGCAGAAATGGATGGTTAGCAAAAAACCGAACGGTTTGGTTGGGGTCCATGTATCTCCTGCTGTGAACTGATGTGCACATAAATCGATTACGCAACTATACATCCTGCATCCCTTCGCATCACTTCGCTCCTCCCCCATTAACTTGGCTTTAATTGTGTTAGCCGTAATTGTGCGCGAATAAAGCGAGACGCGGCATCCTGCCACACGACTCTCCTGATTCACTGACATGCCACATGTGGCAGGAACGGCGCAAGACGGAAGGTGTTTAATGCCTTCACTTGTCTTTCGTCCTGAAAGTGTTTATTGGGTTGTAAAGGTTCATCTCGCCTCGCCGAGAAGTCAATTAGTTTGGTGTGGCAAGGTGAAACCAGGACTCTGGTTCATAACAAAGCCAGTTTCCTTTAATGGCCCGGAGTGGCTGTCGGGAAAACTGCAGAAGGTTAATGCCTTGTCTGACTCGTATTTTGATTTTTCTCGAGCAGCATAAAGAAACCAAAAGGCAATTCCTGAGGTTGTCAAGGTTTCGCAAGCTCTTTGTCGTGATTCTGGCCAGGCCAACTTACAAAGAAAGTCTTTGTTTAGGCTAAACGTCTTTGATTATCTTGAGGTCCAAGGACATACTTTAGGTACTACATACTTTAACTTGTATAAAAAGGTAAATTCGCTTATAGTAAGACTTTGACAAAAACATTGGGGAATTTTTATTAGTTTTTTTCTTGAAGAAAACCACTTGTGAAGTAATATTTTATCTCTTAAATGTGTAATACACACATGTAGTTCTCAAACATTTGGCAACACATTTTTGGGTTAATCAAATTGCAGCCCACAAAATTCTGTTAAATCATTTGCGATAGGCAATGTCGACCAATTAAGCAACTGAAGTTTACACAAAACTCAATTGAGTGGCAACAAAATATTGGCCATGTTGTTAATGTCATTAGCACGGCTACCTTAACACGGCCCACCTGTTTCCCCCACTGCCCCCACCCACTTTTCACCCAGTCGTATCTCAATTAGCTTTGATTTGATTTGCGCCTGCGTGAAGTCCAAATGACATTATGCCTCCGACTGGCGCTGTGCGGTTGTCAAGTCTTGTTTTCCCTAAAAAAATTTAATTGCTTCATTAGCATATTTACACACGAAATGAATTTGCATTAAATTGCTCATATGTATTGCATAATATTGTGCCACTGCTTAAAAAGCCAAAAACTGAATGACTTTTGAGGTATTTTTAAAGGCTGAGGTAGAATTCTTAATTAAATATTCCCATAAATAATCGGAAAACACTTTGAAACTGATATGCGGGGTTAATTAACTCACCAAAAAGAAAAAGAAAGATAAAAAATGCTTAGGTTAGTATTTAACTTTCAGATCTGGTCAACAAACTTGGGAATGCTCTAAGAAGTTTTTTTTAGATTTTAATTGAGAAGAAAGAAAACAGTTAAGGTCTTTCTTCTTTAATCACACTAAATGCTTAAATTATGATAATTTTTTTAAGTCGTAAAAATCATCACAATAATAATGAATATTCAATTTCTTTTATTGATATATAAGAACATTGAACTGAATTCGCATCTTATGTTTTGAAAGAAAATGGTCTTATTCAGCCGCAAAATTACTATTCAAATTTCTTGGAAATATTTTGACAGATTTACTTTGTGTCGCGCCTCAATTAAACTTAAATCGAACGTTTATATAATTTAATTTCAATTAATTAAAAGCAGAGTCGTAAAAATAATCACAATAGTAATGAATATTCAAATGTTAATGGATTCGATAAGAAGAATTTAAAGTGATCATTGAAAGACTGCATCCCTATTTCAGTTAGGGTAAGATTAAATAAAACGAATTAAAAATTAAATTCAAATTAAAATGCCAACTTTCAGAGCTTTAGAGATGCTTAAAATTTTAATCGCTTTGACAATTGACTGGGCAATTGTGGGTGTTAGGGGGAGCGAGACAGAATGATATCGACAGAGAGCAAGGTACCGTTAGAGAAAACAAATTTGGGAATATTTATGGATTTTTTTTTGGGTTTTGTTTTCTGGGTGGCTTTCGGTATCTGCCGCCTAATCAGCCAACTGGTTGGTGGGGGAGATGGATTTTTTTTTGTTAATTAACGAGCTAATAATTAATTCATTTCTTTGTTTATCCGGCGGCATGTTCCAAATAGAATTGTTTAATTTACACGCTCGGCAAGGAACGTTCATAAACCAAAATATGCAAGGAAAGTTGATTAAATATTTATTTATTTGCTTTCTGCTGTTTGGTGCAATTAAAGCGTTCAAATGTCGAATTAAAACCGTCGAGATTTATTTGTCATCGCTTGGGTATTAAAAATTAACGAAAACATTTTTATTATTCCAAGCAATTGAGAGATTGTGTTCGGGATTAAAAAGTATATGTTCGGAGAAATGCCAGTCTGGTTTTCAAATGAGATATTATTTGCAGGTCTGGCTTATTCGCATTATGAAGACTTAAGAAATTCTGTATCACTATATAATACATTTCGTTGGTATGTATTTTAATTTTGATTTTACACGGCTTAAGTTCGCAAATATATTAATCCAACAATCTTACTTCTGATGGACATATAACCATAAATATTTAACTTCTTCCTGAAAGACTTCATTGATGAATAGTAACTAAATGCATCTGATTATTTTTACAATGGTGGAGCCGTTTTGATTTTATAGCACCACTTTTAAAGTTCAAGGAGACTCTGCTGTGGATTTTATGAATATGAAAATATAATTCAGTTTGACGTGAAACCAGTAACGTAGCCAATTTTAGTATAGTCACATCTTCCGTCTCTTTTCTTCGTGTTGCCAGCTCTTTCTATTACTCATACGACCATTGGTCCAAGACGATAGCGGTTAAGTCAACGCCTTTTTGATGCCTTTTGACTAATTCGTTTTTAATATGAATAGCGACTTTGGTATTCATTTTACTATATCTACCGATGCGTGGCCAAGCACGCGCCTTTTTTTGATACCCTAGATATTTTTATTCATGGTCGAGTTGGAGAGAATGGGGTTTTTTCATTAAGCAGGGTTTTATGTTTCTGTTATCTTCTTTTGATTTTATAAACAACTTTAGTATCAATTCTAAGGTTATTTTGTTATGATATCAAGTCACTTATTGCAGGGATCTTTTATTGAAAATGCATACTATATGCCACTAATCGCATTATAATAAACAAAGCGACTAAACTAATTAAGTAATTAATAAATATTTTCTGAATCATGCATAATTTTCAAATTGGCTTGGCTAATTTGATCGATATTGTATTTATATCACAAAAGACTACAAATACATATATTTGTCATGGTTACTTAAAAATGGTGCACGAATTAGGTTTAAAATTAATAATGTAAATCTTCAATAAGATATTAGCTTTAGCTACGAATCTGTAACTCATGTATATAATTAGTTGGTAATTTGAATAATTCGATGAGCGGCTAGCGGCCTCTTAAAGAAACTGTTGAGTTCACTATTAATCAGACCTTCTCATCTTCATATTCTCATCCCTCCCACACCCAAAACCAGAAACTTGTTGACCAGTGCAATAAATGAATTTAAGCTTCTTGATCCGCCCCTTCTGTAATATTCCATATGCAATTTTTTGCAATCGGAGGCAGCTGAGAAACCCGAGAGCCATCAAACCGGACTTGTGGAACCGTTGGCCGGGTCAGTTGCATTTGGTCGGTTAGTTTATGGACCGTTTTGTGGGGCGTGGAATGCCACTCACCTTGAAGAAGATGCCGAGGTAGTAGCGCTTCTCCCCAAGTTTCAGCAACGGCATCGTCCACTTATTCGGCGTGTACTGCGACTCGTCCACGCAGTTGGGGCAGTCTAAAAATAAAAGTCAAAAGGATGGAGGATAAGCGTCGATCAAAACATAAAAAAAAATCAGCATAATTAATTCGAGTGAAAAATGAGCCGGAAGACAGTTTTGTCTTAAGGATCAGCATCGGTTTTATAGGCTATATCGAAAAATTTATAGAAACTTAGTAATTCATAACAAAAACATTTAAGCTCTTTGTTTTTCCTAGCGCAAGTTATTTGCCAACTCGAACTCATTTTCACATATTTGCAAACATTGTAATAAAAAAATCTATAAAGTTTGAAATTCACTAAAATTTAGTTTCGCAAATCTTGTTTCTGTGGCACTAAAAACAGAAAAATTTACATGTCTGTCTAGGTCATAAAACTAAAAGGACTTAAACAGGTTTGTTTAAGTATTTTAAAACGCCCAAATTTTATAGTGTTCATTCCTCTATAGATCCATAAACATTTATAAGGCGGGTTGCCTTGTGCTTAAGTCACACTGAATCCAAGTTCATCTATGAATCTTGAATAATCGAAACCTATAAATTAACGAGCCGCATTTAAAGCACATTGAGAGTAGATATCTTTCCTTATTTCTTTCACTTTTAGGATTGACTCATCTCTAGATTGTCCACTGACTAATTGAATACCCCATAAAACCGATCTTAATTCGTGGTTTTAAATGCCGTTCCCACCTTAAACGGACATCAAGCTAATCTGAGGGGACAAAAGACTTTGAGACTAATTGCAAACGATGCGCGGTTGTTTGTTCTACACAAAATTGAGTTATGAAAGCTTGTCCAGATGTCAGAAGGAAACAAACTCGTGTTTGGAACTGGTTCCCTTAAGGAATTTTTCGAGAACCAGTTCGACTTGTCCGCGAGAATTCAGCATAATCCGCAGGGACGCACAAACTGCACTAAAGCTCGAGCCAGAACTCATTTGGAGATCTAAATCAAGGTCCAACCATTGTTAACTGCCAAGTATGTGAAGGTCACTTACGTTATATTCTTTCTAAAAAAAAAAGCGAAACGGTTTCCCTTTTGTTTCGTAACTGTCTTTCCGCTAATGTTTATTAATTAATCATCCGCCGCGTCTGTCCATCCACAAACATTCTGCGAAGACCTTGCCGAATGCTGCTGATGTTGATGTTAATGTTGATGGCGATTGTCGAATGGCGCTGATATATGAAGGGGGCGTAGTGACATGGGCCGAACTCCAAAAAGAAATAAATTTACTTTGAACAACGGTCCAAGTCCGTGTGAAAACATGAACAAAAAGCAGTTAACATTTTCGCTTCGTCGTAAACAATGCAAAAAGGCGGTTTAAGGCGATGTTTAAACAATGCAAAGATTTGGCAAGAGTTTTAGTGCTCAAGAGTTGGCTAATAACAAACAAATTTTTAATTGATATATGTGGGAGTGTAATTAAAGTTTCTTTCATTAAACAAAACGGAAGTATTTTTTTAATAAGTTGTCATATTTTGAGTCAGGGAAAAAGTGTTTGCAAAACTTTCGCACATGCGAGCTTGCATCAAGGAATTAAGGCTTCTTTGTTAATTAAATCCCATGTTATACAACCAATATTAAATACCGGTTGGATTTCGGACTAACTGTGCTTTTCCTACTCCTCAACTGACATTAAACAAACTAAAGGTGCCAAGTTGATTAGGATGCGAGCAAACATAAAATATGCATGCAGCTTTCCTTCGCCAATCAACTTCATAAATAACCGTAAATTGAAATATATATTTACTTAATTATTGTTTATTAATTTTTAAAGCAAACACTATTCGTTGTGGTTTCTGTGTGTGGAGGGGATTTATCATAGGAGTTATAAACCAGTTTCGGCACAAGAGGCGATTAAGCAGAATGCTAAAAAGTCAATGTCAATTTGGTTACCCTGTTATGCACTCCCTGTCCTTCCTTCACCCCTAAAATCAACAATCAATATATAAACATACAACCTTCCTTTGAAAAGAACATATTTCAGTCCAGGCATGTGCATTGCCTAACACTTTTATTTCAATTCGGCACAATCAATCTAACACTCAACGACATTTTTCGATGTCGCCTTCTAACAGATATATATATATTTTTATGGAAGAATATTTTCCTGTTCTATGCTAATTTGCATGCGAATATGTGTATCCAGAGAGACAAAAGAATATTTAATATTGAAATGGGTTTTTTCTGTTATTTTATTGTTTATGATTGCATTTTGACTTTTATAAATGTTATAAATTTGTTTCTTCTCTAACAGCTGCAATTTGTTTATGGGGTTTATTGGGTAGCGAAATATTGGTTGGATTAAGATTAGATCAAGATTGGGAAGATTTATTGTTAACTGATGACGTATGTTTCTAAGAACTGCTTCTTTTATTTTATGAGTAAATAATATATAACCGTCAATTTTCTTTTAAAACCATATTGATTCCTTTTTATAAACATAACCCTGACCTTTAGTATACATTTTTTGCCTTTACCTTAATTTTAACCTAAATTGGGCCTGATCTCCTTTTTCGGTGATTTATATTGGCTTTTGTATAAATTTATTTGTTACCTTGATGAGTTATGTCAACGAAATGGCTTGTTTTATTACAAACATTTCAACAGCCAACAGTAAAGGCAATAAAAATGCAGGCAGGTGCACAAAAAAACATTTGACTAATTTCGATCGAAGTGGCCAAGCCAGAAAAGGAAAAACAAATCGAATTGGGCCAAAAACAGAAAGAGCTCGCGATAAATTAAAATGGAATGCCACAACAAACGGTAGCTGTCTAAACAAAGTTGATACATCATCCATTTTGGCTCTAAAGTCCCCAATTAAGCTTCCTAACTTCACACGTCCATCCATTCATTCCCAGCAGCCAACCCAATTCGAGAAAGTGAAAGTGAGCTCATATTTTGGTTTCGTTGTCGTGCACTTTTTGTGGTCAGGATTCCTTTATTGTACGGGTTATGCAATGGGTAATGGGTAATTTTATCTGATTTATCTGACTTTTAAACATACCCGCCACAGGACCTGATCCTTTGCTCGGCGATGCCATTGTCCTGTCCAGACTGCAAAGCAGCTGGAGGGAGATTATCACAGACAAAACGAAATACTTTTGCATGTTTGAAAACGTTGAGCTATTCAAATATTTTATGTATGAGCTAGCTATATGCAAATGTTATTTTTTCCGTTTTAAAATCTTGTTTTACACACTTCCGCACACTTTTACCCTGAAAATTCCGTAAAATATTTGTAAATGCGTATCGGAAAAAAAGTTTGCCTTTGTATTATTTATCGCATATTTTTGTCGGTCGTTGGTTGTTTTGTTCAAATTATGAATTATTTTAAATACAAATTGATATGCTTATCGCATGAAATCGAAAGTTGGCAAAATGCGGAGACGAAAAACTTCAGTTTTGAATCGAATAAACGGTGTGCGCTGGCGTGCGCCCAAACTGACCGTCGGCTGTCGAAGAACTAACTCTTTCGGCTTAACTTGGCTCAAACCAAGGCAGAATTCCCTCCCATACAGCAAGAGAAGCTGCCGGAGAAAAACTCAGAGAGATACTTGGAGTTACCCAACTGGTTCGAGAGAGTCGAAGATCTCCGAGTCGAAGACGAACTTGTTTGCCGCCGTCAAGAGGCGAAAAAAAGGCGAATCGAAACCCGAAAGATTAACATCGGCCGAGATCGACCATACATGGATATGGCCAGCGGTCGGCGGACACTTGTGGCTGTTTGTCAAACACTTGACGCGGCCTCAGCTGGAGATCGAGAGCTCGAGTCGCATCTGAAGCCGAGTCGGAATCTGAGTCCGAAACCCCACCAAGGTGAAACGAGAAGTGAAACGAACGCCAAACCTTTGAAAGAACGCTCTAGTTAAGTCACTCGAATAGGAATTACCCGGTACAAACAATATAATGAAAAAATAATTAGAAATTACTGAGCAATAAACTTAAATGTTGTATATTTCTAAGATTTGTTTATAAATTTATTTAATTTAAAGCGAATTATTTCAGATATATTAGGTTTTGAGGTGAATTACAAAAATTAAAGATTTAAAATGTTAAAATGTAGAAGTATGCGGAATTCAACAAACTCAATTCTATAGTGTGTTCTACTAGAAGCAGTCTTTTTATTTAACCGGAAGACTTGGCTGAAGAAATACCAATGACTCATGAGCAATTAAATTAAATATAAATAAAATACTATAAAAAAGAATTCGCATAAATCTATTCTTATTTAACATACTCCCAAACTACCGGGTACAAGCTGCAGATTGGAGTCGTTTCCAAATTCTAGTTTCGCTTCTGCGGTTTCGGATTGCGCTTGTTCTGCTCTCTTCTCATCTGATCTGATCTAAGTTCTGGGATTACGCAATTCCCCCGGGATGGATGCATTTCAAACGTGGGCTCCGAATTTGGTCTACGATCAAACTGGGCCGAACCAGAAAACTTCACTTCTCACTGTTGCTGCCCGAATTTCTTAGCAGCGACCTTGGAATGCAGATGATGAACTAGTTTTCTGGCTTAGATTGTTCGAATCCAGCTGCTGGTATTTGCCTTTTCATTCAGCTGAGTGCTGATTTGTTGCTTTACGGTCATACATTGCGTATGCGCGATGTTTGACAGAGATCAGTTGCAAGTGACGGGAAGATAAATGGTGGGATAATAACAAGGTGTATTTTTAGTAGCTGAGGAGGCGTTAGTTTTTAAAATGTTTTTTTAATGTTAAGCTGAAAAGTATAAGAATTTTTTTAACTCATAAAATACTTTTAGTAACTACTAGTATAGAAATTTTTCAAATTTTGCTATTAAGGATGGAAGTTCTTTACCGAATTGTAAAATCAACAGCTTCATAAAACATTTTGTGCCAGCAATTAAGAGCCGGTCATAAAAATTTATTGTCCCGCTGGAGGGGACAAATACTATTGACAACTTTTTGCGGAAAATGTCAGCGTCAGAAAAAGACGCTGAGATTCCATTTGCAGATGGGAGGGGCAAAGAGCCAGAGGAAACGCATCTGCAATGGCCGCAATTTGTGAAGAAATCCAAAAACCAAGTCGCCAAGTGGCAGCCACTTGTTGCTGTTGCCACCGCTTTGCATATTTTGTTATTTTCGTACTTTTTGCATGAAAATCCACTTTATGTTGTTGCCCGGCTGCTCTTTATTTCTCGGTGTGCTTACGTGTTAAATGAAATTAAATTTTTGTTGTGTCTTCTGGTATCTTGTAAGCGGCATCGATTCAATTCGCAGTTCTTCAGGGGCTGGACTAATTAATTAATTGGAAACAAGCAGTCGGGAAAACAAGAAACGATTCAGGGCAGTTGAAGTTCAGTTCGTAAACTTTATTCAGATTTTTAGTAGTTTTATATGCATTGAGCTAACAAAACCAGATTAGACTTCGCACCAGAAAAAATATATAGGCGACGAGTTCATTGCCATCACCTAAAAACCAAGGCCACAAGTGATAAAATTAAAAATTCTTTGATGTTTTAGTTGGGGGAATACCAAATCGGAAGTAATTTTAATATTTTCGTAGTTTTCGAATTAACTTAAATTGCAATATATTATATAATCATTAATTGTCATGAGTTCACTGTTAATTTGTGGATATTATTAATGATATAATTGGCAGTTGGATAATCAGCAGCTAGTTTTGCATAAATTTTCCGAAAATAGATTTCGTAAAACCATTCTTGGAAACGAGTGGATTCCCCTCAGTTGACCCTCGCACGTGATTCGACTCGGGTGAATCCCCTCAAACAAAATTAACCGGCGAGCGTTCGTCAAAATCTACGCAATATATGGCCTTTGATGGGTTTTCAGATCAAAGCCTTTACAATTTGTGTGACCCTAATGGAATAGATATTTAAATTTTGTTTTATTTTTGCCATAAGACTGTGAATAAAGCGGTTTGTTGAACTTCATATACATATATAAGTCGTTTTGCATTAAAAATTTTTCTTTTATAAATCATTAAGGCAGGATCAGAGAAGAATAATTACCACATTCAAATTATCACCTTTAACTAAGTTGATAAAAGTTCATAAATCAGTTAAGATTCCTCCCCCTAGGTAACAATAATTCACTTCCTTTTCTAAAAACGCATGCAAATTCTTATCTCAAACGACTGTCCCATCGAATTTAAAAGAATTGCTAACAAAGTGTCATTGCCAACGAAAATGAAATCCTCAACTAGTTCTTAACATGTGGAAGTGGGTGCATTGCCTCCTCGAATTCAGTTTTATGGCAGCTCTTTTGTTTCACAGACTTCCCAACTCGTGTGTGGGTAATAAATTTTAATGGCTTGACGTTTAAGTAAAATAAAATTCCGTCATCGAACTACTTCTAGACTCGTCTTGATTCGATTCCATTCGATTCGCTGCGATGCGATTCGTGGTCGTACATTTTTATACCCTTGCAGAGCAAAAGGGTATTATAATTTCAGTCAGAAGTTTGCAACGCAATGAAGGAGACACCTTAGACCCCATAAAGTATATATATTCTTGATCAGCATCACCATCTGAATCGAAATATGTATGTACGTCTGTCCGTCTGTCCGTCTGTCCGTCGGTCCGTCGGTCCGTCTGTCCGTCTGTCCGTCTGTCCGTCTGTCTTTTTCTATGTAAACTAGTCTCTCAGTTTTAAAGCTATCTTGCTGAAACTTTCCCAAAAGTTGTGTAGCTATTGCACGCAGTATATAAGTCGGATCGGGCCGGATCGGCCGACTATATCGGATAGCTCCAATACAAGAGAATGAAATAAAAAAATCGTACGCCGTTGTTTTTTATCAGATCGACTTGATTTCTTCAATATGGCATTTCCGAACTGTTATTGAAATTCGGATTAAATTTTATCACAATCGGACAACTCTATCATATAGCTGCCATAGGAGAGTTCGAAAAATATATATAGAATTAATGGAAATAAATTTATAACATCGTTGTTTTTTATCCCACGAGCATGATTTTTTCAATATGAAGTTTTTTAACAACTCTTATATTGGGAAAAAGTTTCATAAAAATCAGACAACTATATATTTAGCTGCCATAGGAAAGATCGAAAAATCTATATAGAAATAACGGAAATAAAATTATAACATCGTTCTTTTTCATCAGATAAGCATGATTTTTGGATAATAATGTTTTCTAACGACTCTTGAATTACGAATTAAATTTGATCAAAATCGGACGACTATATCATATAGCTCCCATATGATCTATAGTCGAAAATGTGGAAAATTAATAGAAAAATCGTCTTAGCTTCAATGTTGTTTAGCCTTTATGCATTTTGTTCGACATATTTGATGACTGCAAGGGTATATAAGCTTCGGCATGCCGAAGCTAGCTTCCTTTCTTGTTTTGGAAGATTTCGCTCAGGGTTAAAATTGGTGCGAAAAAGAGGGACGGGGTGCAACCAGTTTCGACCCTGGGCAAAGTGAAAAAAAGCCTTATAAATTTGCCAACTTTTTCGCCTTTAAGCTGTGCAAATAGCCTGACAAAGCGAGACTCGTCTGATATGTTATGTAAACTCATATGCAGCCCAGGGCCATTCATCATACGCACTGTGGTCCCGGAGGCGACAAAGCGATCAGTGCTAACAAAAAGCTGCGAAATGCAAATAAGTAATGAGGCAGCGTAATGCTTGAGAGAAAGAGGTAATGAGTTGGCTTAGTTCCATTAATAAATAAAGTTCAAAACAGTGATAATTAAACACAAAACAAGAAGATACAGCTGTTTCAAACAAAGATTTTAGTGTGAGGAAATGAATTCCAAAAGAATCACCAGAAGACAATAAATAAGGCACTTAAATGTGAGGTGAATAAAAACCAAAGAAACACATTTATGGCAAGCAACTCAAAAATTTTAGAAATCTGTTAAGAATGCCATTAAAAAATAAGTTAAATATAATACAATAAAAACTTGAAAAAGTAAAGAATTTAAAGAAAATGCTAGGAAGTTGAATGTAATCCCTAAAAGAGACAACATAAAATGGTCAGGAATGTCAGTTGTTAATTTCGAACCACTTATGGAATATTCACGTACTCAAAATGGAATGAAAATGAAACAAGTCTTCAAGGAATGAATTGAAAGTGACAGTGGCTCGAGGCAAGGGAATGCCCCAACATGCCTTAAAATAATTTTATGGCATGAGGTAATTATTGTAAAGGTGGAAGCCGAACTGCACCGAGTGGAACTAAGCAAATTAAAGTGGATTGATGGATGAACGGCGTGGCTAATGGCATAGCCTCTAAGTAAGGCGAAGTCAAACATCAATTCCTCGCTTGATCACTTTATCAATGAGTGGGTAAATGGGGAATTGATTAATGGCGGTTAGAAATGCAGAGCAGAGTGGATAAAGCCTAATGAAATATCTATGTACGCTCATGAAACAGTTTTAATTGAACTTGATCACGTATTTATTTTTGATAAATTTTGTTTATTTATGGCGATGAAGTTTTCGATACATTTTGTATAGTTCTAACGAAAGTAATGATCTCAACTCACCAGCATCGACTTCATTTTCGCTGGGATCGCGATGGAAAATGTTGCCATAGTACTGATCGTGTTGCTCTGATTCCACGCTCTGCAGCGATTCCTGCACATCGTAGTCGAAGTCCTCCTGGTTGGCCTGCTGCTGCTGATCCCTATCCTGATCCTGATCCTGTTCATCCTCCTCCTCCTCCTCCACCTCCTGAAGACGTTTGCGATTGTAGCCGCTTTGTCTTTTGGAGGCCGCAGCTGCCAGGCGATTCCTTTGAGCTCCACCACCGCTCCTCTTGAAATTTCGCCCATCACTCGCCGCAAATCCGCGAGGACGTGGCCTGGGCGATGGCTTGGGCTTCGGCAGGATATCCGCGATGGTGGGAATCTTTTGGTTGGCCGTGCGATTGGGAAACAGTCGCCGCTCCAAATAGTTGGCAAATATCTGCTGCGTAATCTGATTCTGGCGAGCTATCTCGCTTTGATCAAGTTGGGTGCCTGAAACGGGACCACAATTAATCACTGAACAAGTAGTCCCATGTGGGTCACTGCAAGTTGTGTAATACACGAGTCTTCGTTTTTAAAGGTAATTACAAAAAGTGCGGGACTGACAACCCACGTCGAGGTGTTGAAAATAAAGTAATTAAAACAGCAACCTCTAAACAAAAACCCCTCGAAGTCTGGTTACCCTTGTGGATAAATATCTCGCAGTGTTATACCCTAATAGCGAGTTAATGGCAACAGTTAGGCAATAAAGAGGTGGCTTTTTATATCAATGTTAGGGCATCATGATGAGCCCGCCACTTGATGAATTTTTGATTACATCGTTTGGGTTTCGGAGTGACACGCAGCCATCATTCAAAACTCTGGGAATCGGGGAAAGGCCCCTTGTGGTTGCCCTTATAAAGTGTTTGATCGTGGCTCTTGGGCTTCGCTTCTTGTGAATGAAAGTGAGAAGATATCGAAATAATTGAATTGCCATCATCTTTAGGGGTTCAGCCACCACGATCACTTGCCATTTCATCTCCCCAAAAAGTGTGTCAAGGTCGGCGAAGACTTTTACTGCCCAGCAGTTAAGCAGTTGTGTTTCAGTCATTTTACGAACATTTCCAGTTTCCGGGGCTCCCTGTGATGGGTCCGAAATTGCCAAATAATTGATATAAATTTTGTGGCTTTAATCCGGATTCGCAGACTGTGCCATAAACGAGCTAACAGCCCTGTGATACATTAGCCCCGCCCAGCCCTCAGCTCCTAATTTGAGTGGCACTTCGGGTTAAATTTATCTCCACGGGGGCAAAGAGAAATACAGAAAATTAAAGTAAAATTTATTACGCAATTAACGTAATGTTTTTAATATTTTTTTAAATATATCTCTTTGTTCATTGCTTATCATCAGTTAAGAGCGCAACATTACGCGGCAAAAAGAGTTGAAAATTACGCCCTGGCATTTTTCTGTGATTGAGTGGGGACATGAGCGGTTTTCTGGGGGTTGTGAGGAGCGCGAAGTGTGTGCCATGTCAGGTGAAACATTAATGCCGGATTACCGAAAACAAGGCCTCTGTTCACTTGACTTTGTATGCCGGATAATTCGGCGCTTAATCTGATTGCCTTCGGGTAATGAAATTGGACTCCCTGAGCACCGAAGCACTTGGCGGCAATCGACTGAAAAGATCTTCTTTATAGATCAGAGTTCGTTAATGGAAAGTTCGTGTCTTCAATAATTAGGTGGAAATTGAAAGTTAATTTAATGGAAAGCCAAATTGGAAAACCAAATCGATTACCTATTTCTTATAAAATTTGTTAGCTTTTCAATTTACTTTTACTTAATTTCTCCTAAAATATGGGATACTGACAAGTTTAAAAAAGATTGATTTTATACACACCTTTTAAAATGTTTTTCGGACATTCACATCAGCAGCTAATCAAACTGAACATTCAGTTCATCACATAATAATTAATTTGACAAACATATTCGTGTTTGCTTTTATATCTGATTTGAAAAGATTTATTAAAGCGTTAGGTTCCGAAGAAATGTTGATGAATCTAGAACAAATATTTTACCTAATATCAATTCGACAATTAAATTTAAAAAAGTACTCAGTATTGAGTCAGAATAATTGATTGATCCCATTCAACTTCAAGTTCAGTCCACTCAACACAATTGTGTAGAGTAATTTTTTATCCAATCCGGCGGATGTAAACATTTTCTAACAACTTGCACAGAATTTAAGGTGCTTTGAAGTCCCAGCGGAATGGCAAGTCATTGAGCAAGACTTTAATTTCGGCATTAATTACCAATCGAGCTGGAATTAGAGTTGCTTTTGAGGTCGCATCGAAAGGAGAACAAAAGGCAGCTCAACGCACACAAACAAACCAGACAAGGCTCAGGGTTCATTGTTCATTTATTGTTCTTCAAGAGTCGCAATCCTTGGCTTGTTAACCGAGCATTTTGTGAGATAATTTACGTGCCATTGTTGGGCGCCATTTGCTGACCCATTGAAAGTTGGATCGAAAATATGAAAACAGCTGAAACGTGATGGCCCAAATGCTTTTGACATTGGGAGAAGGGGGAGTTCTGATATCCAATCTCCGATCAATGATAAAAAAAAACAGTTTAACAAATAAGAATCACTTAACTTACAGAACTTATAATTTATATTTCTTATATGGTGTGCTATTCTTTCAAATTAGTTTTGTGAAGGTATGAGATATTCAAGTTTATTTATTTTCCGGGATATTAAATATTTCAACCATACTTATTTCGAGCTTTTAAGACTGATCTCCTTATTTCTTTTTTTCCCGTGCAATTGTCGATCGGCCTGGGCATTCAATAACTCCACGACTTGGTGACCCAGTTGTGTCTCCGTCGCGATGTGTATCTGAATCGGGCAACAACTATATAGCAGATACTTGGACCGGCTAATTGTCGTTTGCACAGGCCACATAAATCATGACAACTCGCTGAGGATGTTGGCTTTGCCTTGAGAGAAAAACGAACCGAGACGGCGGTGAACCTATCAAAGCGCTAAATCATTTCCACCAGCATCAGAGGCTAAGAACCGTCGCAAATAAATCTGTATCTGTATCTGTATCTGAGGCTGCAACAAGCTGCCGCAATTGCAACTGCAACTGCAACAACGGCTATTTGAGGGCCTTGCAATTGCCGCTTGGCTGAAAAGAGGTCAATTAGCTGCGAGGAGTTGCCCAGAGACAAAGACAAAGACAAAGGATTTCGCAATTCCGCTCGCTAAACGATTGTTTTTCTCTTCTGTTTGCAGACCAGCTTCCACATTCCATAAAGATACTTTTCAAACGCTTGCGCAATCTGCTTGTATCTCTTGTTTCGGCTAATTACATGAGCAGCCAATGCGGCGTATACGTTACGCACGCCAAGCCTCAGATTTCTGGCTGTGGTCAAACTTCTTTGATTGACGCACTCAAGGTGCCTAAGAATCGGCGGCTCATGAGTACACAAATTTGATATATTAGATCATAATTAAGTTTAGTTGGCAGCCGTGGTTCAATGTCAAGCCACAAGCCTAAAAGATTTATTTATTCAATGCTGAAAGATGTAATTATATTCGTGGGCTTGTGTGGATACTCTAACAAAGCGAAGACCAATAAATTATTGCAGTCTATCGCTTAAATTAAAATCGATTTTAGTCAGGTTGAATATTTTTTGAATAATATATTACAGAGTTCAATTTGTTCACTAGGCTTTTTTATTATTTATTTAAATAAAATTTGAATTATTAATATCGCTTTGATGTTTAAGTTACATAAAAATTCAAATACACAAAGGTGAATTTATTATTAATAAATATATAGCTACTTATAATTAACATAAATCGACCAATTATTATTTATTGGTATCAGTTTTAATTAGAGAATCGTGTTGTATGTCAATGCACAACACGAATATTATTATAAAATCAAAATGATGCAAATCGATTGATAGATACCAGCTGAAAATACTGTGTAAGGCTACTGAAAGATAAAGAGTATTCCAAAAATCAAATCAATATTTAAATATTTTCCCTATCTTGACAAATTACCCTTTTAAGTGGTAGGCACAAAACCACCAAAAGGTTCGAGAGTTCTTCTCACATTTTAATAAAAAACATTTGCATATTTCAAAGCATCTGTTTTATTTTTGGACATCTTCGGCTAATTTCTGATCATCACGACAAGCGAATTGAATTTCCAATGCAAATCAAAATTCTTTGGTGGCATAATACTCAGTAATTATTTAAAAAGGCTCGGCCAGAGGTTTTTGAACTCTTATTTTCTGTTTCAGGCTGGGTTCTTATACCTCATTAATCTTTTGGCCGTGTTTGGGGAAAGGTTTTCGGCACGTGTTTGGCTCCTTGGCCATTGTTCTCGCCAAAATGTCATGAGGTGAAAGACTTGAACTTTGCTCACAAGCTGCCATTATTCTTTCAGCCATAAATTGCTTTTGCATAATATTATTTAATGGCTTTTCTGATTTGCCTCAGTATTTTCTTCTACTCCATATTTCATTTAATATTCTGAGGTCACCGGCATTCCAATATATAAACAAAGTTAGGCAGCGCATCCAATAAGTCGAGAGAAACGTATCACAAACATATTATTCAAACTGGATTTCTAGCTTAGCTTTGATGCTGAATATTTATGCAACTAGAAGATGCGCATCGAACGCACCTACAGATATAAATAAACACGATGTCCATACATATATTTATTTTAGCCTACGAAAGTTTGAGTCTGATTCGATTGGATTGGGCCGAGATTCGCTTGTGTAGAACTCATATGTTTATGAAATGCGAAATCTTTAAATGCCAAATGGTGCATGGGAAACACAATTAGCATTTTAATAACTGCCAATACTATTTTTGTTGATCTCTGCTTTTTTGTTGTAATATATGAAAATCGAAAGCTTGATTTGCCTGCAAATCGAAATGTTATGCAGAATCAGTGCTGATAAATTTGCAGAGATTTTTTATGCAAATGTTCTTCTCTTTATTTATATTTTGTATTGATAGTGATGAAAAACTAGATTTGTTTCTATTTCCAAAATAAAAGTGGCGAAATATAAATGTATTTTCTGAGCAGCTATAAATCTCTTAGATAATTAACATTCTATATTGATATGTTCTTTGTTGCTTATTCCATTTGATTTTCTTTTTATGGAATTTTCTATTAAGTTTCGTTGGATTTAAGATGATAACTTATTGTACGGTATAACATTAAGGTTAATTAACGTCAATAATGAATGTCAGTGGCTTTCTCCCATTAAACGTAATCAATTTCTCGCCAATGGAACCCTTGAAATGCCACACATTTTCCACCCACACCTCCCTCTGTCCAAAACCACGCATTAGGAAAAACTTGAACCGATTCAAAGCAATCTGGCCATGAGCAATTGTTAATATTTGCAAATCAATTGACACAGCCTCTTGACGGGGTCCATCACAGAGGCTGAGAAACTCTGACTCTGACCCTGACACGGATTTAGTACAATCGAAGGCACTTGCCAAGTGCCTCAAAGGGGACAAGTACTCACCTCTCTTATTACGGCCATTTTCCTCTGGATTGTGGCTAATATTGCTGCTGGTGCTGGTGCTGGCGATGTGATTGTTTTTGTTCAGATGGAATCCGTGTGGCACATTGCTGACGTGCACTGTCACCGGAATTTTGTTTGGCGGTGTATTGTGGCCGGAATCGACACTGGCCAGCGAAATGAGCACTACGATGAGCGTGGGGCGAAGCATTATCACTGATTTTGGTTTTGGTTTTCACGCGAATGTTAGACACCAGTAAAAGTAGCAAGTGCAGTCAGTACGAGATCGCCCGAGTGCACGTAACCGAGGAAAACGGGGAAAGCAAGTCGAGGCTATGGTGTAACCTCCGAATCCGAGCTGTAACTGAATGCCACTGAAACTGACCGACGTTGGCCGCTTAGAGGTGTCTCCAGATCTAGCCTATTTGGTATGCAGCTTCGCTTTCTAAATTATCAAAATATCGGGTAAATGTCTTGTATCTTCTGCTCGATCTGTTTTGTATTATAATATTCAAATACTTCTGTTTTCTCCGCCCAACTGTCAACGCTCGAGGGGCGGGGAAAGGTCTTTAAGTAAGAGCCATTAATTTGCGCCTTCCAAATATTTTTCGGAGCCAGGGTTCGATGCCTGATCGTGAAGGCGACCGCGGATTAAGTAATCACCGAGATCTCCACTCAATTCACTTTCTTTCCGCTTTCGCAGAGAGAGAGGGAGATTGAGCGCGTTTCAATTTGGACTTTTCGGGGTCTTGGGGTCTCTCACTTTTCAGGTCTGCCGTGGACCGATCTCAAAAGTTGCTCGCATTCGGGGCCGATCCACCGAAGAGTTAACATCTAGGCTGGGGCACCGCTTTTCGAATTTCTAGGGGCCTTCCTGCGATCGCACTCGCCGTGTTAACTTACAGACTAAAGCGTTTGAACGCGACTAAAACGAGTTTCGTGCTCGACTCCTCGCCGAACCGTCGATCGGTCAGCTGGCCCGATCTCCGGTCTCTCTCACTCCGCATATATACAGCATATATATCTGCCTGGTGCCTCAACTCGTTTGAACTGACCGGACCAGACGGCAAACCACAAAACCGCCGCTGCATCCAACGCCTTTTTCTGCGGCTCTTCGCCTCGATCTTCTCCTTCGAAGAATTCAGGTGGAGATGGGTCCCATGATTTTTAATTACAGGTGTGCAATAGATGAAGACCGTCCGAGCGGATCGGTTTTACTGTTCTCCGCTGCAAGTCAGCCATCGCCAATTGGCTTTGTGGGCTATTTTTAGAAACGAGGGAATTGCAGATGAACCACCTTTTGTGGCCTTGACTTGGCAATTAAGTACCCTTAAAAAAGCGATACAGATTTGCATAACAGTTTACTACATATGTTTGGTACCCTTGAGGGATTTCCCATTCCATAATGTAAAGCAGCTCAATATGCTTAGGAATTTTAACTTCGATCGCCAATACTAAGCTCCATTTTTAATTCAAGATAACAGAAACCATAAAACTGTCAAATATTGAAATGCATTCTTTAAGCCATTTTGCGATTTCTTTTCAGCTCAATAGGGGGTATAAACTGGTTATTATTGGAAAAGATAATCATCAAAAATAAAAAAAAATATGAAATCAAAATAGAATAGATACATTTAAAGAGCATTCAAAGATCCGAAAAATCGAATTACGATTTCCATTGGTTTTATAAATAACCAAGGCTCTGTGTAAACTGATCCTTTTCAGGGAGCTTCATCTTTGACAGATCAACAAATCTTCACATGCGGCTTTAACACTCTTGAATTTAAAATAAAAATGACACCTCCCTTAATTTAAAATTTTAATTATTGGTTCTGTTAATTCCAAATAATACAAATACGTAACTCTAGTCGAAATATGCATTGTATGGGTTGGGAATATTGCCAAATTGAAATTTTTATGACAACTGCTGTAATTTAGGTGTTTGATGTAAATGCCAATGGATGGGTTCTCAAAAGGTGTGCTTCTGGTCCGGTAAGTGGTTTGGGATCCACCGAAGGATTGTCAGGGGTCCTTTCGTATCCTCTACTTCTTTTTCTTGCCCTTGCCCTTCTTTCCCTTCTTGCCCTTCTTTTTCTTTTTCTTGGCCCCACCGAGCATTTCCTCGGAAACATATGTTTCGGTGGTGACTTTGCTGACCGGCAAGGTTACAGGTTGTTTAGGGGTCCTCAACTCGATCTCGATCGTGCTCTTCTTGTGCTGCGACTTTGCCTTGCTTCCCAGCTTTACCAGGAACACATCACTGTCTGTTTCTTCGCAAGTCTTGTAGCAGACCTAGTTAAAAAAAATTAAAAGCGGGATGAGGAATATATAAAATCAGTCGGCTCGAAAACCCCTATCTAATCTCTTAAGCTTAAAAACTTTAGGGTAATGGGGGTAATAAAACAGCACTTCAAGCATGACATTTATGGATGCACTTGTAATTTCGGCGGAACAAGAGCTACTAATTTACACACATGTGTTAAACTGCTATTACATCTCCCCTGCGATTACCATAAATAAAAAACCCATAGAAAGCTGGAGCAGATTGCAACCACAAACGAAAAGAGTGCTCCACATTTGGAGCTGGCAGATGTTATGCAACTGCCCCAAAATCGAGGCAATTGAAAGCCTTCCACCGGGTTGCCGAAGTTGCAGAAGTTGCACCACCTGCATCGGCATTTACAGGGGCCAAGTCACGGACTGAAAGCGATCACACATTCCGCGTTCGCACACGTAACCAACGATCCCAAAAAAAAGGAATGCGGAGGCGATGAGCAATTGCTCCGATTTGAGATTAAACATTCTTGAAATTCAATTTTTTAACAGGTAATTACTACTGTATGACAATCTTTGCGTTCAATCAAAAGAAGGAATTATGATAAATGTTAAAGTGTAAAATAATAAATGCTTTTGGCTGAACGCAACTCACCTCGATGCCCTTTCGTCTTGTGTCCAGATTGACACCCTTCATGGTCTGCTGGATGTCCTTACGCTCGACCTGCATGCAGCAGGTCCTCTGGTTGTGCGGTGGGCACTGGGCGGGAACAATGCGTTCGCATCCGCCGCAGAGTCTCTGGCGATAGCACTCCACCTTTTCCTCCTGGCGGTCACAGGCCTCCTTGATCTTCGAGAAGGGCACATAGTAGTTGTCGGTCTCGCAGGCATCGTTTCCTGAGTACTTGATGTTGGCCCGAATTTTCGGGATGTTCGGATGGTTGACGATCCTGCCGCCGGTCCTGCGCTTAATGTGATTCCGGGCGAAGGAGCTGCGCTGCAGCATCTCGTGCAGGCAGTCGTCCTCCTTGGGTTCGCAGTCATTGGGATCGTCATAATAGCAGGGATCATCGTCTGCTCGAAGGTTGGGTGCATTCTCGGATCCATCCTGGACGCTCTCCACCTTATGGGTGTTCTTCAGCACTCTGATCGTCAACCCACTGCCATTAAGGCAGGCCTCGAACTCATCGTAGGCCTCCGGACCCGGATCCTGTTTAGTAGGTTGGATGAAGCAAGGAGCCAGCTCCGGACTGCAGTCGCAATCGCAGGCGCACTGGCAACAGCCATCGCAATCATCAGCATCTGGGAAAAGATCAAAAATATATAAATGTTAGCTCTATTTTTTAAAATTCTCTACTTGAAAGTTTATTTATTAATCAGTACTTACTCTCATTCATTGGCTTAAGCATCTCATCTGTGATCTTGAACCTGCAATCAACCTTTGGCTTCTTGCCCTTCTTTCCCTTCCTCCCCTTCTTCTTGGCCATCTTGTACGATTAAGTGTCTTTAGATAAATACAATTATTCACTGGGTACGTCTGCAGATGTTGTCCGTCCGAAGAGTCGGTTCCGAAAGCCTTTCAATTCTCAATTTGGATATTGTACTTCACCAGTAAGTGGCGCAATTTCCGCACTGCTCGTTTTCGCGCTACAAAATTAAGAAGCGATGAGCAATTAGAACGCGTCAATGATTGTAATGATTATTGGAATTGCGCGAACTGTACTTGTCTATCTTGTTTTGAAAGTCCATTCAAAAATCGCGTTACGATACGAAAGAATTTATTTTTTGAATATTTTGTGCGGCAGACAACATTTCCCGTATGAATCTATAAAACGAATACAACCCGAGTAATGATGTATTACCCCCTGGCTACTTGGTGTTACTAAAAGTTTTGGATAAGCTTACAAATAAATATGTTATTGGTAAATCTAAGCCTACTCAGCTGGATTTTTTGCCGATCTTACTTCATAGTAAAATTCCTACAATAAAGGTGTTTAGTTCTCACCTTCATCGCAAGCCGCATCGTATTCTTGCTCGCGTCTGCTGCACTTGGCAACTGGGTCTTTATACCTCAATTTCCTGGATGCCTGAAGAACGCCATCAACGACAGGATCACATTCTTCGTAAACCGCAGAGCGACCGACAGAGTCGCCTACGCAATAAACGGCTCCTCCTGCCTGACGCTTCTTCTTACCCTTGCCGTCCTTTCCGTCCTTCCCGTCCTTTCCGTCCTTCCCGGCTTTACCGTCCTTACCATCTTTGCCCTTTTTACCATCCTTGTCCTTCTTGTTCTTATTCAGAAGATCCGCCTCCATTTTCGTTTTGACCCAACGGGGATACGGTGGAATGCCACCACAGGGACCACACTTTTGCAGCTTCTGCTCAATGGGAGACATATTGCATCGTTTCGAGGGGACAGTAGGACATTCTATGGAAAAAAAATTCATAATTTTTTTTTATTACAAAAATTTAATAGATAAGTTTTAGTTAGTTAATAAATGCTTCCATTGTTTTTTAAATGTTTTGGAAACTTTTTTATAGTATGGATTTTACAATTAAGGGAATTTATTACTCACCCCTGTCAAACTCGTCCTCGCAGTAGTCACACGGACACATCTTGTCCAGGTTGCAGGAGTAGTATCTCAGGCACTTTGCCGGAGGCTCTTCGTGCTTGGGACAAGGATCCGGCATTATGCAGCGGCGACATGGTGGTTGTCCGCAAGAACCTTTACAAGGGCTTTTCTTGTTCATGGGTCCACCGGTAGCAGTTACCGGTGGACAGCAGGGACTGCAGGGGTCACAGGGATCGCATGGATCGCAGGGTCCACAAGGTCCACAAGGTCCACAGGGTCCACAGGGTTTACAGGGACCGCAGGGTGGTGGGCAGGGACCAGGACATGGAGGTGGAGGTGAAGAACCGCGGCAGGGAGGAGGTGGACTGCAGGAAGGACATGATCCGCAGCAAGGAGCCGGGCAAGGACCACAGGGACCACATGGACCGCAGGGACCGCAGCAAGGCTCTGGGCACTTGGGGTTTCTGGAGCAGACCCTGCTGTAGGGAAATGTGGAAACTATGGCAGGGCCATTGCAAACCAATCTAAGGATCAGAACAATATTTCCAGTCTGCATCTTGCAGAGGTTAAAGAGTGGCAGTAATCGCTTGGATAACTCCGAGGTGGGACACCATTGCTCATGGCGTTCGTTCAGCTTTTCGTAACAAGCACAATTGTCCAGAAGACCCTTCTTATTGGGACCCTTCATCTTGGGCAACTGGGCGACGTGACCCTGCATAGCTCCCTCCCAATTTAGATTTTCCAAATCGAAGGACTCCCTAACTCTATCAAAGATCGGCTTTACCTTCAGTTCCGATAATCCTATCAAGAACTTGCAGCTCTCTGTGCGTTTCTTATAGACATGAACCTGCAGCACATCCTTATCAGTGATTGGGGAATCCAGGGTGAACAGAGCACATTTTCCGCACTTGGGCGAGCAGGGGTTAACGCAGGTGCCCATTTCCCGATCGCAAAGATTCACGTACACCACCGACCGGAACGAGATCTCCGTGCAGGTGGGATACTCCTCCGGGGCACAGAGATTTTGGCGTGTAATCAGCAGATCGTCCACCACAAACTCAAACATATAAAGAAAGTTATCGGCAATTTTCTTCTCCGGCTTCTCCGGTTTCTCCGATTTCTCAGATTTCTCCGATTTCTCTTTCTTGTCCATTATTCCAAAAGAACAAACTTTAGTTTAACCACTGATGTAAAAGAGAATTTTCGCCAGGGGCTGACTTTCGCGAAATCTATAATTTCCGAACCCAAACACACGCACTTTTAAAATTTTGAGAATGAATTTGAATTTAGACTTCGATTTTGAATAGACGTCGAGACTGCGAGACTGTAAGATTCAAACTATTGATTCCTAACGATAGGAAGTTCAAGGACTACTAAAGCAAAGTTCATCTCTTAACTATACTTCCATGTTTACTTCAAAAGGAGTATTTATTAAAGGCAAGTACATTGAAAAGCCCCTATATCATATTATTGAAGTGACCCAAAGATTACCTTCAACCATATAAATTCATTCAATTTAGTGAAATAACTGAACTTATCCTTGTTATCCTTGAGTAACTTTGAAGGCGGAAACTACGGAGGAACTTTTTGAATTTGTAATTTTTCCAGTTTTGAATATCCTACCGAAAAACCCTTTGGATATCAAACTCAAAACGTGCCTGAAAACCAGAAAACATTTTAAATCATAAAATGCTGCATTCCTATACGATTATTTAAAAGTGTTATAAACGTAAGATAATATATAAAAACCAAGTTTAATTGATGATTCCAATTAACCTTTACAAGAGGCAAACGCCTTTGTATCGGCTATCTTGTATGCATGTCATTAACACGATATACATACTTGGTACCATCAAGCAAGACGAACGATCTTGTCTTGCATTGCAGTTCACCTCCACTGGTAATTAAAAGACGAGATTGAGGTTTTCTAGCAATGCGTAAAATACTTTATTTAATGTCATAAAATGTTTCTACAAAAGTGATTGATCTACTTTGCAATTAATCGCAGTTAATAAGCGGCGCCTTGACAAACTCCTTGCCCTCCCACTCGAAAATACATTCATCTCCATTTCCAAGCGCCTGAAGCTCGCCTATATGTTGTGTGTGTGTGTTTAATAACTAACAAGTTGCAGAAAGGAATGGATTTGGAGGTTTTAAAACTAAACAAAAACAAAGAAAAACAAACAAAAAACGGAGGGCAGAATTTGAGGGGTATTGAAATCAGTTACAGAAATTGGTTTACAAGATATTTTCTCGGAGCAATGCGACTGTTTTTATGCTGCAGAGGTAGTTCCCAGTGACTCTGCTAGACGACACTAATGTCATGGGTTTCGAAAGAAGATGGGCGGAAAAAGCCGCGGCCACTGCACGAACTCGATGCCGTAATGCAGAATTCCCGTGGCGCTCACGGCGATCATCGCTCCCCAGAAGAGCATGAAGAGCAAGTTCTCAGTGTTAAACTCAGCCGGATAGGTCATCGTGATCATAAACATGGCCACGGCCATCAGCAGCACCGAGGGGAAGGTGAAGAACCGCCATCCATGCTTTGATTCCAGTGGCGACGGCAAGGCAGCGCCCTCGTTGTCGTTAATCAGATACTTGCCAAGGAACAGATCCATACTATCCTGCCGCTGGCCATCGGCAAAGTTATTTAGATAGTAGCGCATCAGTGAGTTCTTGCCGTCCTGCAGGGCACCAGCCTTGGTCCTCTTGCCCGTTCTGGTGAAATCGGTCTTGAGGGCACACGTTCCAGAATATTGCAGCGACACCAGATCTGCATTGTCCGCCCAAACGCCCTTAAAGAGGCTTTCAAAGTGGGCGGAGGAATTCTCTACTCGCTGACCCACATGCAGCACTCCCAGCTTTTGGAGCACCGTCGTTAGGGATCTCCGGGCCAGCATGCTCTGCACCACATTCGTCCTGTCCAGACAGTCGATGCAATTTGTCCGGAAGACGCCCGTCTGCGTGGACACTAATTTGCCATCATCGAAGATGTGATAGAAACCGAACTGATCCTGTTCGTGGGCCAGGCGATCGATAAGTATGTTGAGCCTGTCCCAGCGCATCTTCCGGCACTCGCTATGGAAGTCAAATGATTCGTAGCGCACTTGTGGATTACCAAGTTCACGTATCAAACGGGCGAAGGTGGCTTCTAGTTCACCTTCTGCGCCTTTGTGATCCACCAGATTCACAGCCACGTTGTTGCCATACAGCTTAATTTGTTCGTTGAAGTGAAGGCTGCAAGCAGCCAGATGATCCTTGCCAGGAATTAAAACAGGACGCGGCTTGTAGCGTAGGTTGGGCAGCTGGTGCCAGTAAAAAGGCATGCTGCCTCGCGTCTGCACGAATCCTGTGAGCTGTCCGTTAAACTCAACTATTTGCTCGGTCTCCACAAAATTGGCCACATGACCCCGGTCGTCGATGCCTCTGCAGAACAGACGGGTCCCGGCACGCTGCACCGATCGACGAGTTATGATGCTCCAGAAGAAGGTCTGCCCGTTAATTTGGACTTGGTTGATGGACACGAATCCCAGGACCAGTGGCAGCTGAAACTTCTCCATCTTGTCGCAGTTAAACTGCCGAAGCACAAAGCCGTTCCAAACGAATCTTTGCTCTGCCCGCTGCAACAAGCCTCCTTGCTCTTCCGGCAGAGATTGGGCCACCTCGCGCTGGCGCTGGAGCGAGTTAGTAAGGTCGTAGCGATAGGAGAAATAGAAGAACTTGGTGTCCAACGTTTGACGCAGCAGCCGCAAGTAGGTCTCGTTCTCCTTGCGCTGAATGGCATTCGGAATGTAGGGTATGATGTCATAGCCTGCTAATCTCCACACAATGGCGCCATTGAGGACGCCGACAAAGAGTCGATGGGTAGCCACTAAAAGGTAGTCGCAGCACAGCAAGTGAATGGTGCCGAGGACCCCGCAAATTCGCCTAGTGGGCCGCAGATTAGCCAACTGACCTCCGCCCGCTGGCTGAACTCTTGTGACCTTGTCGTGGCGCCCGACTATGAGCACCTCCGGCCCTCCGTTCGGCTCCACAATGAAGCTCTCCGGTGTGATGTACAGGTTCATGTCATCGTACACCTCATTGCCCTCCCTGCTCGCCATGATTTCCGGGGGCGGTGCTTGGCCCAAATCGAAGCCTAAGGGTTAAAAAATAGACGGTTAATAAATATCGGCTGCACCTGTGCTGTTTTCTTTTCCTCGAGGGCAGCTCACTTTCTGTAATCGGGGATCCCCTGTCGCTGTCACACACGCACAGCACCAAAACCAGCCACAGCCTCAGCAGTTCAACTTGTTTATTTTATTGATTTAACACAGATTCTGTTGCATCTGAGTTTTTTTTGGCAAAGTCTTTGCCACTACGTGTGTGATAGAGAAGGGCGAATCAGCGGAATAGCGATGTGCGCTCTTGCGATATTTCCAGGGCGGTACACTTACCATTATCTAGTACTGCGCTCTGGCAGGTACACCAATCCAACCAGGAGGGCATTTTCTGTTTATGGCAGCATAATTTGGACTAAAAAGGTAGAATTTTGTAAATTCTGTTTGAATTTTGATCCACAATTTTTTTAACATTGCTGTCAGATAAAACTGTCTTCTTGATGGCATTTGCTAATGCGCAAAAATACTAAATAATGACAGTATATTTCCGTTAATCGATATTATTAGTTTTGATACTATGGTCATCTAAAAATTTTGGCGCGAACCCATCGCTAGTTCGACAAACAACAACAGATTTTAACAAAAACAGATCAACAATGAGCCGACAAACAAAATTATTTGGAGATAAGGCATTTGACCTGCTTAAGGAATTGGAGAGATCATCTCAGACTATTCCTGCCTTCGACGACGACGGAGTACGTCAGGTTTTGGAGGAGATCAAAGCAATATTCGAGGAAAACGTGGCCCAGGCATCTACTTACAATGCATCTGGGGATCGAAGTTTGTGGCCCCTTCTGAATTTTCGTCATGCTGCGTTGCAGAGGAACAAGAGGTGCTTGTTGGCCTATTTATATGAGAGGTGCAAGCGGATCAAGGCCCTACGCTGGGAATTTGGTCCTATTATACCAGCGGATATTAAGCAGTCGCTCTGCGAACCGGAGGTGACCTTTTTTAACAACTACTCAAAATCCCTGGCGGCCTACATGTGCAGTGCCGGCTACAACCAAGGGTTACCCATAGATCTCACCAACAATCTGCGTCCACCTAAGTCTCTCTATATAGAGGTGCGTTGCATGGAGGACTACGGAAAATTTGAGCTGGATGATGGCGAGGTGATCCATCTGAAGAAAAACAGCCAACATTATCTGCCTAGGGCTCAGGTGGAGTCGCTTGTTCGCCAGGGAATTCTGCACCACATAGCTTAGGAAAGTTAAATTATTAAATAACATTTATAATATATTTATAAGTTTATGTGTAAATAAAGTATGAATGTGGTAAAAATTAAATTTGAACCCCAAAAACCCCCCGTAAATCCGCCACTGATATAGCACATTTATTTTTTTAATATTTCTCAAAATTAAAATGAATAAAATTAAAATGAATGAAAATAAATAATAATAAACTTTTTGGTATTTAAATACCAATCATATTTCCACGATACGTTTTTTACCAGCTGGTATGCTCCGGTCACTTTATTTGCGCATCTTTTCAAATCGAACGGACAGACACAGACGCCGCGACTCAGGTTCTCATTGGAATTTCTGCAAAAAAATAGTTTTTCCAAGAATCCCTCTGTAAATAGTAGTTTAAATTCATCAAGTAAAGTTCAGTGAAAAGTGGAAAACTAGGATTTCCATTAAGCACACACACTCACACGGGCACGCATACAACTGCAAGCGCCTGGCGTCATTTTTTAGACTGTACGCGCTAAAACACTAATTAATTGATTTAATTGATCAAAATGGACATATCTGGTGGGAATACCTCGCGTCAGCCGCCAAAGAAGTCCAATCAAAATATTCAGGTTTATGTGCGCGTCAGGTGAGATGATATTTTTAACCAGACTTCAAAGGAATGTGATCCCTTACTGCGTTTTTACTTATTTCTTAGGCCGCTTAATTCCCGGGAACGATGCATCCGATCCGCTGAAGTTGTTGATGTGGTGGCTCCCAGGGAAATAGTCACCCGTCACACGCTGGACTCAAAGCTCACCAAGAAATTCACCTTCGATCGTAGTTTTGGCCCCGAGTCCAAGCAATGCGATGTCTACTCCGTTGTGGTGTCTCCGCTGATTGAAGAGGTCCTTAATGGCTATAACTGCACGGTTTTTGCCTATGGACAAACGGGCACTGGCAAAACCCACACGATGGTGGGAAATGAGTGCGCTGAGCTGAAATCATCCTGGGAAGATGTAAGTTATTCTGATTTACATTGGAAATAACATCTAATAAATTTTTGCTGCAAATCTTCGCAGCGTATTAACCGTGTAGTGGACCAATTTATTTTCTTACCACTACAAAAGCAAATTTTTAGCTAGGTTGTTATACTGTATAAAAACCTGTTTTTCTATTCCAAGAACTACTAATCTAACCCTTTTCATATTGTATTTCTGTTTAGGACTCTGACATCGGCATCATACCGCGAGCTCTGAGTCACCTTTTCGATGAGCTGCGCATGATGGAGGTCGAGTACACTATGCGCATCTCCTACTTGGAACTGTACAACGAGGAGCTGTGCGATCTGCTGTCTACCGATGATAACACAAAAATTCGCATTTTCGATGACAGCACCAAGAAGGGATCCGTAATTATCCAGGGTCTGGAGGAGATTCCTGTACACAGCAAGGATGATGTATACAAGTTGCTCGAAAAAGGAAAGGAGCGTCGCAAGACGGCCACTACTTTGATGAACGCCCAATCCTCCCGATCCCACACTGTATTCTCGATAGTGGTGCACATCAGGGAGAATGGCATTGAAGGAGAGGACATGCTGAAGATAGGAAAGCTTAATCTGGTGGATCTGGCAGGCAGTGAAAATGTTTCGAAGGCCGGAAACGAGAAGGGTATTCGTGTGCGGGAGACTGTTAACATTAATCAGAGTCTTTTGACTCTAGGAAGAGTGATTACCGCATTGGTTGACCGTGCTCCTCATGTTCCCTATCGCGAATCGAAGCTCACCAGGCTGTTGCAAGAGTCCCTGGGAGGCAGGACCAAGACATCCATTATAGCTACCATATCTCCGGGACACAAGGACATCGAAGAGACTCTCAGCACTTTAGAGTACGCCCATCGAGCCAAGAACATTCAAAATAAACCAGAGGTCAATCAAAAGCTGACCAAGAAGACGGTGCTCAAGGAGTACACCGAGGAGATCGACAAGCTGAAAAGGGATCTCATGGCTGCAAGGGACAAGAATGGCATCTACTTGGCCGAGGAAACCTATGGTGAAATGACCTTAAAATTAGACTCGCAGAATCGTGAGCTCAACGAAAAAATGCTACTGCTCAAGGCTTTGAAGGATGAACTCCAAAACAAGGAGAAGATTTTCAGCGAGGTGAGCATGAGTCTTGTGGAGAAAACTAAAGAGTTAAAAAAGACCGAGGAGAACCTTATGAACACCAAGGGTACATTGCTTTTGACTAAGAAAGTTTTGACCAAGACCAAGCGCCGTTACAAGGAGAAGAAGGAATTGGTGGCCTCGCATATGAAAACGGAGCAGGTGCTGACCACTCAGGCGCAGGAGATTTTGGCCGCCGCTGATTTGGCCGCAAATGACACAAATCAGCTGCATGGGACCATTGAGCGAAGGAGAGATGCAGACGAAAAGATTCGAAAGTCCTGCGATCAGTTCAAAGACCGCATGCAGGACAATTTAGAGATGATCGGTGGCAGCTTGAACTTGTATTTGGAACAACAGGCAGCCTCCAAGGAGCATCTTAGCCAGGAAATGGGTGAGATTACCTATTTACATTTATAATATTTAGGTGTAATTTAATATTTTTTGTTTGTTTTTAGTCAACTCCAGCAATGTTAGCCAACGCCTCTCAGCAAATGCCAGTCAGAGCATTGAAATGCTTAAGGAAATCTGTAGCAAGTCGGTGGAGGATTTGGCCGAACTCCAGAATAAGTTAATGGCGGAAGTCGTGAAGATTAGCGATCAGCACGCACAGAGCTTCGTTGCCCATATGATGAAGCAGTTGCAGCAGCGACAACTCCTAATGAACATGGAAATGTATAAGAACCTACAAGAGATGGAAGAAAACAACCAGAGGCACAAGGCCATGCTGGATTCCATGCAGGATAAGTTTTCCAAAATCATCGACAACAGTTCACAGACCCTGGAAAAGCATGTGAAGCAAGTGCATCAACAACTGGAACAACTCAGCGCAATGAGTTTACCGGATGCCGAGGAAGTGCAGCAGTTGCAAGAAGAGCTTGCAAACGAACGGGCTTTGGCCCAACAAGAGGAAACCCTTCTGGAGTCAATGATGATGCAGATGGAGCAGATCAAAAATTTACGTGCCAAGAACAACACTAGCATGTCTATTCGGCTCAACAAGATGGAGGCGAGCAGAAAGACCAGAAACGATCGGATCGATGATGCCAAGACTGGTATCCAAGAATACCAGAAATTGGGAGTCGAAGCTGCCAAATCCGCTTTAGCGGAACTCGGCAGTCAAATGGAGACGGGAATGCTTTGCTTGGACCAAGGCGTAGCGAACTGCTCCATGCTTAAAGTGCACATGATAAATCTTTACCAGGAGCTAACTAAGCAAACCGACGAAAATGTCAAATCGAGTCGCCTGCACCACCACCAGGTGGAATTCGCCTGCCAAGAAAGTAAAAATAACCTGGGGACTGTGCAAGAAGTTGGCCAAACTAAGCTGGACACGCTTGTGCAGGACCGGCACAAGCTGATCACCGAGGACAGGCAGCGCTTCCTTGGACACTCCACAGTAGCCACCGATCTTGTACAGGAGTTAAGCCGGCAAACCAACGAACATGCTGCCCTCCAGCGACAGCAGTTGCAGATTTGTGAGCAGGAACTTGTTCGCTTCCAGGAGAGCGAATTAAAAACATACGCGCCAACTGGTACAACGCCTTCCAAAAGGGACTTTATTTATCCACGCACTTTGGTGTCCACCTCTCCGCATCAGGATATTGTTAGGCGCTATCGCCAGGAGCAGGATTGGTCGGATCTGGACACCACAGCCACTATTGATGAAGTAACTATACCCAACACACTGAATAAGTAAATTTAAATTTAATATACTCGTTTCTTATTCTGTAGTGCAGCGAGGGAGAGCATGATGACTTGCTGCAATCTGTTCAGGAGCTGTCCGAAACGGAGACCATAATGAACTCCACGCCCATTGATCCTGTGGATGGCGTCAACATAAAGCGTGGTTGTGGCACCACTCGAAACTCCAATTCGAATGCTCTTAAGCCACCCGTAGTAAGTGGTGGCAAGCGCAGTAGCTCGTTGTCACGATCCCTTACGCCCAGCAAATCTTCACCGCGGAATTCTCCTTCCTTCGCCAGGGTAAGTCAATTGATCAACTGGTCCGCTAATGGCTAAACAAATAAACGTCTCGGATAATACAAATCATTGCTTTTATTTTACATTTATTTTAGCACAACAAAGAAAACGTGGCCTGATTGCATCGGTGACACTAGTACTCAACCCAGTAGCTCGTTTATGTTAGTGGAACTCCAATCGTCTTGTTTGTTTGGCTCTTCTGGATATTCTTTTTAATCTTTATATCAATCTTTTGGAATTTCGTACATTTATTATTTAAATAAACTTAGGATGCTATGTAAAGTTAACGAAACCTTGCGGCTTCGGTTCGAGTGCAGGTTCAAGATTTATTAAACTTGTATAAATATAGCAGAGCCCCTCGGGTAGAGGTTTTTTCTTCAATTTTAAAATGAATATTTAATAATTTATCAATTGCTTTGCTCATGCTCGTATCCTTGTATTAATAAGTAAAATTCACGAAACCTATTTCCTCTGTTAAGCTTACGAGCCTTTTAATCAAGGTCTTTATAAAATGTAGTGTTATTTCTTCTACTGCACATAATCTCACTGGTAAATTCGAATTTTGCTTTTAAAATTTTTAAGCATAGTTGTTAATCATATCATTAAGTTTCTAATGCACAATCCTTTTAAAAATGTAATGAAAAGTGTTTTATTTTTTAATAATCTAGCTATTTACTCTTAATCATCGTCCTGCTCGTCGTCATCATCTTTGAGAATGCCCAGACGACGAGCCACCTCCTTGACATTGGCAATAAACTCCTCCTGGACAAGGTTAAAGCTCATGGCCAACAGAGCTATGCCAAATAAAAGATACAGCGAACAATAGGCAATGGACTGCTCTGATTCATCTTTGACTCCTTTTGCGGGCACAAGGTCTCCAAATCCTGCGGAAGAAGGTTGATTTTAAACAAAGAAGCATAAAAGTTATCATCCACATTTACCAATTGTGGTCAGCGTAATGAAGCAGAAGTAGGCGGAGTCCAGGAAAGTCCAATCTTCCCAGTAGGTGAACAGTGCAGCTCCGCCGAGAATATAGCTAACCACCAGAAAGACGCATAACCAAATGGGCACGGGTCGATCCTTGGGCAGCAGATCCCCATAGTCGCCGTACTCATCTCCGTACATGGAATCATCATCATCGTAATCGTAGCTGGGACGCCGACGGATTTGACGCTGGACGGGGAATCCCATGGGTGACATAATCCTCGGCGATGGAGGCAATCTCTCCGCTCGTTCTCTTCGTCGATTTCTTCTTGGCTCTCTTGGCTCCCGACTCCTGGAGCGATGGCGTTCCGGTGGATAGTCCTCGTAGTTGTTGTCCCCGTAAAGGGATCCCTCGTCGAAGCTCTCTTCCACGTAATCCTCGTAGCGCCCTTGGGAGTGACCACGTCGATCCCGGCGGTGATCCCTTCCTGGCGGTGGGGCATCGTAGTCGGGTAGTTCCAAATGATTGCCATACCGTGAGGTTTGTCTTCCCAGACTCCCAGCTCTTCTGCCATTATTCTGGCGATGGGAATGGTGGGGTGGCGGTTGCGGGGATCTCTCCCTTTCCCGATCCCTTTGGCGCTGCCTCTGGTGGGCAGATCTCGGCATGGACTGGCTCCTTGGCGCCGGCTGTCTTCTGTTTCTACGGTCATCACCGCCGAAGTCGTCTAAAGCGTACTTATTCGGTATGATGGGCGTTTTCCTCACCACATCCTCATCTACATCTTCGTAGTGGGAGGAGACGTGCCTGGGATCCACGGATTTGGCCCTACTCCTGCCGGGAGCGGAGTGCAGACGATTCAGCTCCCTGGAAGCTTTCGAGTATTCCTGATTGTGGGAAGATCGAACTGAGCGCGTACTGGCGGCTCTCTTGGCCGGCGGCATATCGCTAAAGTCCTCGATGGAGCCGGCATCCAAATGGGATCGGGAGTAGCGCTCCCTTTCCACCGTGTGCCTGTCCCTCATCCGATCCCGCTGCCTCTGGCGACTGCTGTAGCGATTGGAGCGATTCAGGGTCTGTGTTTCGTACTCGTCCCCGTAAATGGTGTGTCGCTGGCGGGAATCGTGATACGGGTTATGTTGCTGTTGCTGGCGGCGACTGCGCCCACTGCTGCGATGCCCAAACTCCCGGTCGTCGTAACCACCTCTGCCCAAGTTGCGAAGCTCCGGATCGGAGTAGGCATGTCCCATGGAGGGACCGAATCCCGAGTCGTTTCCCGACCTTTGGGTCATCTTCATCGACCGTCGGAAAGAGGGAGGCGGTTGGGATCGAGCATGGCGCTGGGCTCTCATCGATCTCTGCCGGGATCTCGCATTTCTCGGACGCTTCGCCGTGCGGGTGCACACATAGCAGCAAATTCTCCAGTACAAAAACCTATGGGAAGTAGGTAACAATCAGTACTTAACACCTTTTAGGAATAATATGGTTTAATGGAATTTAGAAACTCATTTTAAAACTCATACTTTTCAGTACATCGATGTCAACTCACCGGAATGATGTGGCCATGACATCTCCAATGTTGGACAGGCAGATGAGCATCAGCGGAATGCCCACGATGGCGTAGAAAATCGTTGTCACCTTGCCCCAATCCGTGCGCGGTGATATATGGCCATAGCCTGTCCAGAATATGATGAAGAATATTAAATTGCTGCGACGCCGAAAGGTGAGTTTGATTTTTGAGTCATGCGCTCGAGCTTACCTTCAACCTTGTGACCGAAGAAGTTCTTGAAATGCTAATGAGTCTAAGACCCGCTAAGGTCTAATCTATCTGTACTTATTTTTGTACAAGCCAAGCCCATTATCGCTCCCAAAAAGAAACCGCAAGCAATTGCGAACATGGCATTTCAAGTCTGCCGCTTTTGGCCTTTACGGAAGTGTGCAAACTTTGGAGATAGCATTCTGCCTCCTCTACACAAAATTCTATCTGATGGGCGTCGGTCACTAAACCCATTTGTGTGTTGGCCATAAATCCATATCGGGGTATTGTGCAAACGGAAAACTAAGCTCCCATCATCAAAAGCTGAAGCTAATAAACTACTAGGAAAAATGTTTGACTTGCAAGTCGAAAGGTTATATTCCCTAGTAACTTTTAAAGAAATAAGTTATGAATTTAGTTATGAGAATATTTGTTAAATAACTTGTATTTAAGAAAAACAGTATAAATAATTTTGTTTAAAACTACAGTAATCGAGTTATCAAGAGGATCCCATCTACTTATTGCTTTGCAGGTTTTCTGGGTATCTCTTAAAAATTAAATAAAACCTTCAGTTCCAAACCTCTGCTCAGAATCAGCTAAGCCCCTACTAGTGTATTTATGAAATATCAAAAATTCCCATCGTTAAAATCTAAATCTAAAACGCCAGAAAAGATAATCACGATCGGTCAGTGGCGTTTGACCTTGCTGTTGTTTTGACCACAGACAATTGGCTGTTGGCAATTCGACTTTTGGTTTCATTTGACACGCTCCAAACACCCTCGCTCCCTTTCCGGCCCATCGCCACCCGAATGAACCCATTTTTAGAGGTCACTCACGTGCTATGTGCCCAGCTGACTGTGTCCAAAGCTGGATATCTGGCCCACGACAGCTGCCCTGCAAAGGGAGCATATAGTTCTGCGTATTTGCCAACTCATGGCGATTCCCAGGAAATTGGTTTTTAGGCCGATCAATGAGCAATTACCTAATGATCGATTCGCGTACGAGATTTATGCGATTTCAACGTGATCGCTAAGTGGACAAAGCCAATTGTCCGAATCGTCCGCTTGCCTCATTGGTTCCTGGGCGGATCACGCTCCTCGGCGGTCAGGTGAATCAACTGCACAAAACGTGGGCCCAAGATCTTGTGCGGCGTCTGCCACGATCGTCTGCCCTGCCATGTTTGAGTTGATTCATTGGCTGGCAGTCGCCGAATCCCCACCTGCGGCTGCCCTCGTCGCTTGACTGAGTTTGTGCGTCGTCATCGCCGCCGATGTCTCTGTGCTTTTTTTTTTTGTGACTCCGATTCTCGGGTGCGGTTATATAAGTAGCGTGCGCCGGTCGCATATCTGAACTATTCTGTTGCGGGAGCTTGCCGCGACCAAGCGAAAAAATACGGGTCAGTGTGTGAATCGAAGAAGTCGGACAAAGACAAAGTCAAACCGAAACCATCATGCGAAGCTATTGCCTCATCGTCACTGTGTGCCTCCTCGGATTTGTGGCTGCTAAGTCTGCGGATGGAGATCAAGATCAGTGGGTCTGGCGATCGTACAACCGCAGGGAACGCTCCTTCAGGGACATCGATCGCAGTTCCCCCATAAGGAATTCGTACGACCAGAAGCTGAGGAGGGAACCCACCACGAGGAGACCTCTTCCCGGGGAACCGGAGAACGATGAGATCGAGGATTACGCAGATGTGGATCCCACGAGGTCATCGGATACTCCCAACGTGGGCACTCGTCAATTCAATCCCTACGGTGGCCAACCTAATGCTGGGCAATTCGGAGGAGTTGGAGGCTATGGCGGAAATCCTGGAGTGCTAGTGGGACCCGGAGGACCCACTGGAATCATAGGAAGACCTCAGCTGTACCCCTCTCCTTATCAACCGGGCTACGGCGGATTCTCGGGAGCTCAGACTGGAATCGGAGGATATCCTGGCAGCTACGCTGGAGTTGGTCAAGGTCTCGCCGGCGCTGGATACCCTGGAGCAAACTTGGGAGGTGGCTTCACCGGCTACCCCTCCAACGGACTTGGCCTGAATCAGTTTCCCGGCAACGGACAGTACCCCTATGGATCCTATCCAGGCACTGATTTTAGTGGCAACCAGTTTGCAGGTGCAGGCGGTCAGTTCCCAGGACTGGGACAATACCCCACGAATCAGCAATTCGGAGGACCCCAGTACACCGAAGGTTATGGACTGGCTGGAGGTCTGGGGTTGGGTCAGTTGGGCGTTGGAAACACTGGCATTGGGTATGGTACCAATTTCCCTCCGCTAGGTGGCTTCGGCTATGATGAAAAATCTACGACTGCGGCCGAGGGTAAAAGCGCCAAGAGTGTGGCTGCACCCAGAAAAGTAAGCGATAAGCTCAGTAAGAAGATTTAAGTGAAAAATAACTCCTCTTTAATTTTTCTCACTGCATCTAAAAAGATCTGCAATCGAATTTATATATCCCTAAGGGTATTGTTCAGTAATCAAAAATCTCCTTCTAGCCTCAGTTGTAAATAGTCCCCTTATCCTAGACATAGTTTAGGCCTAGAGTTTAAGCTAATAAATTCCTATGTTTTCCAATTGTGGTCTTTGTTTTTCAATACCCCATTAGAATATAAGCTTATAAGATTTACTCACCAATCGTAGTGATAACTATAATTGAGTAGAACAAAGAGCCAGCAAATGTCCACTGGGACTTGCGCAGATCCTCGTCGCCATCCCAGCCATTTGTCTTGATGGCTGTTAGGATTTGCTTCTCAAAGTTGGCCAAATGCTTGCTGACATTGGCCATCCAGTCGCTGTCTCGTAGAACCGCGGCGTCGTCTGACAGAAGCCAGATATTCTCCGTGAGGTTGAATCGAAGATTCTGTACATCACGCTTTACCTGAACATTGATTTGTATAGTGATTAAAATATATTTTCCTTGGTAAGATCACCCACTCACCTCCAGTTCGTAGGGTCGCTCGAGGTGCTGGAATAGGTAGGCACCTCCCACGCAATAGGAAACCACGAGGAGCACAAGCAGCACATGGGACACAATGCAGGTGAGCACCTTCCACGAGAAGCAGATGGCGGCCACACAACGTCCACGTTCCGGCTTCGCTGGCTTCAGCATGTGCGCCGGCAGAGATTGGGCCCGCCTACCCGACATGGTCGCCCTCCTCTGCTCTCCTTCCGCTGGCTAATTTACCGCTCGGCTGGCTGTAAATTATGAAATGCCAAAGAAACTAAATAAAGGACAGCATCGAAATGGAAAGAGATCGAAGCGCTGAATACCCATTAAAAATGTTTGGGTGAAATGTATGTGGGAAAACATTGCTAATGGCATTTATGGTAATTATTTTTGTACTATATTTCGAGGGTATAAGTTCTCAGGAAGTCATAATCAGAACGCCAAAGATCCCTAATAGAAACACCTTCAGGGGAAGGCTGCCATAAAAATAAAACTAATGCCTTCAAATAAACACCCCTTTTTATCGAGTTCGAATTGTTTTCGTTGGTAATTTCTAAGGGAACAATTGCAGAGAAGCCGAAAGGTAAACCAAACAAAGCTCTCTAGCACACATGTTTATTTGTCCAAATATTTATTTATTTGGGTTGCTGGGGCAAGGCCGAAGAGTCGCGGGGACTTGGAGGAGGAAGCCACCGAAAGACTCCATGAGACTATTTTGGGCAACGCTGCCCGGCGGGGCATTCATCTCGTCGTCAATTCGGATGCCGCAGTCTCGTGCCACGCCTGTCGAGAACTCTTCTGGTTTTATTTTTGCTTATAGACGGGGACTACATAACATGTCCGAGCAATTATGAACTTCGATTTCGCTTGGGCAATTAGCACTGGTGATTTACGGGCTCGTGAGTTTCGGGAATGGGTATGGAAATACTGAAGATGGTGATTACCGATCGCAGATCGTTTTCTGATTCGCACTGGGGGATATTTTCAGTTTTCCAATTCAATTTCCATGCTGTGCCGCCCCCTTCGCCTTTCCGCCGACCCAATTCGATCCGCACAAAGAACCGACGCACCGATCCGTACGATCCACAAATTCTTACTGAGGCCCGCGGTTGCACAGATGGACTCTCCACGGATCTCTCGGGAAATCGGTTTATTTTTGGTCTTACGCGAAGTTCTCTTGTCTTCCGTGGATATATAGTTTTGGAAAAACTTGTGTTTTTCTCGCTTTTCTCTGGCTTTCCGGTTGTTTTGTTTTACTTCGCTCTCACTTGCATCTCAATTTGTGTTTTGTTTACGCCGCCCAATCAGCTGATACAGGTGGTCTCTCATTTAACTTGAGATTTCACTTGATATTCTCCGGATATCATTATTATTCTTTAATCTTTATTTGGAATAAATCGAAATTTGTTTTATATTATTTACAATTTTAAATTCGTTTATTTAATTTCAGTGATTATCTTTTAATTCATCGAATTTGGCTATCTTTATTATTAATGGTTTGTTTGTTTTCCTGCGCCTTATCTCTTTGCTTATCAAACATCGATTAGAGTGAGGTTAAACTTGGGTACTTGAGTTTCTAAACCTTTGTAACTTAAGATAAGAACTGCAACTGAGCTATTTTTAAATGTCTAGCAAGAAGTGAGAGATTTAGTCGACATTAAGTTGCCGGAAGGAGCCTTGTAGGCCAAAAAGATTCTCGAAATCGACGGGTTGACCCACTCGAAGTCGTTCATCGGTGCCGTAGTTCTTCTCCTCCTCCCAGTAATTTTTGTAGGCCAGAATGCGCTTCTCCCAATCCTTTATAAGCTCGGGGATTGAGCCATTTTCTCCTCCGTATTCCACAGGCAGATATTTCTTGGGAATTTGTTCAAAGAGCGCTTCCCATTTGCTTCCATGTACGTAGAGCTATTAATAAAGTTTTTAATAGATCATTTATTATTTATATTTCTAAAAAATAAATACTTACACGTCCTTGTTGCTTCTTTGACATCATGGGCTTGAACATATTAAAGATGGTCTCAAATCCATTGGGCGTGTTTATGAAGTGAATGCCCTGTGGTCGAAGGGGCAGTGCCTCCTCCTGAAACACGGTCATTTTCTTGGCAAAGCTTGGAGTCATCTGGAGGAAGTGGCCCGTGGTGACATTGGACAGGTCCAAAATGGAAATCAAACCGTTCACGATGGCATCATCATCCTCATCGAGCATGATCTGCTGCATGAGACCGCCAGCTCGGTTGACTTCCTGGAAGGTGTATTTACTCGGATCGTACGTGGCCATGCGAATTATGGCCAAACGTGGGCCATTATCGTTAAGAGGACGTGGCAGTAGAAGAACAGTGCTGCAGATAGAAACGAAGAATTATTGGGGAAGGGGCTTAAGTTTGATTTAATCAGCCAGTCTCACCCGAGCTTGAAGATTTCCAGTTCCTTCTCCACATCAACGTTGTGACCCAAGTAGAACTCGGGGTACTTGGTGCGAAGTGTGTAGAACCTGTCGATTTTCTCCTTGGTTCGCTCCAAACTGAATTTGCAGCCTCGCAGGAAGTTGACGAGGAACTGATCATCCGTGCGGGCCTTCAGATGGGGCTGCTGTTTGATCCAATTCCTCAGAGCGGCAATGTCATCATCTAGTTTTTCAGGCACCTCGTTCAGCTTTTCGATGGCTATTTTCTGGAGCTCGGGACTCAACGGACGAATGGACGGCATATCGAAGGGATTTCTTGGACGGTCGATGAGCGAATGACGATTTTTGCCCGGGCATTTGTGCAACTCAAGCTGATATCGATAAGCTATCGTCGAAAAATTGATAACCAATTGTTTAAGTATTCGCCAAGGGGAACAGAGCTTATCGAAAACTTTTATTGTGGGTTTATAGCCCAGATGAGTTTACAATTATTTTAACCGATTCAGTCGATAACCAACTGGCGAAAAGAGCCATCCAGACCAAAGTGGCTCTCTTCGGGGTTTAGATTTGTGGGTTCCTCGCGCAACTTGTCGTTGGTTCCGAAGTGCTGGCAGTCCTCAAAGTAATCTCGATAGCTTGAGAGCTTCGCCTCCATCGCAGTTGTAATATCCTTCATGGTTCCCTTGGTGCCGCCGTACTCCACTGGCAGATATTGCTTGGGAACTCGCTCGAAAATCGCCTCAGGATCGGAACTTACAGAGACCTAAGAAGATGGGAGTTACATAAAACTTAAGAATATAATGGTATCCTACCCTCTCTTTAATTTTTCCGGGAAACCATCCCAGCAGCGATTTGAAGCCCACCTCAAAAGCCTTTGGCACATTGATGAAATGTATTCCCTTCTGGCGCGTTGGCATTGCCTCATCCGCATAGGCAGAGAATTTGCTTAGAAGTTGAGGTTGCAGGGCAAACAGATTCGCCCCCGTCACCCCACTCATGTCCATGATTTCCAGGTATCCACTAACCGAAGCATTGTCGTCCTCCAGCATCATGATCTCACCGAACATGGAACCCACGCGAATGATGTCCTGAAACTTGAATTTGCTGAGGTCGTAAGAGCCAGCTCGAATGATTGTCACAGCTGGGCCAGTATCCTCCTTATCGAGGGGAATGCGTAAGATAACACTGCAGAAAAACATTTGAAAAATAGGGTTTATAAAAATAGGAGGGCTTTACCCCATTCGAATGATCTCCAGCACCTGCGGATCGTCAGCCAACCGATGTTCGTTAAAAACTTCAGGAATCACCGCTTGCAGGCTGTAAAACCGATCAATCTTCTGCTTGGCTTTCTCCAAACTGAACTTCGATCCCCTCAGAAAACTGAGCAGAAACTGATCCTCGAGACAGGCACAAATGTGAGGTTGCTTCTGGAGCCATTCCTTCAGCGTTGCTACATCCGATTCCACTCGACTGGGCACTTCGTTCAGCTCCTCGATGGCCACTTTTTGTAGAGCCGGTGGCAATGGGCGAATGGATTTGGAGGAATCACCACTCATGTTGGTAGCGCTATCAGCTGCAGACTAACCAAAATGTAGAACATTTCAATCCGCCAATGCAATTTCAACAGCTCAAATAATATTCAAAGCAACCAGCGATAAGATCCGACTAATCTGGCTGGTGATTAGCGAGGTATGGGAAAGTTTTAAAGTAGATCGGGTTGGAAAACATATGTGAGTGGCATTATAATTAAAGCTTCAAGACTTTTTAAAACAAAAGCAAAATTACTTAACTATTGAAATTTACGTTTATAAATTGCCTTAGCAATTCTTTGTTGAATGTATTTTCTTTCGAAGGCATCATACTGTTTTATATTTTCAGAACCATTTACCCACCTGTGGGTTAATGTTTAGTTTCTTTATCGTTAAGCACGCACAATCCCACAAATCGTTATAGATTGTGTATTGTTTTAGTTTAAAAACTTTATTCAAAGGAAAATAATCAATTAGGCTAGACATGAACTACTGAACTAGGGCTTATCGGCTAGATACCCGGATGAAGCTGCCACCGTAACTAACCTAGTCTCGGTTGCACTTGTCTCGAGATGTTGCATAAGAAACGAGTTTATAATGTACGGATAGGTGTAGTAGGGTCGCTATAAATACGCTGATCTGATGGGCTGCATCTGATGGTAACCTAGGAGAGGATTGCTATTGCTATTGCTATTGCACAGGAAGTGGAGAATCTTCGGATTGCCTGCTGGAGTATCTGTTTCTAGTAGAGGCCGGATGGCAGGTCCGTCACCTTGGACATGGAACCCTGGGTATGGGACCTGGTTCGCATGGTGGGACCCTGGGCCATTCCGGGGTTGCCGGGATTGCCGTAGCCGGAGTGGTCGTGCATCCGCATGGCCAGGTTGCTGGTGAAGTAGATCTGCTGGTTGCTGCGCGACTTCTCCCGTCCGATGGCCACATCGTTGAGGGCTTCGGGATGCGCCGAGGCGAAGGCCGCCTCCAGTCGCTCCACGTTCTTGGTGACCCTTCTGGCCTGCAGGGCGGCCGAGATGTCCGGTTTCGGGTACTTCTGCGGTGTGTTCATGCCGGTCATGAAGAAGACCCCGTTGAACTGCTGGGCCGGCGGAGTCGGCGGCGGTGGAGCCGGGGCCTTGGCCTTCACTGGCGGATGGTGGGGAATCACCACGGGCGCCGTGTCCTGCACACTTTTCCGCAGGGCCTGCATTGTGGGATCGTGCTCGTCGTGCCGCGCATTCATGATCACATCGAGCAACTCCCGATTTGTGCTGGCATTATAGGCCGTTGCCGTGGCATTGGCTTCCGGCATATCGGGCGTGGGAGATTCCATTTGATACGCGGCCGGCTGATCCGTCTCGGGAGCATCGTAGTCCACCTCGTCGAAGAAGCTCTGCATGGCGGCCAGTCGCTCGGCGGCGGCAGGATCTCCCGGCTGGTTCAGGACCAACATCCCGTAGTCGGAACCCTCCTGTTCGGAGCAGTCGGTGCGGGGCACCAGATGGGCCAGGGATCGGGACTTTCTCGGCGGTTGGGGTACAATGTTCACCGGGACGATCTCCTTCTCCGACTGCCGGTGGTGACGCGTCTTCGTCCTGGACACACTGCTCGCCTGGCTGCTGATCTGCTTCTCCGCCTCGCTCACAATGTTGTCCAGCTCCTCGATGACGTCCTCGATGGTCGCCGCATCATCCTCGTCCTCCTCCGCCAGCTTCCGCGATTGCTTCGCCTTGGAGGGCAGCACCAAGATGGGAACTGGACTCAAGGAGGCTCCCGTTTCCGAACTGCTGATGCCCTCGTCCTCGTGCTCCGAGCTGTGCTGCTTCTTTGCAGGTGGAGGAACCTGGCGGGGAAGGGCCACGGGTTGATGGGAGGCGGACTCCACCGGCTTGAATTTGGATTGCTGCTGAGTGCCCTGCAGGCGAAAAATCTCACGCTGGAGCTCCGCACAACGCTCCTGGAGGCGCCGTTCCATGGAGGTCAGCACCGCCTTCTCCTCGTGCAGGATCTGCACACGCCGCTCCAGGATCACCATTTGGCTGCGCACGCGCTCCGCGTCCCTGGCTTGGGTTATCATCTGGTCCACGTCGATGTGCAGCTCGTTGAAGCGCTTCACCTCGATCTTCAGGGCATCCAGCCAGGGCGACGAGGAGGAAATGGTGCGGGCAAGGGTGCTGACATCCAAGCCGGCTTGGAAGAGCTCCGCCTGGATGTACAGGCGCTGTTGGGTGCTCACAGCACTCTCAATGAAGGTGTTGAGGAATCTATTAGGGATAAAGGGAATTTAGTAACCTTTTCTAGAATATTTTTGTGTGGTTTATCTTACTTAACACCCGCACACTGCAGTTCCCCAGAACCTCCTCCGCTGTTCAGAATTCCCACCAGCAGGCGAAAGCGAACTGGCTCACTGCATCTCAATCGCAATGTGGACATCGCATCCGACACGGCTGTATGTCCTGCAGAAGCTATCTTCTGTCCACCACTGCCACCTCCGAAGGGCTGGCGATCGCAGGCGGAGGCGAGAAGTTGAAGAGCCAGGATTCTTGCCCGGATCCCCTGACCCGTTGCCGAGGAAGCCAGTGGCATGAGACCCACGGGCGTGTTTCCCAGACGGGCTATGGCATCCAGAGATCGCGAACAGCAGATGCTTATACATTGTCTGGTTGGCAAATGAGTACTTTATAAGTGGTCTTTGGAATGCGGAAACAGAAACTTACAGGCAAGACAGTTCATCTAGCAAGGCTCGACGTTGGTAACTCTGGGGATTCCTGGTCAAAGCCAAGGAACTACTCGCTCCTGGCATTGGGGGCGGTGCATTGCTGGCCTGGGCCATTTGAATGGCTCGCAGGACCTCCAACAGGTGGCTAATGCCATCCGCAGGGGTGCCCACAAACTCCTGGACAAAGCTGAAAGGAAAAAGGCGTCAGTTATACTTTACTTAGTAAACGAAGAGAATCGATTAGTTATTAGCTATAACCCGTTGAGAATTATAACTTATATTAGTGCTTAGCTATAACCCGTTGAGAATTATAACTTCTAGATCTTACCTGGGAAAAGACACCCGCAAATCAGCCCTTAATTTGGTGAGTAAATCTGTAATGGAGCCAAACTGGCGCAAAGACATCTCTCTATCATTTTCTGGCGGAGCAGGAATGGGAGATCTGTTGGTAAAATCAATAACTCATTATCAAGATATCTAAGTATCAGCTAATGACAACCCTTACTTGTACTCCGAGTGTTTGGCTGGCAGGGTGGCCGATCTGGAGGCCTCTTCTTTGGCACTCGGACCCGTGCTCACATCGTAAATGGATAGCTTTTTGGCCGAGCTACTCGCCTTGATGAACTTTCTCAGCGAGTGCACATAGTCCTCGGGATTGTAAACAGGTGGACGTTGGTTTTCCTGCGGCAATTAAAGTAGATTTGGTTAGTTACACTGGTAATATATTAGTGGTTTACCCACTCACCTTGCTGTAAACTGGTGCCTGTGGCCAACTCTGCTCGGAGCCGCCGATCTTGTAGGAGGCCAGGGATCCGTTGAGGCTGCTGGCTCCGCACTTGTTCGTCCCCGAGCTGTTGGATCCCCCCGCCTTGGGGGCGGCCACTTGACTGCTTTGACCCTGGGCGGCCAGCTCGCACACACTGGGAGCCATCTGGAGGTGGTCGCTTCCCGGGTGACGCGGCTCGAGGTGCTGGTGTCGCTGGAGTGTCGAGCTGTCGCTGCGTTAATTGGACGGGGGAAAACCAATCGGGTGGAGTCAATTAATGTACGTGCTTGACATGGGAGAACTTGAATTTGCATGCGGCTTAAAGACTATAAAAAAGACTCGGCCTGTTTGTTAGCTGGTAGTTAGGAGTTGGAGTAAGGAGTTGGGGTGTTTGGAGCTGGAGTTTGGGTCGCCACCACGTAACGCACCGGAAAAACAAGCCGTTAAGTTTATTGAGCATTTTGAGCGGCGGCTTATCGGCGTCCAATTGCTGGAGCTGAGGTCTGGTGTCTGGACAGGTGCTGCGGCCAGTATCCGCTGTCAACGACACGCAGATCGCAGATGGAGATGCAGATGGAGTTGGAGAGGAGGTGTCTCTTGGATATGTGGGCTGGAGGCCTGTTTCCTAGCAGCCAGCAAACCCAGCAACCGATCGAACGCGATGTTGATCTGTGACAGTCGCTGATTTGTTTTTCAATTTTTTGGCTTCAATGCGTAAATGAAAATTTGCATTTTAATGTGCTAGAAAAAGAGACACTTTCACTAGCCAGCCAGCCAGCGAGATGGATGGATGGATGGAAGAGGCACATCTTCATCGCTGTTTTGTGGCTGCAGTTGCCTCCCAAGATCCGAGTACCGTTAAGCCACAATGCGGGGTTAACGGTTCATATATATGGGTATATGGCTATGCAAATCGGACGGCGGGCATTGTGTTCGAGTGGTGGTTATGACGTGCCACTCAGGTGGGTTACCTCAGTCTCGGTATCAATCAGCCAATCAGTCACGTAGCTGCGATGCTCAGGCATTCGCCGGAGTGGGTCCGATTCGATTCTTTCGACCAGCGACGTGCGTGCCCCTCACGCAACTCGGGAGTGAACTCTCTGATTGACTGGGGGGCTGCCACTTGGGGCTGTGTGGTTCCCACACAGCAGCCCAGACAAAGAGCTCAAAGTGGCAGCACACACTTCGATCAATGTCAGCCACTGGCCGCAGACAGGAGAAACTCAAACAGCTCTGGCAGCTCGGCAAGCCGTGTTGAAAGATCACTCGAAACCAAAAACAAGGGGGCGGGGCTGCAGCTCTGGCATTTGCATAAATCAATTTGTGAGGCAGAAATTGAAAACTGCTCCACAAAACTGGAATTGATAAGCCGTGAAAATGGCCCCCCGGGCTAATGGCTCCAGCGAGTGCTCTCCATTAGCCGCAATAAATGCCAAGGCGCTTTTATTTTGACCAGAGATCGTCACGAGTAGTTTCGATTTGGATCAGGGTTGTTTGTAGGAAAGATTTTCATAAATAATAAAAAAAGGTAAAAAAAATTTTTAAGTTAAACCGTTTTATGTAAAACATGTACTAAATGTACTAAAAGCCTAAAAATAATATAAAATAGATACAGACGTGGGAAATTTAAACATATGCTTAGACTAGACTAAAATAAAACCGTGGGGCAAACAAACACTTAAATCAACGATTGTACACAATTGACTTGCCCCACGGTTTTATTTTAGTCTAGTCTAAGCATATGTTTAAATTTCCCACGTCTGTATCTATTTTATATTATTTTTAGGCTTTTAGTACATTTAGTACATGTTTTACATAAAACGGTTTAACTTAAAAATTTTTTTTTACCTTTTTTTTATTTTCTAGTTTTTAGTTTTTATTTCGCATTTTTATTTATATTTTTTTTTTACCATTTTGTTCCCACGAGTAATAGTCATTTAAACGGTCGACGCCCCCAGCGGTCCAATAATTTGTACATTTATCTTAAACATTGCAATGTATGTTTAACATAAAAACTTTTAAATTAAAAAGTTTTTTTTTAACAAATTTGATTAAGTTTTTATTAGTTTTTAATTCGCATTCTGTTTAATTCATTTAGTGCTTCATTATTGCATGGTTTCTTGCCCGTTAGTTTGTTGCAGTCCAACTTCTCTATACGTAGTCCCTGCAAAGATCTTACTCTACTAAGAGCCACGTAAGCTTGACCTTCTTCAAACAGTTTCGCACCTAAGTATACAACTGCGTGATCCACAGTGCTGCCCTGCATTTTATGTATTGTAGAAGCCCATGATAGTATTAAAGGCAACATTCTTCTCTCAGCCGTCCCGTTTATTGTCAGACTGATCTGAATTAATCTGATTCGTTTGACAGTGACAATGATACCAGGGGCGGACGCAGAAAAAAATTTTGGGGGGTCCGGTCGAAAAATTTTTTCGTTTGGGGGGGTCCGGTCAAAAAAATTTTTAGTTTATATGGTTGAAAGGCCGTGTGCTGTAAGGGAATTTGAAAAAGTCTGCGATTTTGGGGGGGGTCCGGACCCCCCAAACACCCCCCCTGCGTCCGCCCCTGAATGATACCCATGTTGATGGGATTGATAAAACCTAAGTTATCCGCCATTTTGCAGAGGCCGCCATCTTGAATTTTAATTTTATATAGTACAATGTATTCTACTTGTTGAGACCTTTCATTTGATACCCATATTGATGGGATTGATAGAACCTACGTTATCCGCCATTTTGCGGCCGCCATCTTGGATTTACAATGTTATTGACATTACTATATTGTATTGTCATCGGAACTGAAGGTGTGTACCAAATTTCAGATCAATCTGACAACAGGAAGGTACTTAAATTTCAATTTCTAATTTTGACCCTAGTGTGACCTAAATAAAACAGTTTAAAAAGGGGGAAACTAATATTGGTTTTGAGACTTATATAAAAGTGTTTCAGAGAGTTTATCCTCGTAAGGAAGTATTCGCTCTATATATCATTAAAGATTTAAGAGCCTCTTGGTTAAATGAATTCAAAGCCAACAATGGTGAAATAGTTTCATTGAAAGTAGTAAGAACTCGGGTGATTTTGTAATATGCATTTTTTTTATTATAGTCGGGGGTCGAAATCAGTTTAGAAGCACTCATCGATGGACGGCAACCATCCGCTGCAGTAGTGCCAGACGGCCCAGGCGGACCATCCCTGCTGGCTGAGGACCTTCTGGGCGCAACGGACCGAGTTGGTGATGTCGTCTGTCAACAGGGCGTTGCAGCTGAGACCACACTCGTTGTAGGAGAAGCGACCATCGGCCTGGCACCAGTAGAGATCGTTGATCTGGAAGATGCCGTAGTCGTTGGAGCCGTCGGAGTTGGCCGGACCAACCACCCAGGTGCGGTAGTCGCTCTCGTGCTGGGCGATGCAGGTCCACTTGTCCAGCTGGTCGCGGGGAACGCCCAGGTTGGCCATCTCGCGGGCCAGGGAGCAGCGGTCCAGGGTGCGGCCACCCAGGGCAGGAGCGGCGAAAGCCAGAGCCACCAGAACAATGAAAGCCTTCATGTCGATTTAGTTCAACGAAACTGTTTGGATTTCTGGACTGCGCCCTGGGTATTTATGGGATTCGGCTGCCCAACATTCCTGTTCCTATCAGCCCTTGAGTTCTGAAGTTTAGATTCTCAACACTTCACACGCAGATAGAAATATAATTAAAAACCACATGCTTTTTGAGATTTGAATAACTCATTGAGAAGCAAAACAACCAAAATAAAGCAAAGTATTTTATCAGCAGAACGGGTACATCAAAAGCTATAATCTCAAAAAATAAAAATAAACCTTATTGTGCAAAACTTAGACTTTAATTGATAAGTTATTTTTACTTGGTTAGTTGAGTTTAGTTTCATTCATGCGAAATCAACCAGATGTCGAACTAGCAGCTCTTAAGATTGAAGCACATAGCTGAACTAAATATTTTCAAGTTCATTTTTCAAAACAACTTTATCGAAAGGAAATCAGTTCAAAGAATACAAAATAACCATCCTGTGGCAAATGCTGCATAGTTTTAGGCTTTTTTGGGAACCCAAGTGAAGATCTGAGCTTTCGGCTGATAAGCCACTATCAACTGCCTTGAAAACCGAAGTGTTAATCATGTTTCGTCATCGTTCCGTTGGTTTGAGTTCATTGAATGTAGGAGAAAGGTGGAGACCTCGACGCGCCTTCGAGCTGATTAGCATAATTGCTGTTATATCAACAATGACGATGAGTTTGAATTGGCTTAGAAGGGGGCTCATTGTTGGTGCCAATGGGGCCCATTCCGTTCGAGTTCGAGTAGCCGAAAAAGGTAGAGCTGTGGAACCGCCCAAGTGGTAATCCAGATGATTAATCACACTTTCGGGCCGGCCATAAACCAGACCACAACCGGGGGCTAATAGCTGCAGTCAAGTGGAGCTGTTTCGCCATTAAACCTGCGACTCCACTCCACGCCAATCCACTTCACTTCACTCCATAGCGCTCAATACCACTTCAAAGTCGGACATTAAACTTGGGGCTGTGCAAAAGATGGGAATTCGTCTGGGCGAAAGAAAGAGCTTCGTATCGCTGTATTGCTGTATTGCAATTTCCAGACTCGAATACCTCGAATGCCGCACAATGAATAACGTTGAATAATTAGCCCCCACATGCAACCCCACCCGAGTTGCGTGAGCAGGGACCCACCGAGAAATGGCCAAGACAATGCCTACTATATTAGAGGTAAATATTTCGAATGCCTAATGGAAGACAGCTAACTCTTGTCGAATGGATCTCTTACGCACCGAGCTGAGATACGATTTTATTCCGATTTATTTGATGCGTAGATTGTCTGTCGAGTCGAGTGTGAAGAAACTGCCATATCTGGACACAAGAGCTTCCGTATTTTCAAAGTACTTGAAGTAACTTTGTTTCAGATTATCTATATATTATTATCTATATGATTTCTATACTCCACTTTATGCGTAATAAAAGAACAGAGTTGTAAACAAAGAAGATCGAGCTGAATAGCAAAGCATTCAATTTGATAAGATAAGATAAAATCTTAAAAGAAATGAAAGACTGTTAGCTACCCTATCTCCATAACTTTTTATATAAAAATTGAAAAGAACTGATTGATAAGTAAACATTCGGCAAAGAAACAGTTTATGGAACATTTAGTTTTATGGTAGAATAGATTGAACTACCGAAGTTCCTTCAGAATGCTGCCTTATTTGCCATCTCTAATGAGAGGTAAATAGTACTGATTGCTTTTGCTGAGTAATTAGTTCCACAATGTTGACTCAACTGCGACGACCTGAGTGCTCTTCTTGCTTATAAATATTTCGCGACTGCAGTTCGAATAAGCAGTGAATATTTGTATTCCGTTGCCGGTAAAATGAAAACTTTCATTGTGATTTGTGTCCTGTTTCTGGCAGCAGTTTCCACTGAAGCCAAAACGATGGACAGATGTTCCCTGGCTCGGGAGATGGCCAATCTGGGGGTTCCCCGGGATCAGTTGGCCAAGTGGACCTGCATTGCCCAGCACGAGAGTGAATACATTACTTCGGCTGTGGGAAAGCCCAACTCGAATGGATCCAAGGACTACGGAATCTTCCAGATCAACAACAAGTACTGGTGCCAGCCTGCTGAAGGTGGCTTTTCCTACAATGAATGTGGTGTGAGTTGCAACTCCCTCTTGACCGATGATATAACGACATCCGTGAGATGTGCCCAGAAGGTCCTGCGACAGCAAGGATGGACCGCCTGGTCCACCTGGAAGTATTGCAGTGGATCACTGCCCTCAATCAACAGCTGCTTCTAAAACAAACAGCTTCACAGAAGTTCTCTACAAATGCAAACAAATAATCTTACCCTAAAAAATAAAACACCCCCAAATTTTAATGCTATACATTTTTCTAATTATTTATCTCTCATTAAATTTTCTTTCGAATTATATACACCTTTTCCTCAAGTGTAACTGCCTCTCGATCTGTTGGCAATTGCAAAACTGTCTCCAATGGAAATGGGAGAGCCTTTTTGGCTGAAAAAGTGAAATTTATATAATGGCCCACACATAACAGAGTCATTATGACAGTTGGCCCGGCCAAAGCGACTGGAATCTATTAGACATTACTGCCCGCAAAGCGGAGCTTCAGTTTTCTGTTTTCTTGTTGGCCGGCAAGATGGCAAACGGCTGGTAAACAAGTTAATTTAATTTCCAGGCATAAAACAAATTACGTATGAAAAGTCGCCGTTATCGTGGCGTTTATCATGGCAGGTATGTATCTCGATGGAAAACTCTTAATGCCTCGCAAGTGCCAACGGACTTCGGAGCGATTGGAAACAATTTCGATTCAATTACATCTATGGCAGACCGACCACAAAGCAATGGAGCAGAGAGACATGATGTAGGTCTTTGGGATTGCCATTTGCGGCTAATCGCTGGAGATCAACTTTGCCATTTGGAGTTCGTTTAGGCCTCGCCAGATGGCAAAGACCAGTACGAGTCGGCCTAAAGCCTAATGTATTAATTTGTAGCGCTATTCTCAAGGGTGTCGGTTGAGCGACATTCCTTGGATTGGATACACCATGGTTTTTCTTACTGCCCCCCCTCAACTATTCTACTGTCCAGACTTTCTCAATCCCGGCGAGTTCTCTACAAAACACCATTTCGGACAGCTCATAAATTAAAAAGATTCCAGGGAAATGGGAAAAGTTTCTCCTAGCGTGCTGAGCCGACACCTTGCCAAATTGTTACACAAGCTGGCAAAATACACACGAGACGATCTGGCCAGCTGACACCCAGTTTGGCCGAGATACCACATAGAAATAAGCCCGCTGTTTGGGATCGGATGTGGGTTTGCATTTGTGTGGCACTCGCTGACGATGATGCCAGAGATTAAGTCACCGCTGACAGGCCGACATGCAAAAGTTCTCATGGCAGTTCCATTTCTTTTGGCCATTTGCATTCGTGTGGCTGCTGCTGCCACTGCCATTTGTCCGTGGCTGAAATTTACCCACACTCACTGGCAGATAAAACTATTAGGAGAATTTAGCAACCGACAAAGCCGGAGAGAAATGTGGCCACTTTTCAGCTGCCAGAGATCTATCCAATGCGATTCCCGGAGATTTCCCAAAGCTGTCAGCTCCCTTGAGCTACGATTCGCGATTCGCGATCGCATCGCCCATCTCCGACTTTTGTCATCTTTTTGATTGTCGACTGAATAGTGCACTCAGAAAAATATACTACTCTACCAAAATTGAGCATAATATAAAAAACTGAATTATTATAAACTGAATAAGATCAACAAAAATATAATTTTAACAGATATTAAATTAAATTGATATGTGAAGGATAGGCAGGCTTATTTATTTTTCTTTGAAAATGAATTAGATTTCTTATATATATTTTATTTATTTTGGATTAAATTTTTCTGAGTGCCTTAAAGACTGTCATGCTTGACGGCGCTGCGCTTGACTCCAAATTAAAATGGGTTTCTTCTGTGGGTTGTTTTTGGGAAAAGATTTTCCAACGCTCATTATAGTTTTCACTGGGACTTGTTGGCCGCAGATTGCAAGGCGCCGGCCCGCCCGAGGTTATGTATCAGCTGCCCCAGCTGTCAAATAATATAATTAGGGTTTATGTTGTTGAAACTATATCGCGGCGGGGTCTGAAAAGTCTCTGGAGCTTGCCATTTGACACAGTTGCGTTTTGGGGCTGTCAGAGGGAAATGCTTATAATTTGTGAGCCGCGCTTGTGAGAGGTAATTGATGCCGAAAGTAGCTCAAATGGCCAACCAGACAACTGGTGTCACTCTGGGTTTTACGTCGCAGTTGGTTTGCCATTGACAATGGAGAATGAAGATCATGTTAAGTTAACCGGGCGGAAAAATAGTAATGCGATCATTTCGGGACTCGGATTGTGCAAGTTCAGCCAGGGCCTGCGCATCCACAGAAGACTTACCATCACATGTCTGGTAATCAGATCCTGTCCGGCTTTCTCGCAGAACATTCCAGATCACTCAACCGATCCCCGGTGATATTCTGCACACACTGTTGACTCCGCTAAACGGGGAACCCAACTGCGACGATCAGACTTTGACTTCCCCAGCTCAGCCATTTTTTTCACATTTTTTTTTTGGGAGCCTCGAGGAACGCGTGCGCTGATAAAAGTAAACCCCCGTCGGTTTTAGAGATATCCGCTATCGGGCTAAGCGATTTGTACAATTTGTGGCATCGGTTCCGTGGCCATATTCCAAGTGGAAAATTGTCTGAAGATATGTATGCTCGAGGAGCACCATTGATAATTTAATTACGCTCGGCTATCTTAATGAAGATCGCATGAATTGCTAAAACCATGGGGTTCGGACTACCTATTTCCAGATTTCCGACTTTCATCAATCAGTGAAAATCTTACAGATATTGAGGGGGTTTTTTCGAGGGGAATCGTTTGTTATTTGTTTTTAGTCCTGAATACATACAAACTACATAAATTGTTCCTAAAATTCGTTAATAATATTAAAGAAGCTTGAACCTATAATCTATCTATTTAAGTCTTTGTTTGAAATTCATACTTTGTAAGTCTTCTCCTACTTTGAAGCTTGTCTTTTCTACGAATCAGCAGAATAATAATTTTGTGCGCCAAATGAGCTTCACACTTCCTTAAAGTATTCATTAAAAACTTAATACCCTGCACATTTTCGTGACTTTGTTTTCGAGTAACCTGTTTCCCAAGCAGCGCTTCTCCCGAATCCCGATTCTTTCTGTCATCCGCTGCTCCTCAACCAATTAGAGAGGCCACAAACCGAGTGAAGACCCTGTGTACTCCTATGTACTTTGTGGTAAGGCGGTTCCAACGTTGTGTGGTTGGTTATCTGTGGACCATCATAACTTAACGCTAGAGTGACTTCGAGCAATTGTTTTTAGCCTGACCCACGCAATGTCGCTCCAGAGGGCGGCGAACCTCAACCTCGGGGCAATTACTTATGCATTTCCAGGCCGACTTGTGCTAATGTGCTCAGATTATAGGAAGCACTTGGGGCAGGCACTTTTACCAGTCCTCTTCTGGCAGATATTCCCCCTTTCCCCCGTTGGCCAGGAATGGTACGAGTATAATTTTCCGGTCTTTGGTTTCCTGCTTTGTTTTAGCCTGCTCCTCGTTCCCCTTTCCATTTCCTCGCTCCTCAGACGATCAATCCCACAGTGCTCAGCAGAGGGTCTTTGTCTATGCGTTTCCACTTCCTTTTGGTCGGGCTCTGGGTGCCCGTTCCCGTTCTAAGATGTTAAGATGTTGCCCCGCCGAAGTACGAAGTACGTTTATCACCCGACTGAGAGACGGCTACTTGTATAATTTATTGCCCACTGCGCGCCGTCCGCATTAAGAATTCATTGACCGGTTCAACTCAAAGTCATCGGCCTGTGGCGAGTGGAAGGGAAGCTGCCGCTTTTTCCTCGATTTTCTCCCATTTAGAAAGTGTGTGGAGAAAGAAAATTACCCAAGAGTCTCTCAAGCCAATGGAAAGGCTCAGAACTGTGAGCTTTGATATCGAGACAAAGAACTTTCGGATTACTCCCATTGAGTTAAGCCCAACCAACATGGCTCATAATGACCAAATATATCACAGACCTAACAAACAAATTCTTAGAAAAGGGGTAAATCTTCTGGTTAAATCGATAGTTTATTGACCGTTAAAAGGGAATTAAGATGAGCTTAGAAGCAGTCGTCGATGGACGGCAACCATCCGCTGCAGTAGTGCCAGGTGGACCAGGCGGACCATCCCTGCTGGCCAAGGATCTTCTGGGCACAACGAACCGAGTTGGTAATATCATCTGTCAACAGGGCATTGCAGCTCAGGCCACACTCGTTGTAGGAGAAGCGACCGCTGGGAGGAGCACACCAGTAGTAGTTGTTGATCTGGAAGATTCCGTAGTCGTTGGATCCGTTGTAGTTCTCGGGACCCACCACTCCAGTACGGTATGAGCTCTCGTGTTCAGCAATACAAGCCCATCGGGCCAACTGGTCGCGGGGAACTCCCAGGTTGGACATCTCGCGGGCCAGGGAGCAGCGGTCCATGGTGCGACCAAGAGCAGGAGCGGCCAAAGCCAGGGCAACCAAAATGATGAAAGCCTTCATATTTGCCAAGGTTAAAAAAACTGATGAGGAATGGTCCTCGTTCTGAGCTTTTATACCAAAAGTCTGCTGTGATAATGGAATTATCTGGCACATGTAGACTGATATGGTGGTTTACCTATTTTCAATAAGGGTCTAGTCCTGATAAAATCAGCAGACGGGGTGGTGCGCAGAATTACTTCATTTTCAAAGTAAATAAACAAAGTGGTACACAAGAACGGCACGCGTAGAATTTCTGGGGGATTTTTTCATTAGATATTCATCGTTAAATTTGAGGGATTTTTTTAAGATTAGAGGACCTACTTTTTCTATAAAAGCGCAGGAAAATTTAGAATTGGACATCAGTTTTTCGAAATTGCAAACATGAAGGCTTTCTTCGTTCTTTTTGCTCTGGCTTTGGCCGCTCCTGCTTTCGGTCGCACCATGGACCGATGCTCCTTGGCTCGTGAGATGTCCAACCTGGGCGTTCCCCGTGACCAATTGGCTCGTTGGGCCTGCATTGCCGAGCACGAGAGCTCCTACCGCACCGGAGTGGTGGGTCCCGAGAACTACAACGGATCCAACGACTACGGCATCTTCCAGATCAACAACTACTACTGGTGTGCTCCTCCCAGCGGTCGCTTCTCCTACAACGAGTGTGGCCTGAGCTGCAATGCTCTGTTGACCGATGACATCACCAACTCGGTTCGTTGCGCCCAGAAGATCCTTGGCCAGCAGGGATGGTCCGCCTGGTCCACCTGGCACTACTGCAGCGGATGGTTGCCGTCCATCGATGACTGCTTCTAAGCTGTAGTTCCTGATTCGTAATAAAAATGATTTGAGCAAGAATTGCTGTTTCGAAGTTTTGATTTCACTTTCGCTCTCTCGAAAATCAAATTACACCCCGATGGCGATGAGATTCCAATTGGTAAATAATTGCAAAACGTGTGCTCAGCATTTGCTTCGTGGAGGCCTTAGGCTCTTTGTCATTTCTATAATCAATACGTTGTTTTTTAAGTTGTGTACTTGTCTTTTTAAGTAAACGAGACGGAAGTTTGTCTTGAAGCCTTTTTGTCTCTTAATTTGAAATTATCATTGTTGCGTTCTGCGCTCAAGAGACACCAGTTTTACTGGTTTGGCTTTCTGTTTGAGACAAGTCCGAGCTCAGTGGAGTCATAATGAATAAGCCTAGGTGGGGTTATTATTTGACTTTGACCCGCTGGCAGGCGACGCTTCAAGTTTACTTTCTACTGGAAAAAACGTTGCAAAAAGCGACTAGCTTATTTTATGGTCTTTGTTTGTTTTGAAAATGTTTCTTTTTGGCGCATATATTTATGGCACTTTTGCCACAGTGACACTTTCAAATTGATTAGCGAATTCCAATAAAATTCTATTTACAAACTTAGAAAGTGGTCAGATCACGCAAAACTTAGGATAGAGTCATTAATCTCGGAGATCGCATTTGTAGCTCTTGAAGTTTTGGAAAAGAAATATAGAGGGACTCGTATATGGTTTGTCTTTTTGGGAACGAAAAGAGTTATAAATAGTTAAAAGGGTATTAAAATTAATTAAATGAACGTGTAAACTTTCTAAGGTGTGTTGGAGTGCTAAAACTATCTTCCATTTAAAGCTTTTAAAGAAGAAATGTGTTAGGTGATTTGGGTTTTTCAATTATTTTTATTTGTGTTTAAAGTCAGCTTAGAAGCAGTCATCAATGGACGGCAACCATCCGCTGCAGTAGTGCCAGGTGGACCAGGCGGACCATCCCTGCTGTCCAAGGATCTTCTGGGCACAACGAACCGAGTTGGTGATGTCATCGGTCAACAGAGCATTGCAGCTGAGTCCACACTCGTTGTAGGAGAACCGTCCACTCGGAGGAGCACACCAGTAGTAGTTGTTGATCTGGAAGATGCCGTAGTCGTTGGATCCATTGTAGTTCTCGGGACCCACCACTCCGGTGCGGTAGGAGCTCTCGTGCTCGGCGATGCAGGCCCACTTGTTCAGCTGGTCGCGGGGAACGCCCAGGTTGGACATCTCGCGGGCCAGGGAGCACCGGTCCATGGTGCGACCCAAAGCAGGAGCGGCCAAAGCCAGAGCAAAAAGAACGAAGAATGCCTTCATTTTGAATACCAAAGCAAACTGATGATGAGGTCCTCGCAATGGGCGCTTTTATAGGAAACCCTATCTATGGAGGCAAGGAAACCCTCGAGTGGCAATAAGGCGATAAGCATATTGAGGCTGTCAGTGGCTTGTGATTGTGATGAAAACCTGGCGATAAGCAAGGGGTTTTGCATTGCCAAAAAAGCAGTTTTATCGCTCATCCTTATCAGCAAGGTTTGTTTACAAATTGCGCTGACGTCGGCCATTTTATCGGTGGCGATTGTAATTGCCTTAAGTGGAGCAGAAAACTGATTAACGGGGAAGAACAGCTATGGCGGCTTCTTGTCTTATCTTTCGAGATTCTTGGCCATTATCCTAACAGTTCGCCACTCAAAGTTCGGCTGACAATTAGCGATGGCCGGTATGGAAATGAGGTTTAATTGGCCCGGGTCGATTGTAGGCTCCGAAGGCAAAAAGTTCCAAACCAAAGAACCAAACTCATGCATATGCAATCAGGTCTGGTCGTCAGAAAATTCTCGTTGGCCAGAACTGTTAGCTGACACACTTTTGGGAAGAAGAAAAGCCATTAGCTATTCAACGGCGTCTCGATAAATCAGCAAAAAGTAAAAGTGATAAGCATTCTTCCCCGACAAAAGAATCGACAACTCATCGACGTGAGCGCTCCACTCAGTCTCAAATTAGCATTAATTTATGAATTCATCTATAATTCATGGGGACTCTAAGAAGGTCACGCTGCGATGCTCCAAGCTTTGGAGCTCTTAAGGCCTGAAACTATTTTGTTCAAGAGATCCACGAACACCACAGTAGCCTTTTGTCATTTGTCTTTGCTGTTAGCCACACGCGAAAGGTTAACAACTTTCTTGGCATTGCAGAAATCTGTGGAAATCTGTGCCCGCTCCCCAGGCGACTAACTGACTAACTGACTGACTGACGGGTTGACGAGTTTTAGGCCCACTTGTAACCCCAGGAAAACCGCTAGCGATGCCCCTCCTCCGAGATGCGAATGGGGTTAATGTAACAGCTCCGTAGTTTGCATACTTGTGGTTAGTCGCAGTTTGAGTCGGAGTTGTGTCTTCACCACTCAAGTACCGACTTGCCTCCATCCATCCATCCATCCATCCATCCATCTATCCATTCGTCGAGAAAGCAATGTGCAGTGGAGTCGAGTTGTGACTGCCGCTGATGATGTGTGGTAGCCTTGGGGTCTTAAAGACTTGGTGGTTTTACGATCGAACGCACGCCCGTTACAAGTCATAAAGCAGCCCGCACCAAATAGAGTTCTTTGGGCTGAGGCCTCCTAAACTCTCCATCCAGATTCAACATACAACTCACTTAAGTGCAGCCAAGTAGAGCTGAATGTCGGCCTGAGTAGCCCGTACCTTCTGCCCACTGAACTCGGGTAATTGCCCACTCCAAAAGGTAGCGGAGATGCTAACAAGGTTAATGGCTTGCCGGAGCCAACGTTTAGGCTAAAAAATTAATACAACTTGCTCTAAAAACCTGAGGGTCTGCTGGAGATGCGGCTAATCTTGAGAAAAAAGCATGCTTTGCTTAAATATTTCTCAAGGAGCGGCTTGAGACCATTTAGTAGTAGCTGATAAGCCCTTAGATTGATGAGCTTCGGTCTGACCATATTTAAAGCAGAGTTATTAATTGTCTCGTGCGCACTTGCGATAAAGAAAGTTGCCAGCGGCCTTAAGAGGCGTACTCGAGATAGCAACACTGTGAAGATCTAGTTGAGATAGTGGCGCCCTATAAAATCACTGCCCACTCCTTCTTCCGACATCAGTTTCAATTGGAATCATGAAGGTCTTCATCGTTTTGGTTGCCCTGGCCTTTGCCGCTCCCGCCCTCGGTCGCACCATGGACCGGTGCTCCCTGGCCCGCGAGATGTCCAACCTGGGCGTTCCCCGCGACCAGCTGAACAAGTGGGCCTGCATCGCCGAGCACGAGAGCTCCTACCGCACCGGAGTGGTGGGTCCCGAGAACTACAACGGCTCCAACGACTACGGCATCTTCCAGATCAACGACTACTACTGGTGCGCTCCTCCCAGCGGTCGCTTCTCCTACAACGAGTGTGGCCTCAGCTGCAATGCCCTGTTGACCGACGACATCACCCACTCCGTTCGCTGTGCCCAGAAGGTCCTCAGCCAGCAGGGATGGTCCGCCTGGTCCACCTGGCACTACTGCAGCGGATGGTTGCCGTCCATCGATGACTGCTTCTAAGCTGACTTTGATCCTGAATAAAACGATTGCACATACCCCCAGTTCTTGCTTTTTTCAATTTAGGAATACTTTTATTCCCCATTTAAAGAGTCATTTATTGATACCGAAATTTAAGTGCTTTACATTGAGCATAGCCTTTAAAACAAACCATTGACAAAACCCCAAACCTTTTTTAATGTCTAAGACAATTTACTGTCGAGCCATTAAACCAGGCATTAAAAATCGTTCGACTGATAGGTTTTCTTAAAAAAAGTACCTCAAAAGCTATTCTTCAATTACCTTTAATTAGATTTCACTTTTAAAGTCTACAACTTTTATGGCCTGAGTGTTTAATTGCCCCTTATTTAACACAAAGACTTTCCAATCTACTGACCAGAATAAGCGCACCTAATTTGCATTCCCTCTTATCTCAGTGATAAAACCATAAATATTTGTGCAGAGCTAGAAACTTTAGCACAAGCAACGTATATAAAATATATACTATATATTTTCTCCAATAGAAAGTAAACTTAATGCTTCGCCTGACGGACAGCTAAAAAATGACAGCGGGTCAAAGCCAAATAATATGCAGACGCAGACAAATTCATTATAATTCCAATCAGCTTCGACTTGAGGCCCGAACCAGTCAAACTGGTGGCTCAATGACTCTAAATTTAAATATGCGAAAAAAACTACAAGCAAATAATGCAAACTTCCGTCTCCGACGCGAGAGAACTTAAAAATCTGTGAGCAAAATAATGTCATAACGATTATACAAATTTAGAGCCTAGGGCCTCCGCGGAATCGAGCTCACGATAGGCGATTATTAAACGAATTCGAATTTTATTGCCTTGGGGTACAATTGTGGCTCGGGAGATATCAAAATTGGGAGAAAGCTGCTCAAAACAAAGGAATTAAGCTCTTAAATTGTTTTTATAGCGAATCAGCGAAACGAACTCTAAACTGTTTAGGTTCCCGGTATTACTAACAAAGCAGTCAATTAGAGTTGTGCTACAAAACCCTGATCACTTTTGATACGGTTGGTTTGACAAACCTTGTAATAAATGTGATCAGTTTTTAAAAAGTATTTTAAAATACTCAACAGATTGAGTTACCCTTAATTGGATAAATCCTTAGTGTCTAATAAAGAGAGGATAGGGTTTCATGCAATCATTTTATTCAGGATCAAAGTCAACTTAGAAGCAGTCATCGATGGACGGCAACCATCCGCTGCAGTAGTGCCAGGTGGACCAGGCGGACCATCCCTGCTGGCTGAGGACCTTCTGGGCACAGCGAACGGAGTGGGTGATGTCGTCGGTCAACAGGGCGTTGCAGCTGAGTCCGCACTCGTTGTAGGAGAAGCGACCGCTGGGAGGAGCGCACCAGTAGTAGTCGTTGATCTGGAAGATGCCGTAGTCGTTGGATCCGTTGTAGTTCTCGGGACCCACCACTCCGGTGCGGTAGGAGCTCTCGTGCTCGGCGATGCAGGCCCACTTGTTCAGCTGGTCGCGGGGAACGCCCAGGTTGGACATCTCGCGGGCCAGGGAGCACCGGTCCATGGTGCGACCGAGGGCGGGAGCGGCAAGAGCCAGGGCAACCAAAACGATGAAGGCTTTCATGGTGAAACTGATGTGGGATTGAGGACAGCAGGCGCTTTTATAGCCGGAAAATTATCTAGCCGAGGGGTTATCTCGAGTATTTCATTTGATGGGCAACTAATCTGGACGTGTCTAAAAAAAAATCGCCTAAAATCAGACCATTCTGATATCGCCATTGATAATTTGCCTGGAGTATCTCGATAATATGAATGAGGCGTTACGGAAACTCGACGGTGGATCCCCTCGCAGGTGGCTTGATGTCGCAGTTTCAAGTCCACCTGCTCCGAATGGATGCAAATCGGATGGCTGCCTTTGCTGCCTTTGCGATGTGGAGGATTTTGTTTGTCTGGCCAATTGGCCTATGATCTCAATTGTGGCCTCTTTGCTGCTCGGCAGCTCCGTGGCCCATTGGCACCAATTAGCCGGGGCTGTCTAACAAAAGGCCCAGAGCTCAGGGCCCCCGGTCCATTCCAAATCCAATTCCGATTGTTGCCCCAGTGCGGTTACCCAACAATCCAACAATTGCTTCATTTGTCAGGGCCCGTCAAGGTGTCCAACATCTGTTGATGGCCCGGCTAATGTGGCTTTTATGCAGTTTTCGAAAAGAAGGAAGACCAAAGACTACAAACTGAAGCCAACGAACATGTGATGGCGCGAAAAAGAATGTCTGTGCCGACCGCATAAATCGCGTGAAGAAAGAAATTTCTTTTTTGGCTAAAGCCGAAAGTAAGTTGGCCACTCGCTGGTTGCGTGTAAGCCACCTACTCCCTCGGCCACGCCCCCCTAGACTCTAGACCGTGGCCAATGCATAAGCTGTTTAACAATTGTTAAATCAGACCGGAACAGATTTTTCTGTACTTCGGCATACACTCGCTTTTTTATTTGTGTTTCTGTTTCTGTTTTTTCTTTTTTCTATTTTTTTTTATTTGGGGCCTTTGCCTGTCTTTTTTATGACTGTTATTTATTTATTTACAATCTCCTCGTTGCCCCCCTCTTGGTTGCCCCCTTGTGGCCCCTTCTTTCATCTGGACAAAGTGGCATTGTTACTTGGATTGGGGCTGCGGCGAAGGCTTTGGAGTCTCGTGCCGCTGCCAATTCAATTTTCACTTCAATTTTCCGTGAGTACAGTTAAATGTAATTTGTTTTCATCTCTCACAACGCACACGCACCGCACTTAACGACTTTTTACACACAGTTCTTTTCTTCTTCGGGGTTCTCTTCTCGGAACTCTCGAGCGTGGCTTTCCAGTTTGCTGGTGTGGGCGTCACAGTTCAATGTCAGAGCTGCCCACACTGGGATTTACATATCTAGATTTGGGTAGCAGTATACTCGTAGTACATATAAAAGAAAGTCGACGGGAGCCATTAGCATATGCAAAAGGCCGAATCGAGATCTTGACCAGGCAGCTCTTCCGAGCGGGTGAGCAACGAAAGCCCGACCCTCTGACTTAGTAGACTAAGTTGCACCAAACAACCGAACTACCGAACTAGTTCTGCGGCAATGTGGCTTACCTGCTGCTGCTGCTGCTTTTAAAGCCTGCTCTCCTGGCTCCGAAATGCAATTTAGGCCAGGCACAGCCTGTATTGACACGATTCCTCGAATTGGGCCAATGCAGAACGTTCTCAAATTCGTTGGCTAACAACCGCGCACACACTCAACGCAGATCGCACATCGCACATTGCACTTTTTCGCATTCAAGCTGACTTTCATGCCGCACTTTGCGTCGTCATCGAACGAGAAACACAAATTGAGAAGATTAGCACGGAGGAGGAGTCGTGGAGAGTCGAGGCACTCTTGTTATTATTATATGGCTCTGTGGATGCTGCAATAGGCCAGTTGGGGCCAGTTCTAGCCGGGTCCAGTACTCGTTTTACCGTTAGCAGCTGAACGATGAACGCTGAACGCTGAATGCACTACACTCGCGATGCTGTTAGCCAAGAAGCCAAGAAGAATCGGAAGAGGAGGCACTGGGGGGAGGTGGTGGCACAATACCGCACTTTTCTATCCAATCAAAACTCGTTTCTTCCGAGAATGCACAATAGGAAAATAGGAAAATTCATATCGCGTAATCTCGAGTGACACGTAACTGTGCAAGAGGCCAGAAGTCTTTAAGAAGGAGTTCACCGGTGGATAGAAGGCTGCCTGCCTCCTTGGTTATTCGCACTCAAAAGCCTGTCGATTGAACTTGGCTAGACCTGAGGACCATCTAGCAAAGCCATCGCTCGCCTAATTGCCAACCAAAACAGAGATCTACAAACGCTCTATGCGATTCGCACGTTCGTCTCGAACTAAAGTCACGCACCGACTGATCCGAAGCCGCAGACTTGGCCTGAACCCAAGACGAGTTTCAAAACCGAAGTCTCAGCCGAAGAATGTGTTTGGTGATCGGGCTCTTTCTCTCGGGTTTCGGTATAAGACTTTATTTTATAATATAGAGGGGGTCTTTATAAGAGCCACAGCCACAGTAGCAACTGCACACCTCGGAATTATTGAAGCGCCCGAGGGAGTCTTCAATTCCTTGGAACTCGACCTCAATCGGTGATTACACAGAAAAATGTGGCAGCCCGCAAGGCCGCATTAGAATTGATCCAAATATGTTTATTGGTGATTTGTTTTTTTTGTTTTTTTTTTTTTTGAACCCATTTAGATGAGCAAACACTCCATTATAAGAGACGAAAGTTCCTGAGGGAAATTATCAATTCCTCGGAGCGCCATCATTATCGAGTTTTTACTGAAAAATGTGGAAGCCAAAGCCTCAAGGGAATTGGCCAAATATTTTTATAGGGATTTGTATATTTTTGTTTTTTAGCATCCCATTTTTGCCTCATGGGAATTGATCCAAGTATTTTTATTGGGATTTGTAATTTTTTTGTTTTTTAGCATCCCAATTTTATGGACAAATATTCTCCTATTAAAGACTAAAGTGCCGAAGGGAATAATTAAATTTTTTTGGAGCCTTGAACCAAATATCTTTATTGGAACTTATATATCTCAAGCCCTAAAAGCAATCATCTATGGTTGGCAGAGAGAGATTGCAGCCGGCCCAGGGAAACCAGGCGGACCATCCCTGAATTTCGAGGATCTTCTGGGCACATCTCACGGACTTGGTGATATCGTCGGTCAACAACTCCTCACAATTAACGCTGCAAAGGTTGTCCGATTTTCCACCAGTTTGATTTCTGCACCAATATATTTCAGATATGTGGAAGATTCCGTAGTCCGTTTTTTTCCTATAATTGGTATTGTAGAACGATGATGAGTTGGCTATGCAAGTCCACTTGTCCAACTGATCACGGGGAACATCCAGATCGTCCATTTCCCGAGCCAAGGAGCAGCGGTTCATGATGCGATTGAATGCGGGAGTGGCGAAGGCTAATGCCACTAGAACGATGAACGACTTCATACTTTCGCTTGATCGAAAAAACCCAAGGGAGATAAGGCTTCTTGCTTTTATAGCTGCTAAACTGATACGAGAGATTGATCTTGGCTCCACAGATTTCTAGAATTGACTGAAGACTTCCAATTGCCTACGGGCATCTTTATTCCTCTGGGAATAATCAAGAAATATATGTTGCTCCATATCAGAGTATTAAACCAGGGACGGTTAAAAATTAAATGGAAAATTTGCAATATAAACCGTGGGTTCGCTGTCTAAGAATTTAAAGATTTAATGATATTAATATTCAAATAAAGCCAATTGAATTCAGTAATATCCAAGCAAGAAATTTTCTGGATGAAATTGGCAGCTTAAGAATATCTTATTTTATTTGTTGCAACAAATAAAGTCTCCGCATAAATGAAAGCAACACTTTTTTAGTGCCATCACTTTCTTTGACTTGGCTGCAGCTTAAAAGTATGCTATATATCTACGGCTGACCAAAGCTGGCCGCTATAGGATTGGATAGTCTTGCTCACCTGTCTACAACCGACTTCTCCACCTCGTACATGGAGTCCAATGAGTACTCGTCGCCAATGGAGCTGTACACATTGGTCCCTGTGCCGGCTGTCTCCACATCGCAGTAGCTGCAGCTGCAGCAGGAGTACTGCGAGCAGAAGGAGGAGGCATCCAGGTCGGTGATGCCTATGGAGCACTCCTCGTCGGGCGGTCGTCGCTGGAGTTCAATGTCCACGGTGGCTTCCTTTTGCGGGGAACTTCCTCGCGGTGAACGACTGTTTGGGATTGAGAGATTAGTAAAGGACACTTAACACTTAAGGTATTATGACACTAGTTCAAAAATATAATAATGATAACTATTCATATAGAAGTGTACAACTTTTTTCCAAAATTTTCAAATATAAAAAGAAATTTTATTTATTTTCGATAAATTACATATGAAGTAAGAAGAAGATTAGTAAAGGAAAAGAATGGTGGCATTTAAGGTATTATGACACTAGTTCAAAAATAGTATTACTCAGTAAATAATTATACGTAGAAAGATTTAATAATTAGCCGTATGATAGATATTCCTAAATAAACATACAACTTTTTCCAACATTTAAAAAAAATTAAAAGGAAGTGTTATATATTTATCATAAATTACGTATGAAGTAATTCAACAAAGAGAGTTTAGTTTTCCCATGTCGTGTCATAACACCTTAATCGCGGGGACTTGAGCCAAATGAAGTCTTACCTCTTGGTGCGTGAGTCCATCGTGTCCATGACCACGTTCCAGGTGCGGTGTATCAAGTAGAGCAGAAAGAGCACCCTCGATGTCTCTCCACTGTGCGATGTGGCGTTGTTGCCTCCATTCTGGCCGGCCCCCAAGCAACTGCTGGAGCCCAGTCGCTCCTGGTTCTTGTTCTTGCTGTTGTTGTTGTTGTGGTTGCTGTTGTGGTTGCTGTTGTTGTTGCTTGAGGGGGACTGGGGATGGCGGGCGGGGAGCGTCTTGGAGCGGTACTCGTTCTGGAGGCAGTACTCCCGCTTGTGCTGCTGGTACCTCCGGCGGGTGTTGAATCTGGAGTTCCCCTCGCCGGCGGCTCCCTCCTCGGCGCCCCTGGCCAATGTGATGCGGTTGCCCATTACAAATTCGCGGATCGGCGCCCGTCAGACATTGCCTAATGTGACATGGACGTGGACACAACATATGTTAGTGGATGTCTACTTGGCTGCCTCTACAAACTGCCTGCTGCGACTATCAGAACTGACACAATTCTAGCAACCAGTTTTGCCAATGTCCGATGGCCATTGGCGAGGAAAAAAGTGAAGTCGCCATTGGAATTGGGTCAGCAACGAGCTCTCCAACGCTGGCGACCCCGATCGCCTAGAACGAATGCCTGTAGATGGCTCTTCGGCGGAGTTTGTAATTATGATAAACTACACATCCATCGGCGAAATGATGGATTGCGTGGACCAGTTTGGACATGATCCTGGACAGCCAGATTGCTCCTCAGCGAGGCGTGGAAGCCGTCATTCCACGGCACAATTAATGGCGGGGATCCATCAATGTTGGGAACGGATCCAGGCCAGGCAATTAGATCATTAGACGGGCAATACATCAAATTAGCGCCCTTGGACGGTACAAATCGCCCAACACTTGCGGCTTGACCCGAACCACACCCGAACTGAACTACTATATATAATCCAGCTTTCGGGAGTGGAAATCAGAATTCCTTATCTCAAGCGGCCCACTGACGTAGTAAACGTGACCGCTAAATGACAATACACGATCGCCAACCAACCACGGGCACTATCAGTGCTTGGCTAACCCAAAGAGGGCTGGACTTATCACTCTGCTACAGTGAAAGGTGCACCGCAGCTACCTGCATTCCTCCCAGTCCCCTTTATCAGTCTTTAATTAGCCCAGCAAACATACTCGATCTGGCATATATTGTGAAGCAATCTAGTAGAACAACTTTCTCGGTGACATCGTCACAAAGAATATGCAAATGCGGGCCATTAAGCGGAGTAGCAACCAGTTTAGGGTCTCTAATCGTAGGGCCCTAAAGAACCTTTTTCTGGTAGCGAAAGTGACGCCGCAGAAGTGGAAAGTTTCATGCTTCCCTGCAGCAGGTTGACTTAGGTCGTTAAGCGGAGTGGCTACTGTAGTGAATTAACCGCACCACGAATTTGCCTTCCTGACATGCGCATTAGGCGTGCGAGGTGTTGGATTCTTCTGTTGGAGCAACAAGAATGGGAATCTCGACACTAATTAAACTAAATGCGGCGCAAGAGTTTATCTTATCAAGCGATGCACACCCTGTACGACCAGCAATGTTAACTATAGGGCAAATCCGATCCGGGAGCCGAGCACTGAACTTTAAAAAACGAGACCCCATCTGGTTTTAGCAGGCAGTCGCGTTTGCAACGATCTGGCGAGCGGTAGTTGATTTTCCACTGGGCGAGAGAAAGGAATGGCGAGTCGCGAATCGGAATCGAAACCAGAAAACCTGAAAGCCGGAAAACGAGGCCAGAACACATTGAGATTCAGAATCAGGAGCAGAGTAACTAGGACAAAATGAGCCAGAGCCAAAGCCAGAGCCAGCTGAGTACAGAGCAACTGCTCTTCGAGGAGAAGCCCCTGTATGTGCCCCCATTGTCGGAGCTGCAGAACGGTGAGTTGAGATTCTGAGTTCCCACCGATCCGAGAGATAACAATACGTGCTGTATTCTGGGGTTCTCGAGTGCCATGTGCAAATGACCTTCACAACGGTGCCGAACTTTCCATAGCCGGTTTTTGGTCGCTTCTCAGTACTGAGTTCTACGTTCTTTATTTTCTATTTTTTGTTTTCATTGAGCAGTCCAAAACAGAAACATATGATTGGGCCGAAAGCTTTGGGGGCCAGCTTTTGCCATATGTCGTCTAGATGGAGGTCGAGATAAAGCTCTAATTCATTGCCTCCCCTCTCTCTCTCTCTCTCTCTCTCACTCTCTCTCCAGTTATACAGGGTGCCTTGAGCGAGAACTTTGCCAGTGTGGACGTGAGTGTGGGTCCTTGTCCGGACTTGAAGGCCAAGCAGTTCAGCTTGGTGGAGAGCGGACTGGGTGGCAAGCCCACTCTGCTGGAGGCCGGCGGACCGCCCTTCCTGCTGCCGCTCGTTCAGCGGGATAAGCTGTACAACATCAAGGAGATCACGCGCAAGATCCAGGGTCCCGGCAAGATCTTCGCCGTGGGCGCAGGAGCAGGTCCTTGGCCCATCCGGGGATCTAACTGCGAGGGCATTTTCAACCTGTCGGTGAGCGAGAAGGACGAGCTGACGAACGGCAGCTACACGGCCACCGTGCGGGGAGCCCAGGAGGAGTGCGTCCTGGAGAAGATCCCCCACAGCGAACCCCGCTGCGCCCTGCTCCTCAACCTCTTCCTCAGTCAGGGAAAGCCCGGCGATGTCCTGAAGATCACCGCCAAGAAGCGCACCGGCGAGCAGAACTTCATCGAGTGCATCCGAAAGGGACTGGAGAACCACTACGGCGACAAGGTCGTGGGCCTGGGCGGGATCTTCGTGATCAAGAAGGGCGCCGCCCACCAGCACGTGATGCGGGACTTCAGCAAGACGCCGATCCACACCGACGAGGAGGTGAACGAGTGGCTCAAGTTCTACGAGATGCCCGCCCAGCTGAACGCCGTGGGCACCCTGGTGACCAAGGAGCACGACCTCGACCTCCGCCTGCAGCACTTCCACTCCTTTTCCTTCGAGAACTGGGGTGGCCACTACCACTACGACACTACACCCGATGTGGTTGAGTACGAGGCCTACCTGAATGTGGCCGAGCGGGTGGTGCGGGTGGACAAGCCCGTTTCCACCCACAAGGTGGGTCGGGACTAGATCTTATCACCCGCATCTGCCGTATCTAGTTGTAGCCGACTTTTCCATTGCCCAAAGCCCCCCATAAATAATTTTAAATAAAACCTAGAGTAAACTCGAAAACATAAGTAGTTTATTTTGGGAAGACACTAAAATGAAGGGCAATAAAATTATTCTAAGAAGTTAATAAAACGAAACAATTTATAATAGCAAAACCTCAGGCTTTTAGGTTTACCACAAAAATATATATCAGTGAAAAACCCTTTATCAGTGCAGCAATTATCATGACGGGTAGTCGACTGGCTGACATTTTTACCACACTACGATGTTCTGGTCAGTCGCTAGTTTACCTCCAGCAGGGAAAGTGCCTGAAACCATATCGGAATATTTGCAGAGATAACATGGGCCAGAGTCACCTTCAAACGGATCAGCTTCTCTTCGAGGAGAAGCCACTTCATGTGCCCTGCCTTTCAGAGATCCAAAGAGGTGAGCGAATACTGAGTGACACTGATAAAAATAGTTCTCAGATAAATCTCTCTATATTCTACTCTAGTCATACAGGGTGCCTTGAGTGAAAATTTTAAAACTGTTGATGTTTCCGTGGGTCCCTGTCCGGATTTAGAGGAACCGCAGTTTGGTCTTGTGGAGAGTGGATTGGGTGGCAACCCTACTCTACTGGAAGCAGGTGGTCCACCCTATTTACGTCCTCTAGTGCAGCGGGAGAAACTCTATAACTTGAAGGAAATCACTCGAAAAGCCCAAGGATCTGGCGAGATTTTCGCCATTGGGCCAGGAGCAGGTCCTTGGCCCATTCGCAACTCCAACTGCGAGGGCATTTTCAACTTTTCCCTGAGCGAAAAGGACGAACTGAAGCAAGGAAGCTACACGGCCACCGTGAGGGGAGATCAGGAGGAGTGCGTCCTGGAAAGGATTCCCGAAACCGAAGCCCGTTGCGCCCTGATCCTGAATCTATTCCTCAGCGAGGGAAAACCAGGAGAAGTGCTCAGAATCTCCGCAAAACAGAGAACAGGAAAAGAAAACTTTGTGGAGTGCATTCGAAAGGGCTTAGAGCAGCACTTTGGCGACAAAGTGGTGGGTCTGGGTGGCATCTTTGTGGTGAAGAAGGGCTGTGTCCACCAGCACGTGATGCGGGACTTCAGTAAGACGCCGATTCACACCCAAGAGCAGATCCAAGAGTGGCTCAAGTTCTACGAAATGCCCGCCCAGCTGAATGCAGTGGGCACCTTGGTTACCAAAGATTTGGGACTCGACTTGAGGCTGCAGCACTTCCACTCGTTTTCCTTCGAAAACTGGGGAGGTCATTACCATTACGACACCACTCCGGATGTCGTGGAGTACGAGGCTTATCTTAACGTGGCCGAACGTGTAATCCGAGTGGACAGACCAGTGGTAACCGACCAGTTGGGAAGAGACTGATGGCTTTATCGGATCTACAACTGTCAAATCAATTTTACCTGCTAATAAGTGAGCCAAAAATAAACGCCTTGCGAGCAAAAAGGTTTCGGTTTCTGTCTGCTCTTCTTGGGAATCGCTAATTGGAGTCGCACCATTTGTGAAGCAGACCCCTCAGGGGATGGGCTTTATGTAATTGCTGAAAAGTGGAGCCGCCGCTTTCTTCGAAATGCAAATCGATGGCCAAATGATATGGCCACCATACTCATATACGAGTCTGGGATTCTGGAGCTTCATGCTTGGCCTAATGAGAGACGCGATACGGCCGTCTAGCTAAGCAGGCCGTAAATAATGCCCCAAACATGCAGCAATCTGTGTTTTTCTCTTTGCACCGCTGGCCATTAATTATTTAATAACTTTAATTCATGCAGAGCAGCGCTGCGAGTGCATCGCGCGAATTCAGCCATCGAACCGATTTTCATGGATTTCCACTAAACATATAGATGAATGCTAAACCACAAAAACAACAACAACTAGTTTGTTGTGACAGTTATAAATCGCAGTTGATAGCCACATCGATCACTTCTATATATTATAGATGGACTTACCCACTCACGCCGACGAGACTCTCCCAGAATTCAAGCAACTATTGTTCTTTCGGCGCTTCTTAACGGGTTTCTAATATTTGCATTTAAATATTTATTATTCCAGATTCTGGAAAGCTTTTTATGAAAGTGGCACACAATCAAACACCAAAACATCCATCGATTGATCCAATTTAATCTACCAGCCAAGCCGGAGCGGTGAAATGCAAATGCGATTTCTTCGTCCCACGAAAAGAAAATCTCTTTTTGTTATTGTTGCCACTGCGATTGTGGTTGGAGTTGTTATTTTTGTAACCGTTTTTGTGGCCCAGGCATACTCGGTTTATTCATATTTTAAACACACCATTAGCACTTTTTATTAGCTGGCTCGCTTTGATTGACTCGACTTCCACACGACTTCACTTCACCAGCTTCGAAGTCTTTGAAACTCCGCGCTCGAAACTCAGTCGGCGCTTTGATTTTGGGCCAAAACTTCACACCGGGTCCACCGCACCGATTCAAGAGCGTCTGCTCGGCCGAAACGCGAGTTGCAGACTGAATGAAGTCGGCGATCAGATGGCTCGAACGTCGGAGTGGCTTTTCACATGGCTTCCAGGCGCGTAGATAGCGAACTTGTTTGGGGGATTTCTACAAACATTGGTTCTAGCCACTCGTGTGCACTCAGAAAAGCTGTCAGCCTGCAAATAACACTTTTCAGCTTCTAAAGACCAGAGCAAATAAAAAAAAATATTTTATTTTGCAGTACGCATTCACACATTATCAAATTTGGTTAAATGTTTTTCCCTTTTTTAAGTAAACGATTAAAAGAGAAAGCTTGTAAATATATCTTTGATATTTACTTGCTTGGTATAAAAATAAGTAAAACAAAGGTTACAGAAATCATAACTTTTTTATGCTATTACGGAAAATAGAATATTAAATGTAAATTTGTATTTCTAAGTACTTTAGAGAGTTTAAGACTCATTCAGACCCCTTTTCGATATCAAATCTCTGAGATAAGTCTAATACCGCCACTGCTGCTCCTGTGACAAATCTGGTTGGCTTTTCGGCTGCTCTGTTTTACAAGCGTTTTCAAATTGAAGTTGTCGTTTAATCTGTAATTGGCCACATTTGTTGACGGAGCCAAGAGGCCGGGCCGACGGACAAGTGCATCAAGCGAGTGCCGCGGCAATTTTCCCAACCACTAAAACCCGTTTTCTATTTTCCACACTGGGCCCAAATCATTTGGCCATTGCCAAAGTCGCGGCCAAGGCTACTTCGGGTATCCATTGCCATTAAAAGCGACACGAATTTACTTAGTTTTAGTCGGCGGTGCTCCTGTTGGAACAATTTGCCCAAAGGCAGATCAGGCCGGCCCACCACCACAACTGGTTCGGTGAACCACCTCCGAAGAAAGTATCCGCGGCTGCCGGCTGTCTTCGTAAAAATTGCATAATGATTGATGCCCCCAGGCTAACTGATGTATCGCCATTATAATAGCTCGGCAATTTATTCTCCATTGCCTGGGCGTTTTCATAAATGTGTGATTGTTTTTTTTCGGCACAGATCCGGAAGAGTAAGTGCGCGGTAAGACATAAAAACTGATGGCGAATTATAGAATTGATCCCCGGGGATATCTTTCCAGTCGCCACAGAGCAATCTTTAAAATATATCTGAAAAGTGCACTTTAAAGAAAAGTAACAGATTACTTGGAGTACTTAAATATAACGATATGATTACTTAATCGGTTGCATCTAAGAGAATGATAATTTCAAGTGATACTCTTTCGTGGCATGTAATTTAATGGAAATCAGCATCTAATTGGCTTCCAGAGGTAGATCAGCATGTTTAATGGATTTGCGTGGGAAAAGTAAAATTAGCAGCTAAAAAAATAGTTCGCTTTTAGGCTGTTAAATTGTTGTCTTTGTTTGAAGAGCAACACTTTGGGACGAAAGTAGCTACTAAAAAGTTTAAAAAATAAAAATTTTGTAGCATACTTTTAAGAAAAAACAAATACTATTATTTAATTTAGCTAGTAGTACTCACCCTCTTAAGTAAAGTCAATTTTGTTTTTTTGCTTTCTTTATATATATATATATTTCTTTTGTATACATATACAGTATATATTCGTCTGTTTGTATACAACTTTATAGGTTTACACATCTTAGAACTGGGCTTTTATTGAGAATACTTCGAAATGTAGCAGCTGGTGTTCGATATTGTTGAGTCTCGTAACTGAAGGTTTCACATAACTGAACTAAGGTCACACGAATATCTCTAAATTACTTTGGCCTCACTCTGTTTTGTGCTTTGCCAGGATCTGGAGTTGGATATTGGGATCCAATCTAAACTAAACAATTCGGCTTTACAATAAACCCAACCGAGCTACTTTCCTTCCGATACAAAATTGGGGCTCTTGAGAGGAATTCAAATTATCGTGTGTTACTGGTTGTGCATTTGTCTATATGCTATGTACTGGTGTATAAAGGGTGTTCCTACAAAGGGCATCTATTGCTGATTGCTTGAAGCTTTAGTGTCAAGTGGGAGTTTGAACCAAAGTTAACTATTTACATGTCTAAGATCTTGCACAACTTTAGGAACGGATAAATCATAATACTCTATAGCTAGGGTTTCTATTGCGAGCTTATTGAATTTATTTGAGATTCTCTTTGAAGAAGAGCAAATATTTCTTGAGAATTATCGTTTCGTTTTTATTCGTAATAACCGCACAAAAAATATATCGTATTGGTTAATGAATTCTTTGCCTAAGCACAAACCTCCCTTGCAAGCCTACTCAATGTAGATGTCCTCGATGGGATAAGCGGTTTCAATGAATTTCTGATAGAATCGCTGGAAAGCACGACTGAAATTGAGGAGGGGGATAATATGCATTATATATGGGGTTCAGGGGTTTATTTACTCTCAAAGACTTACCCCACTGCCTCGGCCACGGGTCTGGTGGACTCGGAGCCCTTGAAGACGTGACAGGCGAACCGCTGAACCGTGGGGTGTTTGGTTATGAAGCCAATGAAGCGGTGATCGCGAGGGTGAAACGCGCAGAAGGAGACGTTCTTCAGGGAGTAGAAGTAGTCGATGCAAGGTTTCTTGTCCTTTTTGTTTTGCTGTTGGGGGAGAGGAATAATTATTATATATTTCTTGCACTCTTAATGGTATAATATCACGAAAAATCAAGGAAAGAGGGGGTAAAGTTCCTGCATTCTTAGAGGAAACATATATCAGATATTCACTCACATTCGGGCCCGATCGGTCCACCATGCGCAGTCCCTGGTCGGAGACCTCCAGGATGCAGGTCTGTCCGGTGGGCGAGTTGCCGTACTCGCCGACGATCTTGCGCACCGCCTGGCAGACGACGCCGGTGCCCTTGTGGGCCAGCGTCTCCACCGAACCGAGGTAGCCGAGCAGGTAGCGCTCCTTCTTCACCAGCTGCACCGTGGGATCGAACTCGTTGTAGTCCAGGTCGACGGCGTAGGCCGAGGGGAAGATGCCCTGGCGGCCGGTGCGCAGATTGACGCCCTCGCACCAGAGGTCCTCGGCCTCCTTCTGCACGTAGATGGCGTCGCCGATCTCCAGCTCGATCTCGTCGTGGTGGCGCGGCACGAACTTGTGCAGGCCGCGGTGCGTGGCCTCCAGCATCTCCAGCTGGCCGAAGGGCACGCCCCCGAAGGGTGGCGGGAAGGGGGACTGCGAAACGGGAGACGTGATTTGGGGCGACATGCTCTTGAAGTCGTTGGGCGAGTGCGCCGTGCTGTGGCCACTGTCCACGTCGCCGAGGCTCTGCATCCGCTCCGAGTCCGGGCTGGAGTCCTCGTCCATCAAGTAGCCGCACTTGAGCGACAGAAACGAGCGCTGTTGGCCGCCCCCTCGCCCTGCTGGTGGCACTCCGCCCATGCCGCCCCCGTTGCGGAACTCATCTGCCAGGGAGCCGAAGTTGGAGCCACCTAGAAGATGCAGAATGGAAGCTGCAACGAGGCCGTGAGCGGGTTAGCCCGAAACTACAAGGGGATCTTGACAGGGACTAACCGGTTTTCAAAGGGGTTGATTAAAAAAATGATTGGTCAAGGGGTTGCTTATGACATACTCTCATTAGTAAATTAAAAAGTAAACGAGTTCTTGTTGCGAAGGCAAAACTAAGTTAATTATCCAACTGGTTAATTAGATAACTTACTTATTCGAATTTATTCTGATTTTTAAATTGATCAAATAAGAAAATAAAACCTTATGAAAGAAATTCCTCTGAAAACCGGACTAGCCCCATAAATCTAATTGCATGCAGGACTCTCAACCGGAAACTAAGTTCTCTATCCCAAACTTACATTTCTTATTCTTGGGTATTTCGGGCAACTTGCGACGACGACGCGTGGCAGCTGAATTCGGTGCCAGGAGATCTGTGCTGGCTCCGATGGTAACCGGAGCATTGTTGCCAGTACCCAGCCCACTGGTGTCCATGCCCAGGAAGCCGCCGATGGCATCCTGGTGGTTCAACGGATGATGTCGGTGCGAGTTGAAGGAGTCGTTGGTGTCCAGCGATCCGTCCGAGGACAAGGTGACCTTGAGGCCATCGCCCAGCTCGTCGTCCTCCACCTGACGCATCTTGGGCTCGTGGTCCACCAGGCCAATGCCGTCCTCCTGGTCGGAGCCGTCGCCGTCGCTCTTCGAGGAGTGCGAGTCCTCCAGCTCATCGTTGGGAATTAGACTGCAAATTGGATTTGAGGGATGAGTCAGTTGGAAAGTGGCATGCGAAAATTGCAGCACGCATATCCCTTCAAGGATACCGAATGATTTTTTTTTTTTTTTGGGTTGCAAAGGGGTGCTCTTGAGGACACGTGCAGCTTCCTAACTGCACATCAGTTCACTTCATTGAGTCGGTGTAACCTTTAACCTCCTACTTACGAGTAAAATGCATGGGAATTGTTCTTCTTGCTGGCTGCTCCAGTTGCGAATCCAGCAATCGTATGTGTATGTGGCTCAAATATGGGCCTGTGGAACTCCTCGAATTCGCTGTCAGCCATCTCGTCTTCTGACCAGGCCTTCGCCCAGCTGCCACGCCCACAACTACAGGCTGGCCGGGGCTCTCAATTGGCTCGATTTGATCGGATTTTCGCTTGGATTTCACTCTGTTACGGGTTAACTTTAGAGTTTTTCGCCAGCGCAGTCAATTTTTTCACTTCACATGCGAAAATCGATAATTTCCTTGACGTCGCTGGCGCACTTGAGTCCCCTTCTGAGTTCCAGATGTGAGTGGTGCCACATAACGCGCAGTGGAGGCCCGAGTCAGGGAAATTTTGGGACTTTCAGCTGTCAGGCGTAAGCTCTCTCTGGCCACGGCTCTCCGACTTGTTTTTGTTTACCGCTGGCAGGGCAAAGGTCGGGGGGTCAGCGGCATCCGTGTCTTCACTTGGGGGTTGACCAGCAGCGCGCCTGCGCAGTGCGTCACATCCGCTCCACAAATTCCAAGGGGTGAGTTGCGAATTGCAATGCTGTTGCGCCTCGGCCACCAGTTTCCAGGGGCGTATTTATCCGGAAAGGGATATGAGCAAACAATTTTTAAAGATTAATATAATATAATAAGAAAATTAAAAAAATGACTCTCTTGTTTAAATACACTTATGAAAAAGGAGTATATTTGACATGGTTTTCTTAGCTTTAAAGGTACCTTGCTGAATCTTTATTAAGAGTTCGTATTTTAATTCTTTTACAAACTGCATCATTAGTTAATTTTTTTTGTAGCAAACTCATTTTTGCAAGTTTTTGAATTTAAAATTAAAAAAAAAAAAACGGCAAAACAGTAACAACATTTCTTATGATACACATTGTTAATTAAATTTATTAATTAATTTTATTTTTTCCTGATGGTGTTTTTTAACTACTATTAAATTTCGAATTAAATTTTATTGAAATCGGATGACTATATCATATAGCTGTCATTAAACAACCGGTAACAATATAAAAAAATTCATAGAAAAATCGTCATACCTTCGATATTGTTTAATGACTGCAAGGATATATAAGATTCGGCATGCCGAAACTAGCTTACTTTCTTCGTCATCGCCTGAGCCTGACTTTAAACATCCGTTAGCCAACTGATATGGGGGCCTTTCCCACCTACTGGGACATTCTGATAAGGCGGATGCACTGATTCAATAAAAATTTATATTACGATAACATGTATATAAATAGGCCGAGTCAGCCGGCAGAACAATCAGTATTTTATTAAGATCCAACCTATTCGCATCGGAATGAGAGCTGCTCTGGTGATTTGTGTACTGGCTGTGGCCATTTCGGTTACCCTGGCCCGCACCATGGATAGGTGTTCCCTGGCCAGGGAGATGTACAGGCTCGGAGTGCCCAAGAGTCAGTTGGCCAGGTGGACCTGCATTGCCCGGCACGAGAGTGACTATCGCACCCATGTTGTGGGACCCCCCAACTCGGATGGATCCAACGACTACGGCATTTTCCAGATTAACGACCGCTACTGGTGCCAACCGGCCAGTGGAAAGTACTCCTCCAACGGCTGCAATATAAATTGTAACGAACTTCTGACCGACAATATTAGGAATTCTGTGAGATGTGCCCAAAAGGTCCAAGGAGAACAGGGCTGGACAGCCTGGGCCACCTGGGAGTACTGCAGCGGGCCGCTGCCATCGATTGATGACTGCTTCAACTGTAACTCATACGAAAGAGATCTATGAGCAAGTGTTTATTTATAAACACAATGGAAACCAATTCACACTTAAATATACTTTTGTTTGAGCAATTGTAACGAACTGATATTGTTGCTTTTCGCTTTCCACGGAATTGTGCTCAATAAATTTTGTGCGTTCGTCCCACCAAATTTATGATTTGGGATTGACCAACCGGTAAATGAGCAGAAAACTTTGCTTTCCGATTTTAAATTATTTATTTGATCTCTATCTGACAGAATTCTGGTTTCGGTATTTTCCTCGAGATGCCTCCTGGGTGTGTCAGCCCTCTTCTTCTTAAGTTAAAGCTTAATTTTTACAAACTTTAAATCCAGCTTAAGCATGCGTATATTGTAAAATGTATGTTTTCAAATGTTGTTACAATTACCACCCTCGCTAGTCCTCAAATTTAATCCGAGTCACAGTTCGTCGCTTTAACCCCCTCCAAGCAACTCGTCTAACTTAATTATTCTGAAATCAAGGGAATCAAGAACTGCCATTCATCGTGACCTCGACTCCGTTCCGGACTCCATCTCCGTCTGGAAGGAGTCGCCGCGGAGTGGGAGGCATCCTGCATCCTTTGGGGCAACCGAGCTGCTCCCATAAATCCATCAGCTCGTGGGCAAACAACAGAAAGTGGCTGGCTCCTGGGAGTCAGTCGTTTGTCGGTCAATCAGTTAGCCAGCACCATTAAGTTTATCGCCTCAGCTGATGAGTTTAATGGGAAGGGGAAACTGAGGAAGGGGGAACGGGGGAATGCCCACGCATGTGTTTAGTGGGGTTTTTCGCATATTTTAATAGTCAAGTGGCACTGACTGCGGCTTCCCCTCCGCCAGGATTCCCTTTCTTTCCGCCTCCCCTGGCGCTATTTGCTTTTCTCGAAGCGCAAACAAAGGCCCAAAGAAGCGGGCGGAAAGAAATTGCCATTTATCTACTATTGACTCTGCTGGAAGCATCAAGTGGTTGCCGTTGCCTTTGGGTGGTGGAAAGCGTTCTTCTTTTATGGCCGCTCGACTTGGCCAACTACCTAGCAACCCATTTATTTGACCACTCTCAATGTCGCAGACTCGGCGCTTTCCTCAACTGACTTCGTATTGATTTTATCCGACAGGAGTTTCGCTGTTTTTCCAACGGACTCACTAGGTTTTCCTCACGGCACACTAGTCACTGCGATACCAGCATAAATTAAACGCTTCAATTTGAAAGTCAAGCACAAAAGTCTATCTGTCTGTCTGTCTGTCCAACGAACCCAAACCCCTGACTTTTTCCTTATTCAATTGAAAGTTGGTGCTGCTGATTAGAAAGTGAAATTGGGGGAGTATGGTTATTATTATATGCCCTGCTTTAATAAAATGTAAGCATTTAAGCTTTATTTATTTTATAATAATTTAAAGAGAATTGTTCTCTTTGAAAAAAATAAAATAAAATTTTATTTTAATTTTGTTATTTTAATGATAATTGAATAGTTTTTTACTTTACTTTTTACTTTGCATTGCATGATATAATTTTTTACTTTACTTTTTACTTTATTTTTACTTACTTTTACTTTTTACTTTTAATTAAAAACGATTTCGTTTTTTGTGGGTCACAAGTACTCTAGAAGAACTAGCGACCTTTTTGTTAGGGCAATATGACGTCATGCGTTAGCGTTTTGGCCTGACTCCAGCATGATTTGGCCAATCAGAGCCAGAGCACATCCCTCCCCGAAAGGGGGTGGGGCCTGCGAACAGAAAGACTCACTTGTAGCTTTTATATCCTTGAACGAATTTATCTCGCCACGCACACTTAATAAATACAATTGAATATGTATCTCCGGCTGCGTGTGTGCGAGTCCTGCGGGTGGCCTATAAAAGGGCTGTCGCATCGGCAGGATCTTGCAGTTGGCGCTGAGTTGCGCATACGACGCGTGTGCCCGCGGAGAAAATAAAAACCGAACGAGGAGAACCGCCACCAAGTGCAGTGCAGTGATGAGTGCCTCCGGAAAGAGTCTTCTGGGCCTGTGGCTCTACAGGAGCGGCGAGCAGGAGTGGGCCGTCAAGCAGGGCAGTCCCTTGCACCAGCTGAAAAAGGATACCAATTCCGGATCACCGCACCCGAATCATCCGAATCTCGCCAGGCACTCATCAGCTCCGCCGGAGCCTCCGAGGCTGGCCATCGGTGGCGGTGTCGGCCAGGACAATGCCAGGCAGCATTCCCCCGGCGACCGCATCTCCATCATCTTCACCCTGCGCAACCAGGTGGGCAATCTGGCCAGAGCCCTGCAGGTCTTCCAGGAGCTGGGCATCAACGTCCTGCACTTGGAGCTCTCGCCGATGGAGATGGGCACCAACCAGGCGGACGTCCTCGTGGATGTGGAGTGCGATTCCCGGCGGCTCGACCAGGTGGTCAAGATGCTCAACCGGGAGGTGGCTTCGGTGAACTACACCTCCGTGAACACGCACGGCTTGTCCAGGGCTCCATCGCTATCGGCCTGCTCCAGTTTTGGTGAGTCCACAAAAAAAGTATCTCTTAAAATGGGAGGAAATCTAAAGTTTTTTATGCGGACAACAAATGTTAAAGAAATAATTGTGAGGAGTTGGATAACCATAAAAAATTCGATACAGAATTTGAGATGGTTAATTTTATTTATAGTTCATCAATTCTTTGCTAGCAGTTTTTAATTTTTCTTTTTAAAATAGATTTCGGGGACATGGTTTGGTTTCCGCGAAAGATCTCCGACCTTGACAAGGCTCAGAATGTCCTTATGTACGGCTCTGAGTTGGATGCCGACCATCCAGGATTCAAGGATCCCGTTTACCGCAAACGTCGCGAACAGTTCTCGGCCATAGCCAATAACTTCAAGCAGTAAGTGTTGCATAACCAGATTCGAACAGGGAGCATCTCCCACTGTCACTGCTAAACTTTCCACTTTCAGTGGCAACCCCATTCCCCGAGTGCAATACACACCTGAGGAGGTGAAAACTTGGTAAGTTTTTGATTGCATTCGCACTCTGATTGCCGCAGAATCGATTCATGTGGCTGCTTTGAAACTTTCTACCAAAAGGGGCACTGTTTTCTTGGAGCTGCATCGCCTCTACGTGTTGCATGCTGTGCCGGAGTACATGGACAACTGGCCGGAGTTGGAGAAGTACTGCGGCTATCGCGAGGATAATGTGCCCCAGCTGCAGGATGTGAGTGTTTACCTGAAGCGCAAGACGGGATTCCAACTGCGACCCGTGGCAGGATACCTCTCCCCAAGGGATTTCCTTTCAGGACTCGCCTTTCGCGTTTTCCACTGCACCCAGTACATACGACACTCATCGGATCCATTCTATACTCCCGAGCCGTAAGTTTTATTTATATTAATTATATTAATTCTAAAGAAATATATTAATAATAAATAAATATATAAAATATGTATATATTTGTTTTGTTACTTTACCTTTTATGTACTGTGTATATTTCTATTTAACCATATTAGGAATATAAATATTTTTTAAAAGACTGGTTAGAATATTCATAGATTGATTTGGTTTAATTAATTTCCAGGGACTGTTGCCACGAACTTCTTGGCCACATGCCACTTCTGGCCAACTCGAGTTTTGCCCAATTCTCGCAGGAGATTGGCTTGGCCTCGTTGGGAGCAAGTGACGCGGATATCGAGAAGCTGGCCACGGTGGATATTTTAACCCTTCACCATCCCGTTCCCTGTTCTTCAATTCCTTTCTTTGCAGCTCTATTTCTTCACTGTGGAATTTGGTTTGTGCAAGCAGGCGGACAGCACCTTCAAAGTTTATGGAGCCGGACTGCTGAGTTCCGTGGCTGAACTGCAGCATGCGATCACGGCGGAAGACAAGATAAAGAAGTTCGATCCGGAGCTGACTTGCCAGGAAGAGTGTATCATCACCTCCTACCAGAACGCCTACTACTACACCGATTCCTTTGAGGAGGCCAAGGAGCAGATGAGGTGAGTTCTCTTTATTTATAATGTACAGAAAACCTAAGAAATACATTAAAATTATTTTTTAAATCCAAATATATATTCTACAATTTTTTTGTCATACTTTATTAAAGGGCCTTTGCTGAAAGTATCCAGCGACCGTTTGGAGTGCGTTACAATCCTTACACGATGAGTGTTGAGGTCCTGTCGAATGCCCAGAAAATCACCGCTGTGGTCAGCGAACTCCGAGGGGATCTGAGCATCGTCTGCTCGGCCTTGCGAAAGATCTCCGCAACGGATGAGAATCTGGATGTGGACAGCATCGCCAACATGCTCCACACTAGTCTCAAAGTAAGGGGCGGGGCATCGGGAGGCGGAGGAAGTCCTTGCAGTCCGGATAACTCGGACAATTCCACTGCAGAGGGCGACTAGGAATGGAAATGCACAAAAAACAGTACAGATATTCGGGACCACAAAGCAGTATGGTTCGCTTACCAAAGTATTCTACTTCAAACTCAAAATTAGTATGAATTAAAAAGATTAAATAAAATTATTAACCAATTCAAAATGTAATATGTTTCAGTAAACGAAATTTTTTCAAATATTTCATCATCAAAGCGTACCAAAATAAATCCGAATTAAGAAGCTAGAAATGTATTCCCTCAATCTACGTAACTCTTGAATATCTGATTACAAATAAGCGAACTGTACTGCACGTTAACTTTTACAATATAAAGAAGTATCTATGTCTATGTCTAGCAGTTGTTTATTCAGATCTTAACGCTATGTAAAAACTATAGTAACAATAAACTCGCAACCTCTCGGTGTAGCTGCCCTATCCTACTTGTAGATCATATCACAGTCGCTGTTGATGAGCAGCTTCTTGCTCATGTAGCTGGTGAGGCACTGGACCAGGAAGTTCGGTATGGTCCAGAGGTTGAAGCTGAGGGCCAGCATGCGCCACTGCTGCAGGATGAGCCGGATGTCCGAGAGCCACACGAAGCGATGGCCCACCCTCTTCGAGACCTGGCTGGTGACGCCCCTCACCACTCCGCCTGCGATCCCCGAGACGCTGACCCGTCGCTTCTTGGTCGGGCTTCCCTCCTCGGAGCCGGAACAACTTCCGGAATTCTGCCGCGAATGGGTGCGGGATCGGGAACCGGGGCTGTTCCCGCCGGAGGTCAAGTACTTCTGGTCATAGTCCGGCTTGAGGTCAACGCGTGGCGCTATTTGAATGCGGTCCACTGTGTCGCAGATCTCCGCATTGCTGATGAGTATGCCCGCCACGATGTACATCATCTTGAAGACCCTGTTCAGGAGAATATTTCTAGAATTAGTTGGGATTCTTAGGAATACGAGCACTGGGTAACGCACCTCACTGTATGTGACATCATCTTGTCGCTGTATAAGTATTCTTATATTTCAGTATATAAATTTGTTTAGATTTGTATATTTTTTTGTTTGCCTGCACCAAGGTGCCTTATCAGTCACTGCGTGTTTTATTGCCGATCTGCTGATCTGCTGGATTTTTATTCGCTAGTTTCTATGCTTCTTGGCACGTGGGTATATTTGTTTTCACCGATTCTGGGGAGCTGATCGCGGTCCGACTGCTCCGTTCCGCTGCTGAAATCCAACTGAGAGCCCCGGCCGACCTGACCGAACGGAACTGATAACTGATAAGGCGCCCAAGTGGATAAGGCCGAGTGTCCGATGCTAATGCTCGCTTCAGATATGATCACTCGCTGCATTTAATGTGTCTGCAGAACGTTCTCTCCCACAAAATCCGACTCTCCGTCGGCGATAAGGGCTGACATTCCGGCTTATCGATCAATTTTATGGATCACTTTGCTGCGGTCGGCGTCAAAATAACTCTGAATCGCTTGGAAACTACGTAATGTTTGCTGTACGCCGTGCACCTTGGACTCCGGATTGAATGAGTAGGCGGCGGCCTCCGTGGTGATTACCCGTATAATTGGGAAACGGTCTGGGCTCTATCGCATGTACAGGGTTCGTGTTCCACCGATCGGTGAGATAGTGCACTCATATCGGGGGAACACATATAGTTCACCTTTACTCTGAGTAAACAATCCGTTTTTTCGGCAGCTACATTTTTTCTTCCATTTCTAATCTTTAGTATTCTTTGTTTGTGTTTTATGATCCACTGCCTCGTTCTAGTTTATTTTAGATTAGAATTTTCGACGCTAAAGCTTTCATTTTTAAAAGTACCTGCTTAGCTTAGCTTGCTTCCTTAGTATCTATACTAAACTTCTGTTATACATTGTTCTAGCTTCCCTGTTCAACCACCAAGTTATAAAAAGCTTCCCTGGTTTAAGGCAAAGCTATGCGTATGAAAAGCTGCAGTTTTATGGATCTATCACTTTCAGATTATGGGAACAAATATTCTTTAAAAATATGATTTTTAAGCTAGCAACACTATTAAATTTTACATCCGTAGTTAAATTATTCAGCTTTTGAAATTTGTTAATCAGGTTTAAAAAATATTATACCCTCTAAATGAACACTTCTATACTCTCAGAAAACATATGTGAGAAAAAGTATCCAGTATAAGTATCCAAGTATATAAAAAAATATATAATAGTGCTCACTACAAAATAAAATAAAATTGATTTGTAGTTTTCAAGTCGTTCAAAAGACATCAGAAAGGTCTGACATTTTTGTATTGAATCCTGGTTAAAGTGAATACAGGAAGAGTCAAAACTTTATCCGAATAGCTAAAAGCAATATCTCATTCAGCCTTGACATTTGGAACTCACAATGGTAAACCGCTTGACTTGCCAAATTGAGTGGAGCCCCGCAATTGACTACCTAAAATTAATTTGTGCCGGCATTCAATACACTTTCTTCACCGAACCCCAAAAACCGGCATACACAGTCAGTCGGGCTCAGAGTTCGACCACAAAACCATTTAATTTGTTGGCCGAAAACCTATAACAATAATTGACTTTGTTCCGCCCCAAAAGCCGGACACACTCACAAGGTGTCCTGGCGAAATTCTTAAGCAACACTCTCGGCCAGAGACTTTCCCACATAAATTATGCAGGACCTGACCACTGGCGCCTGTCGACAGGAAGGTCCTGGAGCTGGAGTGGGAGTGGGAGTGGGAGTGCTGGGAAGCAAGATTATTTACAAAATGCACAAGCCACAGAATCTTAAACACAGCAAAGCAAAGGTCCTTTGCGACGGGGCGGAAAGAAAACAATTTTCACACAAATTTCTGGAGCACACAAATGAAAGCCAAACAAACAGGCGAGCAAACACAAAGTTGTCGGTTGGGGGGCAGACAAGTCTGAGCTGCCAAAAGGTATTCCCCAAGAATGTCTGCCATAAGGACTCGAGTTCGGAAGGGAAGGAAAGGAAGGGCAAGGAGGCGGAGGAGCACTGATTTGTCTCCCCGACAGCACAAAACACTTGCCCATCGCCCAGAAAGACAGACAGAGAGTCGGACAGACGGACAGACAGACTGGCAGACCGAAGGACATACGGACAAAGGAGCCAGGACAACAGAGCCCCAGTTGAGCTCCTCATCCACACAAATGGAGACGTTATCGTCCTCATCATTTGGCATCGTCTTGGAGCAGGAAACACCACAAAGCCACCGGCCAGACGACCTTGACACACAACTGTGTGTGTGGACCGGAGGACGACTGCTCGTTCAAGTGTCCAGTCTGAAAAATGGCCACCTCCTTTGCTCCTGCTCCTGCTGCTCCTGCTCCTCATCCTTCTCGTCCTCCTCATCTGTGGTTCCCAAAGGCCAGGGGCATTCAAGGAAGCAGGATCTCTCTCTCGTCTGCCAGTTAATTGTGCACCCCAACTCCGAACTCCGAACCCAACCCCACTGGCTTTCGCATCCTTCGTCCTTCTTGTTGTTCTGGCTAATAACCAACAGCATCTCCTGGCAACTGCAACTGCACTTCTGAGTCCGAGATTTCACAGCTTGGCAGCCACTTTGAGGCCACTTGTTGAGCGGGCTTGAAATACGAGACTTATCGGTGGGCGGGCCAAGGGATAATTGAAAGTCTGCCTTTAAGATGGCCGGCAGCTTAAATGCAAATGCAAATTGGTAGGGGCCATAACCGAATCGCTTAATAAATTGGGGACCGAGCAGAATGGAAATTGAAAATAATGAAAATGCATAAAAAATGCTGATCAGAAGGGGAGAGGGAAACTGCTGAGCAGAAGAAGAAGGGTGTTTTTCCCGGACATGATATATGATGGAGCAGCAGCAGAAACAGCAGTCCAGCAGGAAATAATTCCCAATCCCCGGCGGAGTGGGACATGCAAATATTGAAACTGGCGAAGCCAGGACTACAAAGAAGTCTAAACAACAACAAGAGCAGAGCGTTTTTGGCCAGCCACTAACAATAAATGATGATGGAGCTAGGAGTTTGAGTTTGGAGTTTGAAGTTTGGTGAGAAGGAGTCGCGCTGGTCTTCCAGCTCCAAACATCGCTGATTAAACGCGAGTGCCACGAATGCGTCGCGAGGTGACGACGACGACATGGACATGGATTTTTTAGAGGAGTGGAGTGACTGGGGGGTATTCGGAGGTCCTGTGTCCTACGTGTCCAGACGGGCAGACAGGCTGCAGTCGTCCGGCTTGCAGGTTCGCAGATCCCAGACAGACGAATTTCCAAGCCAAGGAGTGGGATCCACCAAAGCTCTTCCTCCAGAGGAGGAGGAGGACGGCTTCGAGTCCCCGAGAGTCTGCGGCAACATTCTCGACAAAGGACCAGAAAAGTGCAGATTGCAAAAAATCAACTACGGCCATATTTGTTGGACGTGTATAGATTCTGGTTTTTTGGGCAAACATTTCCGGACTTTCTTCCTTCTTTTTGTTGTATTTCTCTAATTTATTTCTTGATTTTATTTGTTTCGCCGGCAGGAGAGCACCGCGCATGCAAATGATGTTGAATGCGATAAGTGTTCGAAGGGTTGGTCATTCCCTTCATTTCGTTTTCCAAGTGGAAAACAATAAAAAAAAAACACTTGAAAGCTGCAGACAGCGCGGGAAGGAGAAGGAGCAGCGTTTGAAATATGAACTTGAGGGACGCGTATTGTCTGCCCCGATTTTGGTTGGGTGCTATATATATGGTATTGTAGTACCCCCACTTTTCCTCTGGCAGCTGCGAGTTGATTTATTAAGATGTTTCTATTAGGACGGACACTAATTGCCGGTTAACCCATTGAAGCGGATTTAATGGAGCCACTGCCAGCTGACCTGGCCGAGCACTTAAAGCCAAGCCAACATCCTTTGGCCATCGGCAGCGAAGTTCCTTCATATTTCATGGCGAAAAATCAAGAATCCGCCAGGTTGCGCGGCATTGGCAGCCCAGTGCATTACCATCAGCTCACATGTCCTTTGTGACAGAATTTTCCCCCACCGCCCCCCATTTCCCCTCCACCACTAACCTTTCCATTTTTGCCCGCTTCGCTTTTCCCAGCTGCACATAAACCAAATATGTATGTAATTTTTTGCAATTTTCTAACAAAATTTCGCATTTTTTCGTGTTGCTATTTTATTTTGCATGGCTCGTTGGACAGGCCAAGGCTGGCTGGCCGTCCTGAGTCCTCTGATGTCCTTCCTTCGCTGGAAGGAGGCCACTTGCCAGCCGGATCACGTCGGAATATTTTCAATGTCCCGGACGGGATGTATGGCGGGATATAATAATTTCATGTGACATGCAGCGGTCTTCTCCTCTTCAGCTCCTTCGCTCCTTCCTTCTTCCTTCTCCCGGCTGCTTTGATATATAATTTTGCATTTTTTAATGCCTCACTTGCCCCGAGCCACGTTCGCCATGTGAGTGTCCTGTGGGTGTGTGTCCTGTGTGTGTCCTGTGTGCTTGCCCTGTGCACTTTTGGGCAGCGCATAATCTCATTTAGTTGCTGGCAAAACGCTTTTTAAAATCAAATTTCCGCTAAAACATTTTCTATTTGGCATTTCGTTGGCATTTGTGGCTCACAAATGGAAATAAACCCCCAATCTCTTTGTCTGTCAGCGGGAAAAAAGAAAAACAGATAAGAAGAAAAGGGATCATGAGCATTTAAGGAGGAACCTGCGAGCGAAACTTGATGGACAATTTCCCTAAAAAAGGATTGTCTCGTCGTTTTTCGCCTGTCTGAATATTATTTGCACTCGGCTGCAGCTTGATTGATCCCGGCCAGGGAAGATGCTCCACTTATTCGCCCCACCTCAATCCCCCAACGAACGCATGTCCATCATAATTAATGGCCGGAATCCTTACGCTATAAGTCCGACTTGCAGGACTTGCAGCAGGCTGGCAGGAGTTCGCCCCCCTTTTTGGCCTTCGCAGCCAGGAGCTCGTTGCCTTCTCCGTTTTCATTTCTGGCCGAGTTGGCTCCGCCTCCAAAAGCCGGCAGTTGGTGCGTTTTCTGTGCGTTCTATGTACCGAAAACCCAACGATAAGGCGAAGCAGGAGGAAAAACCAGGAGGAAAAGGCCAGGAGGTGACGGAGGAGACGACCGAGTGCAGAGTAAATGAAAATGAATGGCAGGCCGCCTAAAAGTAGGCAACACGACCCCCTGTCGAATACATAGAGCCATCGAAAAGTGGGGGGGAGGCGGCGATGGATCACTGGGAGCTCCAAGAAAACTGTTTGCCTGTCCACGCGGCGTATGTGCAACGCAGGAAGAGCCCACGCGGCGTATGTGCAACCCACACTCTCCCTTACCCACACACACACAC